AGGTCGTTCATCAGATAAACAGCGAGAGGGAGGTTAAGACGACCTTCTGGGGTCAACTGACGGAGGTTGGTACTGTGGCTCTCGTGATCTAGGCTGTCAAAACCTATCATCTGGGAATCCACTAAGATGAGTCAGCTAAGAGAAGGGCAAGGATAGAGAAATTTTCTAAATTACATGCTAAAACTTTTTAGATTTCCTATATGCCGTGTTGGCGATCAGGAAGTTATCATTTGTGATTAAAAAAAAATAAGACCCAGGGTTTTCAGGGTTTAGAAAAGTTAAACGGAAGGACTGAGAAATTCCTGATTGTATCTAGTCCTGTGGTTGATAGTGTATGATAAGTACCAAGGGAGCCTCTTGTATACATGAAGGTAACTTACAAATGTGTTTTAATTTATTAAAGAATCGTTTTTACTTCAGTCATTCAATGAAAGCTTGCTGCTCTCACTGAAGAAACACACACATACTTACACTTCATGCATATGAGCTATATCTCAGTCGCCTGTAACGTCGAATGTATAAGATATTGTGACTATCAGGCCCAAGAAATCGTATATAAGTGGTGTCAGTAAATGCATTTTTTTAAACCACTAAAGCTAAACACTTGACCTATAAAAATTAAATGTAATAGAAAATTTTAATTTTCCCTGAATGGTTAGACACTCCCAGTTTGATCAAATTTATCTACTTACACGAACGAGCTCGCAAATTCTATTTGTTTTTATTACATAAATTTCGTGTGATCATGAGACAGACGAATAGCTGTATGCTACGTAGCAGTCAACTGGGTACCAGTTTATGACCCAATTTGTTAAAAGGTTTTAATTAATTAATTAAAACTTATTATTTTTATCATTATTATTTTTATTTTTATTCATATAATTACCATATCTACATAGCTGATTATTTCACAGCATAAGAACGTAAACAACTCCAGTATCTAACAACTAATATTGGGAACAAGATCTTCAAATCAATTATATATGCAGTAGCCAACAGATCCTCTGTAGACTGTCAGCCAGAGGAACGACACTCAAAAAGTATCACAAGGTTACGCCCTAAGATCTCTGCAGCCTTACCCGTCTCCGGGAATTATTGGGTTCAGTATGGAGGACGGCCTACAGCTTCCTTGTTGCACTAGCCTCCACTACTCTCCCCTTGTGTATATAACCCCACCAATCCTTAAACTCAAGCAATCAAAAGCGTGCTTACAAATGGACGTTGGATGAAGGACCAGGCACACTTTAATAAACAATCCGTGTTCTCGATTTTTCTCTTAGTAAGTGACCAACACCCCTTCCCAGCGCCACCTTGTATTTTCTCATTTGATTTCATGCGAATCTCAAGCACGACCCTGGGCAACCTAAAACCACAGAATCCGGACAAGTTCGGAAGGGTTTCAGCACTGGCTATTTCCTGAAAATTTCTTTCTTTAGTGTAGTGTAAATATTATTGTGATCAACTGAACAATTTCATGAATTACGAGTATAATAAGACCTCTGCTACAATAAATATTCTAAATGATCACTTATCTCAAACTCATTTAAAACCACTTGTTGTAATAATCAATATTAAATAGGGTTTGTGTGAACGGAACCCAACTTCCTCGGCGAAGAGAATTTTTTTTTCGGTATGTGATATCTGAGGTATAGAAAGGCCAGCCCTAGGTCCACCTAATCATGTACTACTTTCCTCAAATCTAATTTTCGTAATGAAATTTCCTTTGGAAATTTTCACTTTATGAATTTTAACTATTCCCGGATCAACTGAAGATTAACCTCGTTTATTCCACCTGATTAAACACCCTGACATTCTATCAGGGTTAGATTAGGCAATATTCGGTTAGGTCAGATTTGGTTAGGTTTGGTTTGGTTAGCATAATGGCATTTAATCATCAGGTGATTAAGTGGAAGATTAATCTTCAGGTAATCCACTTCCTCTACCCGTTCTAAATTCTTTGTTTATCTATCCTGCATCCTATTGTTTTCCTCGCCTTTCCATGTAATACCTTATTATATACACAGTATACTTATTCCCCTGTGATTTCTGCATTTATTCTTACTGTCAGCATACAGAGCATGCCCAGTACTTGCCAACAGTTCGTAACAAAGACGTGGCATATAACCCAAGCAGCTAACGAGCGACCACTGTCGAAGAGGATAAAAGTAAAAGTAAAAAAGTAAAAAAGTTTGACTATAATCATTCAAAGTAAAACTTAGAAATCCATGTAAAATTTATTAGAAACGTCCGTAACTAGGCGAGTTTACCTTAAATTGTTCATCGTTTTCTTTTATCATATAGTAGACAGCTGGAGCTGGCTCAGGAACATTTGCTCGTAGAGTTCGAAGCCTCGGCTGGAACTTCGGTGGCCATTGCTTCACATCTGCAAACAATGTGAAAACTTCCTGTAGGCAGAGTAAAATGTGATTTTTAAAAATTATGAATCATATGAAGAATTTCCCCCCCCCCCCACCCCAGGCTGATCTTCATATGAACGAGTCTGGGGAGGATATTCTTCCATGATCACTGGGGACACAACAGGTGGCCAAGACCTCACCAGTAGGTTAGGTTAGGTTAGGTTCTTCATTTATACCTGCAGGAATTTATGTGGCGTGACCGATTTTATAATAATGCTTATGAGAATCTGTGTACTCATATTTCTCTTCAGTACCCTATGTGATGACAAGTTTAATAAACTATTCTGCATATGTTGTATTTTCTCATCCTGATTTAACTAATATATTAAATAAAAAACTTCAGTAACAAAAAGTAAAGAAGGAAAACAATGCATCACTGAAATAAAGGGTGGGGGGATATTCTGCACATGGGAACTTGTGGGGGGGAGATTCTTCAGTTGGCAACATTGAGGGGGGGGGGGATTCTTCATATGATCAAATATTATTTACAGGTGCTTGCAATGGACACAAGTACTGGGGCTTGAGAAACTTAAAGGAAAGAGCCCAGAAAAATAAGCAAAAATACCAGATTATGCAGCCATCATTTTTCCGAAGGAAATTACACTGCAAGGAAGGCAGCTTCTAGGCTTTGTAAAAATGCATGTCCAGATATTAACCTCGGTTTGTATTATAATATGTACAGTATGTGAACTATCAAATATTGCAAATGAATATGTTTGCACATGTATATGTCTATAGATTTTATTTTATTCACATTTATATATTTATATATTTTGCGGGAAATAAGCCATAAAACTATTTATGTATATCCTTCACTCCCAAAATACTGACTGCTACTTATGATTCGAAAAAACAATGTAATATTTTATATTCTAAAGCATAGAAAATGAATTGGCATTCAGTTGACTTAAATGAATACATTAAATAGGACATTTATATGATTCACACATAAAATATGCAAAAATGTTCCAAACATGAAAAAAAATTAAAGGGAGTAACCAGTAACTTATTACAGTATAACATAGCAAAGTGAACGACTAATTTATACATTTTATATGTATTATATGGAGAAAATATAAAATTGGTTATATAAACATATCTGAAGCATATTACATATAAAAAATTAACACGTTAGCAACCGTTAAAATGATGCTCCGTATAGTGATGGGCCAGCTGAATAGATGACGCTGTCAAGGATTAATTTCGCACATCTTTTTAATAGTAGGGATAGTCGCTGTAGTGGAATTCTCCCCTACAAACGCTGTTTGTCGCTACCTAGCCGACCCCACCAATTCCCCAGTGTATGCCTCGTGGTCTAGGTCAACCAGCGCCGCCATACACCACGGAGCGGGGGTCAACTGCTAAGCCACGCCTACCCCCGCTATTTAAGACCTGACCTCGTGGTGATCTGCCTCTCCTTCTACCTACACCAACCAGCCAGCAACACCTCCTCCGCCTGCCTGGCGGTCCTCTCTCCCGCTGGCGAGCATGGCGACCCACAAGCTGTCCTCTGAGCGTCCTCACCAACCAGCTCTCTCTACATCACGCTTGTAACCATGCTGCCTTCCCAGCACCAAGCTGCATTGTACATCCAATACAACATGTATATAGAGAGCACATTGTGAGTTTCCTTTCTCCATCCCATCCTGAGTGTGAACCAAACAATTTCATACCCCACATCGCTTTCCTATCTTTCGTAAAGTTTTCGCTGCTGGGTAGACAAGAGGCAAATGGCGAAAAGAAACTTGCCCTTAGTCTCACCCTGCCCGGGGATCGAACCCGGGATCACTCGTTTACGAGGCCTGCAAAGTGTGACCAAGTCTCAGGTTGCTGATCTGACTTTCTGCTGCCTCATTTACACACACTTGCAGGGTTTCAATTGTTTCTCTTCCCATTGACAACACAACATACATACAGTATATTGTTTCTCGCTCTTGATCTTTTTTAAATTTTTGTATTTCTTTATGGTTCTTAATTATTATTATTATTATTATTATTATTATTATTATTACATTTTCGTCCCCCAGGCCCCGATGTGGGTCAGTGACCTGTGCCCGGGTGGGCTAATCCCCCCCCCCCAAAAAAAACAACTTTCTGGTGTCTGCTGAGTGTCCACGCATCTGATCCATATAATAGTTCTTGCCATATAAAGCCTTTCAGCAGCCTTTTCCTCAAATTAAAATTAATGTCCCTTTTCATTACGTCTTTTTAGATTATTGTGTTGTTTTTGCTTGCCCTAGTCTCGTTTTGATTTCTTTGCCATCACAGCAAATATTACTTCCCAAATACACAAAAATTTTCGTTTGTTTAAGAACCCTGTTGCTTACCCAAAATTTTAGTATATTTCCAATTAGGAAACAACCATTATTTTCGTCTTTACAATTACAACATTAACTCTTAAACCACATTTTCACCCCTTTCCACTAATTTGTTAAATACATTTTATATTGACTTTTCACTATATTACTTGTGATAAGACGTTGACTAAATAATATAAATTTATGTGTACTACTTCACATGAGTGACTCGGAGGCTTCGAAAATAAGTTCAAATCAATGATTCGAAATCAAGTTCGAACTAATGTTGTGATGGGCGCCTGAGAGCAGTGCTGTAGCAGTAAACAAGTTACAGAACAGTGTTCCCAGTAATCAAATCGCATTATGATTGACATTTATATACTAAAATAAGTAAATTCTAACAATTTAATGTGCATGGAACACACTATCATGGCCGAGGAAGACTTTGTCCATTTCGATGAGGGAAATGGTGAGTGGACACTTGTTTTGGATTCTTTAATATTCAGTGCCGGATTAACCATGAGGCACTGGCCTCGGCCCCAAATCCAAACATTCTTGAAGTTGAAGCGTATAAAACATGAACTTCGTTCAACCTAGCAAAGTCTCAATTTTCTGTCTCGTATGAACATTAAATGTGTTATTTTGCAGAAGCTTAATATTGATGAAATCATTGATAAATTTGGGTATATTTTGTTCTTGTTATTTATATATACCTTGAGGGGAGGGGGCCCCAAGTTGATCTGTGCCTCAGGCCCCTATTAAGCTTAATCCGGCCCTGTTAATATTGAACTGACATATTACTGTACATGTTACAGCTGCATTCTTTTTTTATTTACATTTACTTACGAATTACTGAATCATTGTAAATTGAAAGTAGTTGAATTGGTAATGGGGTATTCTTAGGTTGCCACTTAAATAATAGCTTGTTTTCTTTTATATTTTCACCAAGACGTTAGTTACTGTATATTGTACAGGTTTCAAATCTGGTGGAAGAGCAAGGAATTCATTATTTTAGGATTTTAACCCCCACCAGAAAGGGGAGGTCTGGGGAGTGCGAAGTTCCCTCACTTCAGATATAGTTCTTGGGTTCTGTGGCAAGGTTAGGTTAGGTTAGGTTAGGTTAGGTTAGGTTACATTACATTACATTAGGTTAGGTTACATTACATTAGGTTAGGTTACATTACATTAGGTTAGGTTACATTACATTAGGTTAGGTTACATTACATTAGGTTAGGTTACATTACATTAGGTTAGGTTAGGTTGGATATCTAAATACAGGGATGATTCACAGTAAAATTTTACTGTAAGGAAAAACACTAATCTGAATTTACTAAACTTTAGATGCAGCATAAAGGCTGGTAATATTTTGAAGGGTAATACAGAACTGAAATGGCTACCACCAGAAGTTGTTCTATTTCCTTCTTTTTTTTCGCATTTTCTTATTATAGTAAGCATTTTAAAAGAGGCAACAAGTTTTTAAATAAATTAAAAGTAGTTCTTTTTTTATTATTTTTTCTCTTTCTACAACAATAAATTATCTATTGTGGGCAAGGCATGATGGATGAGGGAAATTGCAGAGCAAAACACGGTGATAAACTGAGCATGACACTAATATTATGTTTCTACTTGCTTTTTCCGTAAATAAATTAATTATTTACCATAAACTCTCCTCCGAAAAATCAGCTTAGTCAGCGCATGTTGTCATCTGCTTAGTTTGTTTACAACCGACCATCTCGGTCCAAGCATACTTTCATGTCCACAAAAAAAGAGAAAAAATCACCATGACGCTTCAACAGAGTTGCTTTCATTGGTACCAGATATCAAAATAAGTACGTACTTTCTATTTAATATGGTGGGGGTCCAATGCGAGGAGCCCCCTGGCTAGGAAGTTAGGTAAAGTTAGGTAGGTTTCTTTGGTTGGTTAGGCCAGGTTCTATTAGGTAATAGTAAATGTTGCCTCTTTTAAAATACTTACAACTTGGTATAATGATAAGAACATCTGTGAAAAGAATTTACGAAATTGAACAACACCCTCTGGTGTTAGCCATCTCCTCCAGGATTACCTTTTGAAGTTGCCTTGCATGGAACTTTATATTGTTTGTTATATAGGAAGATAGAGAAAAAGAATTCTCTATAGTGTTTCCGTTATAATTATATAGTTTTGAGTTAATGTGACTTTTCTGTTTCACTTTAACACAATACAAATTAGCTGGATTATCCTTTGTTTACTTATTACTCAGCCAATCAGCAGAAGTCTGGATGTCATGTGATTCTCGTGAGCAAATCAGCAGAATTTTGGATGTCACATGATATTCGTGAGCCAATCAGCGTAAGTTTGGATGTCACGTGATACTCGTGAGCATGCACAAGCTCTGGAATTTGAATTGGGTAGTTGCAAGGCAGCATCTGTCTGTGAAGGTTGCTCCTTGGTGGATTGGCGCATAATTCAGCGAGTGTTGGGAATGAAGCTGCAGCTGTTGACATTTTAACAGGTCACAGTGTTCTCCGTTCTATAGTCAATTGTCTGAGGTGTGATTCAGATTGTCAGTATCGTGATGATTGGCATACTTGGTATTGCAGTAACAGACAGAAAGCTCTATAACTGGTCATTTCCAATGTAAATGAAGGTAAATTTTTTTAAAACATGATGAAATATCATTCTGCCAAATTCTAAAATAGATATACTAGGCCTCACCATTTCCTCTAATATGTCATGGAAGCCACACATCCTCAACATTGCTAAAGCTGCCTCCCAAAAGCTGGGAATGCTGTACAGATGCCATAGCTACTTCACTCCTGAGCAGTTGCTTCAAGTATATAAGGGATTCATTCGTCCTAACTGCTCTCATATCTGGGGTGGCTCTTCTTCTGTCCAACTGTTAGATAGGGTGGAATCAAAAGCATTTTGTCTTATCAACTCTCCTCCTTTAGTTGAAAATCTTTCTTCCCTTTCTCTTCCCCGCAATGTTGCTTCACTCTCTCTCTTTTACAGGTACTTTAACGGGCAGTGTTCGGTGGATTTGGCATCCTGTGCACCGCCGGTAAGACCATGAGCTCGTAACACACGTCTTGCCCGAGGTGCCCACCGTTTCTCTGTGGATGTCGGTCACATTAGAATAACCCATTATAGTACATCCTTCTTTCCTCACACAGCCAAACTGAGGAATTCTCTGCCTTCTTCTATGTTTCCACACTCATACAATCTGTCTCACTTTAAAAAGCTGGTTTTCCAGTACCTTTGTGGTGTAGATTAGCATACCCTTTTTCTTTTCTATTTTTAATATCTTTTAACTCTTATTTTTTGCCCCCCATTGTGGGTCGATGACCTGTGCCCGGGTGGGTTATTCCCCGTAAAAATAAATAAATAAAAATAAAAATATTCCATAGTATTTTCTTTGCGTGGCAACTTCAAAATATTTACCTAAAGGCTTCCTGACTCACTCGTAGAATAAAGAAACAATATCAGGGAATTTTTTTAGAATTTTACCTTAATTCTCTTCACCACTGATCGGCTCATTAGCCACTTGGGTGATCGGTCATGTGTCTGTTAGGCGCTGTTGGCAAGTACTGGGCATGCACTGGCACCTGAATGTATCAGAACCTGCTCCAGTGCTTGTCAAGTCTGGTCTTGAAAAAGGTCACACTCAGTGCTGTCACAACATTCTCTGTCAGATTGTTCCAAGAGTTCACAACTCTCACTCCAAAAAAGTTACCCCTCACAGTTTTCTGGACTTGCGGCTTCTTCAATCTTGAGCTGTGACCCCTTGTGGGGCGAGCGTCAACCGACTCCAAGTAAGGACACTCGACTGAGTAGTGCCCCTTGAGATGCTTATATACCTCAATTAGGTCTCCCCTTGCCCATCTGTAGTATAAGCTAGGCAATTTCAGCCGCTCTAATCTCTCAGGGTAGCTGAGGTGCTGAAGTGCAGGCACAAGTCTGGTGGCCCTCCTTTGGACATTTACAATCAACTGACAGTCTCTAGCATATCTCGGGGACCAGACAGGGTGACAGTACTCCATACGGGGAAGCACCTCACTCCTGAAGATCATTACGAGAGATGGATCGTCTAGATATCTGAACGACCTTCTTATACGACCTAATAATTTAGTTGCCTGATTCACTTTCTTCTTGCAATGGCCTGAGAACCTCAGCTCATTATCAACATACAGTAGGCTCTCGCCAATAACGACTTCCACAATAACGTTTTCGACAATAACGGTAAGTTACAATAGACACCCATTTTCAATAATAACGTCTGGATTCTCTTGAATAATGGAAATTTCGCGGGAAGCTTCCGAGCGCATCAATGATAGCGTTTGTTTGCCGCCATGTTGATGACGTAGTTGTCCGCTCCGCCTCGCTCTCGCACACGCTCAGTGGAATACAGCGCTGTGCCCACGTGTGAGATTTTCACCTCTATAACCAGTGGTTGTTTGGGTCGGTGATCAATAATAGCTTCCGCATTTTTGCCTATAGGGGCTAGGGGAGGTGTTGGAGGGAGTGATTTGCCACCTGAATGACTGGGAACTTTTAAAGTGAGGAAATTGAACTGTCCTGAGTCTACAGTGCAAAATATTAAGAGGAACTTAGAGGAGACCAAGAAGAGTAGTGCGCTGGCTAAAAATATTTCGGTACTGTTGGAAATGCGAGGCGAGCTATGAATGATAAAGGTAATAGAAACAGGTTGTTAGTGATAACAGAGCATTTTCTTGTGAAATGGTTAGCCTGTAGAATGAAAGACAGTGCAAGTGTTAGCGGCCCTCAGATACGGAACAATCATCGCACCAAGCACCTCAAAAACTCCCCCAAGCTAAGTGTTATATTACTCAACCTCTTTATTTTGATGATTGAATAGCAATTCTTTTTATTTCAGCTAACAAAAAGTGTTAGGAGGGCTTCAAGGGAAAAAATGGGTGAAATTCTTGTGGCGGCGGCACCAATAAACCCTTTTTACATGTACATGTATTTTAATGTCACACAAATAACGTTTTCGCTAATAACGGTGTTTTTCAGGCACCTATTAAACGTTATTGGTGTGAGCCTACTGTACACACCTAGGTCCTTTTCACATGCAGTCTCACTTAGTGCAGTTTCTTTGTCCCATTGGGACATATGATACGCCTCCTTACCGTTGGTACATCCCTGGTGCAGCCTCTTACACTTCTTGACATTGAATCTTAGCAGCTTTTTCTTTGACCATCCTTGAAGCTCACAGAGATCCTTCTGGAGCACTTCACAGTCTACTTGGTTCTTAATTTCTCAAAATAACTTGGCATCATCTGCAAACATTTGTATGGAGGAATGTACGTCAGGCATGTCATTTATGAAGCAAACAAACAACAGCGGGCCCAATACACTGCCCTGTGGTACCCCACTTGTGACGGGTACACATGATGATTTCATGTCATTAATCACCACACACTGTTTGAGGTCATGGAGAAAGTCTCCAATCCATCCTTGCACATTTCCCCGAATCCTGTATATCTTTTACATCCCTCAAAACTGGAAAAACTCCCCCATCCCTAGAATTTTCCGGTTACTGGGTAAATTTTCTCAGAATTTTCCAGAAACTGTGCCCCTCGGAAAATTGTTCCCAAAGCCGGAATTTTCCAGAAAATTCCGGCTTTGGGGAAGATTTTCCAAGAAATTCTAATTTGCAGCCATCGCAGAGTTCTGGTTAAGAGGGATTATGGCTAACAGAGATATTACTGAGCCATGCAGAGTGAACATCCACACAAACAAACACTGTGCTTTATGTACTGTATTATATCAGATGAACAATTTTGGTTTAATTTGTTTTTGTATTCATTTATGGTTAAATGTTTGGTGCTTTTTCTTACATACATTATATTTTCAGTATTTGACGGTGAGAGGTTACCTGTATCTGCAGTTCATACTCTAGATGGAGAGTCACTTGTTGGTGAGTCATGAACAAGTCAGTTGTTACTAAGTCTCGTGAAACCCACACAGTTGACTCTTGACAGAACAATTCAGTTGATTACCAGCCACTAATTTATACAATTTTTTTTTTTTTTATGGAACAATGGGTTCCAGTAGAAAGTCAGATTAAAATTTCTAGTAAATGCTCTAAGCCAAGCAGCTACTGTGCTTACAGAATTCCTTGCTGGAAATTCTAGAGCTTTAATCACACTCACATATGTCAGCTAGGGCTAATTTTGTTTGTCCAACCTTCCTTGCTACACCCATTGGCTTTAACTGGAGTACAGTAGGTGAAGTACAGTCTCGTTCAAGATTCTTCGAACACTGCTGAAGACAGCTGGCAATTCAAGGCCGTTTGTTTACGTATTATAGTACACAAACGGCCTTGAGTTGCCTTCAGCAGTGTTTGAAGAATCTTGAACGAGACTGTACAAAGGTTGCCCTCTGTAGGCAGTAGGCTTTTTATAAACTGTGCCTACACAATCAACAAACACATCATGGCAAGGTTACTATTTACCATCTTAATTGCAGGTCACTCTGCCATTAGACAATTCATTTCATGGGTGACAATCATCAGGAGTGACTGCTTCAGACTGTTGAGAGGAATATACAGTACTGTAACTCAGTCTTTTATTAGAAGTAACTGAGAAAAAGATAAAAGAATCATTTATTGACAGGAACAGGAAGTTAGCAGAAACTTTTATTTGGGGGGATTTTGGAAAGCTGTGTTAATCAGACTGCTCTTAGCTGGCCCATCACCACTCTTATTACACATCACATCAATGTGTTTAAGCATGATTGTATAATACTACATGAAGTTGGAAATAACAAAAAAACACGAGGTCGGAAAAACATGGTAAGTGTAAACAAGTGCTGAGCAGTAGGAATGAGTTAGAGGCAGTGTGCAGAGCCCTCTCATGGCACGAATTTGCACTATGCCACTGCCTGCCAAATTCAAAACAGCTCTGCCACGCCTCTCCCAATCATCGGATCTCGGGGTTATCAACAAAACTAGCGAGGTATTTCCCCTATATGTAATCGTCGGTTTTTGGGGTATACAGGTACCCGTATACAGATCTTTGAATGCTGTAAAGACTTGTCATGTGTGAGTGTGGTTTGATATAATAATGGGATGTGCCTCTGCTTTGTAGTATCACTATGGCTGTTCATTATATTATAGACAACAGTACTGTACATGCAATGAGTGGGGGAATGATCCCTTTTACATTAATTTCTGTTTTAGTGTTAATGTGTTTTCTTTTTTATTCCAATACTCCATTTGCTTAGTACCTTGCTGAATACTGTATTTCTAATCTTTAATATATTGGTGTGTGATGCTGAGGTGATGTATGAAGAGAAATAGTTTAGGGCATGTTGCAGAAGGGAACATAATAGCAGCAGCATGAAGGAAAAAATGACCCTTTAGAGGGTATGGGGTTCTTTCAGCTGAATAAAATTGTCTGGCATTTGCCAGAATGACATACCTTTGTGAATTAAGGAGAAATTTGTGTTGCTCTTCAGGTTTATCATATTTTGCAGTAGCAGGCCTGTTCTGTAATATTAGTGAAGAAAAAAAAGTTAAATAGAAATTAATTATCTTCTTGTACAATTCATGTTCATGTCTTACAGTGATGAAGTATGAGAAAGACAGCTTTGAAGAGACTCCCATCAAGACAGAGGCTGTGGGGGAAATTTTACTACCACCCCCTACTGATGTTATTACACCTGGTGAGGCTCTCTCTCTCCTATAAATATTATGGTAACAGACAAAACAAACCAACCTCACTGAAATCCTAGAATCGTATAATACAGTACCTTCATTAATCTTAGTACTAACAACCATATCTTCATAAGAGTAATAATAATAATGGTAATATTTATTCAGTTAAATCATCATACAAGTTTACAATTTGTTCGGTATTCACAGTACAGTATATAGAATATGCAGGTATACAGCTCAGCATGCATATAGACAATACAAGTACTGTATACAGTTCAGCATGCATATAGACAATGCAGGTGTATTCAGTTAGGCATGCGTATAGACAATGCCTATTAGCTTTATACTTTATTGACAGATCTTCTTCAATCTCAAGGTGAAAGTTTCCTATTGGAAGAATACAACTCACTATTGTAGCTTTTGTAGTTTCAAGCTTACTGGTATGTTCCTTGGGTATGAGGCATCTCTCTCTGCTGAATAAAATCGTCTGGCGATACCCAAATAAAATATTATAAGTGGCGTCCAGCAGTGAAGGGGTTAAAAAAGAAATTCAAACTGATCGTGAGTGAATCACGCATGTAGAAGCTGAGCATATTTATTTACAAATATTTAGATTGTTTTCAATTGTCCATTTTAATTCCTGTAGCTGCAGTGTTACAAATCTTTAAACTGTTGCAAAATTAAGATGTTACTAAACAAACAACTTTTATTGACTTTGATAGGTGACCACACTGAGGTGAATGCCATAACTGAGGAGAGTATACTGGTGAGCAGCACTCCTGACCTGGCTAAGCTGCCCACACTAGAAGTCACCATAAACCATACAGGAAGCTCTCATGCCCATAACACTGGTAAGCTTAGTTCAGTACATTATAACTATTAATCCCCAAAAATTACCTGTATTACTTTTGCTGGTAATCTCAACCTCAGTTACTTGTAGGCAAACAAGCATACAGTACAATCCTTCAAGAATTTTGAGCTCTATTGCATGACTCTGTGACTCAGTTGGTAGTGTTCTTGACTCCCAACCTATCAGACACATGGTCAAGCATGGTTGGTGGGACATAATTCTACAATAGTTTATGCTAATTTGCCCACCAGCCACATCAGTGATCTGGGTTAAGCACCCTACTTGCTGTGCCACAAATTATGTGATATGGTATAAAGAATGTAAGCTTTTTTAATTGATGCATCTTGGACTCTTGATTGAATTTAGAGGTAGCTTCCATTTTTCAGCAAGTTTATACACTTAATCCCTTTTATTGGAGCCTTGTATGCATTAAAAGGCAATACTGTAGTATATAATATTGGCAAGACTTAAATTTTTATTGACATTATTTGTATTGATTGTAGGAATTGTCTTTTCTCTTTGATATGACAGAAAGCAGAAGAGTTGCAGTTTACAAACATGCATTATCTGGGGAACAAATTGTCCTAAGTGAAGAAGAAAAACATCCAAAGGCTCCTCAAGAACTTAATGAAATGCTGGTGTTAGATGATGGCAATAGTGTTGTTAGTTTACAAAAGTCAGTTGTTGATGAGTACCGAAGAAAGACAAAGTACTATGGCCCATTGAAGGCAGCTGTTGAAAGAGTTAAAGTGGTGCAGGAGGGCAAAGAGAGAGAAGTGCTGAGGACTAAATTAATGCAAGTGAAATTTGTGTCAAAGGATGCCTCTGGACAAGATCTCAAAGGGAAAGAGCTTTTGCAAGCAGTAGCAAAAATCCCTGGACTCATTCCATCTTGTGATCCTCCAGTCAACCATGAGGAAGAAAGTGGAAATGGTGTTGTCAGTGAGAGTGAGGATATTAATAAAGGAGACATGGTATTGATCAGTTTTGGTGATGATGATAACATTAGTATTAGCAAGAAAGCTATAGAACAATATAGAAAACTTTCTCAGGTAACAAAACCACTTGGAGTTCAGCGAGAGAAAACTTTTAAAATTCAAGATAATGAAAGGATTCCTATTACCATTGTACGGTTGTTTCCCAGTGAGAATGTTGTACCTGCTTCATCACCTGTCTGCATAAAAGTAGAAACTCCTCAGGAAGAAAAAATACCAAAGGTAAGAAGAGGGCGACCACGAGGACGAGGAAGAGGGGCAACAAGAGGTAGGAGGAGACAGCAACCCAAGTTCCTGCAGGAGTACACGGCTTTGCAAAGAGGTCTTAAACCAAAAGTAAAAGAAGAACCCGAGTCTGATCATTTAGAAGATACACCTAAGAGTGAGTCTGAGGATGGTGGCATCAGTACCTTTGGTTATGAAAGTGGTGTGATTGTTCAAATGAGTCCTAGTTATAATGCTTCTGAGACTGACATGGATGATTTTGACAACTGTGATAATATTAATGGAGAAGACATATTGCCATTTCAGCTTAATTCAGCCCCTGTCGATATGAGTTCAAAGCTCACATCAAATGAAATTTGGAAATATCTTACTGAATATGCCTCAAAATGTAACAGAGTTCAAGGTTTGATAACACAATTTAATAATGAAAGCTGGTTAGAGGTTAAGAGAATGTCAGATTTTTTTCATGTAGATGGTGAAGTAATGACGGATGTGTCATTTAAAGCTGTGTACCGGAATGATCCTTCTCCTGTTACTTATTTCCTCCGAGGATTTAGTAGATTAATAAGAACGGGGGAGTTGTCCACGGCAAATGACATCAACCACCTATTTAAATGTTTGTCTCATGACCGAAAATTGTGCCTTGGTTTAAAACCTTCTCCTTACCAGCCAGATGTAGAAACAAATGAACAAGTAAGGCTCTATTTCAAACAAAAGGGCCAATTTGTGTCAACACCATTTGAAAGTCTCTTTTCCAAAGCCTGCCGAGGAATAATAACCATTAGAGGTAATTCAAGTTCTACCACTTTCACCCGAGGCTCCAAGAGCATACTGGGTGTGCATGCCCTGTGTAGTGCTTGTGCCATGCTGGGCAAGAAGATGAATCAACTGATGAAGGCTTCCCAGAAAAATGGTGCTAATGTCAGAATTAACAGTTCAATTGAAAAGGTGGGTTACATTGTATATTGTACATTTGCATGCATTCACATATACATTTGCAGCTCTTTCCTACTGACATAAGGTAGCAAATGGTATTTGGTATTCAGCTGCGGAGCAATAAAAGAAATCATCCTGAACCTCGTATTTATGCTTGTGAGTTAGTGTACGTATTAGCAATTAAGTTGATTATATAATTGTAACTTCCATTAAAGAGTATGTAACATGACTCATAAATTCATTGAAATAGTACAGTACAGTGTATTTAATTATGAGGATTTTCATCTTATACTGGTCATAGAACATAGAGAAGTGGTACCTGTATATACTGTATTCTGTACTAACACACTTCTTTGCAATCAAATACTGTAGTGGTCCTGATATCTTATACTGTACTTAGTAAATTTTTACATTTTTGTTTCAGTTAACTGAAGATAAGTATAACAAGCAACTCTTTCGGCAGCCAATCAAGAATAAAGGAGCACCCTTGAGCAGCAGTGCTATACGGCAGATCTTTACTCAAAGTGTTGCAGAGGTTCTATCTGCACGAGTTCCAACTGGTCTTTCTAATACCCAAGATGAAACCGACTTGGATGAAGAAGTCCGAGTAAGAGGTAAACGGAAAAAAGGCAGAAAGAGACCCAGTGAGGAAGGTGAAGAAGAGGAGGACACGAGACCAAGTGTTGGTGTTTCAGAGGAAGAATTTTTACAGATGATTGATCTACGTCCCCCAAATCCTGGTATTATAGCAAGATCATTAGTAAAGCGGTGTAATGTATGCCAATTTCGTGCTCCTACAATGTTAGCCCTATTTTCTCACATGCAGGGACATATGGGTACACTAAAGGAGAAGTGTAGTGATTGCCAAGTTCAGTTATCCAGCAAAGAAGCACTTGAAACTCATCGAAAGCAAATGCACACTCAACGTTCTCCCATGTGTATTATATGTCAGTTGGACTTTACCACAAAAGATCAGCTGTTTGATCACATGAATAAGCATCGTGATCACCATCCATTTGAGTGTCCATTTTGTGATCATAAGCTAACTAATATGGATGCATACAAAAAACATGTAAGATTAACACACAAAATTAAATCTGTTAGAGAGTTGAAATTATCTTGCAAAACTTGTAATATACACTTTTACACTCGGGATCACCTACTCTTACACCGTGTGAACCAAAATCATGAAGATATAGATATGTTTAATTGTAAAGCTTGTAGCTCCTCTAGTGTTACAGCTAATGAATTTCGGAGTCACGTTTTAGAACATACAGAAGAAGAAAGAGAGGCAGCAAATATAGCAATCTGTTCACAGTGTTACAAAGTTTTCTTTTCAACATTTAAACTAAAATTCCATATGGAAACAAAGCATAATCAAGGGAAAAAAGAACCAGAGCCAGTTCAAGTTGAACCTCATACTAGTGAACCACCAAAGAAGAAAAAGAATAAGGGACCATACTTAAGGTACTTAAGGGCCAATGAAAAATACGAGTGCCACAAATGCAGACGAAGATTCAAAATTCGGGAAACATTGGAAAATCATGTAAAATTCTCTCATGGTGAAAAGAAAGTAACAAAGGCAGACTTTGAGTGTAATCAGTGTGGTCGCAAGTTCAATGCCCTTCGACGACTGGCCAATCACACAAAAATTCATTCGGGTAATAGACCTGTTTTCCAGTGTGAAGAGTGTGGTCAGATTTATGGCAAAAAGATTCAAGTGCTAGAACACATCCGTACTGATCATGCTGAGCAGGTACAGCGCCACCAACAACGACAGGAGCTTCTGCAATCTAGTCAACCAACTGATTCTTTAGGAGACATTCAGGAGCAGCCACAACACCCAGTCATTGAAGGAGTAGCTTCAGCCTCTTGGAGTCCTATCAAGAGTCCTTTCAAAGTTCCTACAGTAGAACAAACTCAAGAGGCAGTGTATAGTCTGCTGCAGTTAACAGACTTCTAATTGGTAGATACCGGTACAGTACTTTGATTCCTGTAGATAACAGCCAATCATAAAACTATTGAATCGTGTTTGTGATGTCAGTGTATGTAGATGATAAATGAGAATTTTATCAATTGCCATGATACAGGGTGATTGGAATTATGAAGAACTTAAAACTCTCCCTTTACAGGTATTTGTTCATTCACTCTTGTCTAATTACTGTCACGTGTTATTTTAAGATGTTCATATTTCACAGTTAAGCTCTCGATATGCATTTATTTTATTCTTGTTACTTCACACAATGGAGCATCACACATCAAGGACAAAAAAGTGAAGTGTAGAAAAGTTTGTAACATCTGGAGAGGACGGGTTTGAAAAATTGCTTGAAAGATGTACGTACAAGCAATGAATTGATTATATACAGAATAGCAGGGAAAATAAGAGATCATGTATGTTAGACATTAGAAATTATAGTGTTTGAAGCATTCATATAACAAAAAACTTATTCACTATGTAAACTTCAGCATAAACTAATTACAGTAATATCCCGACTGTGACCCTATTTGCCGTCGCAATAAACGGAGTAATAGCATTGGTTCCAGGTGGTGTATCAGTCTCATAATATGTAGACGACTTGGCCATTTAGTATGCAGCTTCCCACATGTTGGACCACACAAACATGGTTTCTGAATTTCTCCCTTGAAGACCATTGCCATGCATTTCTGCTGCCTCTGAGGTGTTCACCCAGATCTTGATCTACAGTTCTCTGGTCGTCGTGTGCGGTGTGTCACAGAGACCTGTTTCCTGGGCATTATCTTTGACAACCAGCTTATATGGCAGCCACATATTCGTTACCTAAACGTCTTGCCAACGTGCTCTCATGTTATTGAGAGTCTTGGGGCACACGTCATGGGTGTGAGGTGTACTCGTCAGCCACTGAGGCTAGACTTAATATACTCCACACTATTCATCATGCTGGGGTGCACTTGGCGACCGGTGCCTTCAGGTCCTCGCCAATCCCAAGTCTACTAGTTGATGCTGATGAGCCAACCCTTGATCTTCCACGTCAGTATCTCCAGGTCCAGTGTTGGTTTTGCCTCCACCGCCTTCTGCAGTCTATAACCAACACTTGTGTCGTTGGTGAGACTATGTCCCCAGATTAAGAATCCAATCAAGCCTTCCACAACCTTTTGGCTTCAGGGTAAGGGAGGTTGTGAGTATTCTTTGCTTCCTCCTGTTCACATATGCCAAATGCAGTTCCTTAGTGCTGCTCCATGGATTCTCCCAGAAGTTCAAGTTTGTTAGTACAGTGGATACCTGTACTGTACAATATTGTATCATAAATGACAATCATGGTAGAATGTGTGGGATAAGCAGCATGTCAGTGGGATGCAGTGGGTGGGAGGGAGGGAGGCGGAGGCCGTGGATATTATACGGATCATCCCATGGCTGAAACTAATCCATCTATTCATCACTGAAATTATGATTTAGGTGGTGATAATAGAAGTAGTGGTGATGGTGGGGGTGGTGATGCATCTATCAGTTTTTTTGGTAACATTGCATCTGCAGCACTGCCAGAGGCTATTGAACAGCTGATATCTACTCACAAAATTGAATGTAAATGTAAATAAGCAATGTTGTATCCCTTCAACATTACATTACATAATTTTTTTAAATGTGGAGTGAGAAAGCAGAAAGGTGGGGGTGATTAGAGAAGTGGAGTGGTAAAAACCATGCATCGGGTGTGTTGCCAAGTGCTCCTCAACAGCTGATCTACGACCTGCCACTGCGCACACTTGTGCTTCAGTTAACCACACAATTTTATGTCATACAACAAGATCTACACGTAATATGAAATTTTAAAACACATTGACTAACCAACTGTAGTCATAGGTGCTCACTAAAGTGAATATAAACAACGAGAGTTGCTCTCGGCATGTTGTGAGTGTTCAGACTTGTGACTTACTTTATGGCTTTTCATGTCTCTTCCCCCCCCCCCCAGTAAAACTTAGAGCTCCAAGATGCAAGCCTTCTACCAGATATCACTAACCAGGATATTACTGTACTGAATTAATTGATTTAATATTATTTATTTGTAATTTGGAAATTCCAAAATCAGATATCTGTGAATTTAAGAAAACTTGTACATTTTGAAAATATTAAAGAGAGAAACAAATCAACCTGAGCTTGCACAAGTGACCCACTATATAAGCATCATGCACTCTTCAAAAGTACCTGGCAGGTTTCACATAAGACAGTGCTTACTCTTTGATTTTGTGGTCTTGTACTTTGGAAAATGTTTAGCAAACATCAAGGATCTTTATTTAGAACTCAAGATATGTTTAAAATGGAGTATTTACCATTAACCTAAATACATTCTCAACTCAGTTTGTAAGGGAAGTTTTAGTTATAAAAGAAAGTGCTATTTGTTTCACGGAGATAAACATTCAACATTGTTTATAAATTCACATATAGCTCTGGTTTTAATTTAAATATATAACTATCTTGTTATAATAATGTAGAAAGTGTTTAAGCTAAAAGAATAAGGTGAAATAGGCATGTGAAGTGCCATGGTCCTGTAATAACTATTATTGACAACATACAACACAAACTAACCAAAACTGTAACTAAACTAATACTGTATTATATGATCATTAGGATAAATTACCCGGTAGGTTTGCTTTGGCTGGTCAGGTTTATCTGTTGTATTATATGGTTACACTTGCCTTGTCTACAGGGCTGTGGCACTTTTAAAATGCTTGTTTTATCATTTATTTTTGTACAGTTTTGTTCTTTTTACTTTGTGCTGCTGGCAAGGTGATTTGTTTCTTCTCAGTAATAAAAAATACTGTATGTGAGTTTGTAATGGAGTTCCACTTAAAGTTGTCCACCACCAGGCTGAATCATTATTTACCTTGGGAACTTTAATATAGAAATGGTTTGTGGTGTCAAGGAGGAGGTGCTTAAGGGTAGAATGACCTTGCTGAGAAAAAAAAAATCATTCTTTTGGTCCCAACAGTGCTGAGTTTTCATAGTTATACTGTACTACTATTGTATACATGTACAGTACTGTACTGTATTTATTCCCTAATTAACGTACTGTATGTTTCCTAGTTAAACATAGTAAACAACCAAATACTGTACTTCTGTGCTCAATATTTGCATAATGAATATCCACAGTCAAAATTTAGGATCATTAATTTAATATATGCAATGCTCCCTTTATCTGTGGTCAGTCAAGTAGACACTAAAACCTTCCAAAAGGACCAAGGTGAGCAAACCTTGTGTCAACTCACTAATCCAGTGCTGTGGGTTAGTCCCAGACTGTCTTACTTGTAGATTAAGTATGGTATGACTTATTTCACAACTATGTTAATTGTTATTAGCAGTTATAAGGAACGTTGTTATAGAACAATGGAAGTGTGGGAGTCATTGCCTGCCTCTCACTCGGTCTTTTGCATATAATCGTGCTGTCCATACACTGTCCTTGTGTCACCTCTACTCAGCTATAATGTGTACATTCACTCACTTAGTAGATTTGTGATACTTTCAGTGCTATTGTGATGGCTTCCATGAATTGGGCAGGGGGGAGATGAGTACAGTACTCACACATGTAGGTTCTCAAGGGCCCTTTCTCCAATTTTAGAATGCAGTGATTACATTTTCAGGCTAATCTTCCTCTCGGTTAGTCTGGAATTGTGGAGGTTTACACTATTGTACTGTATTATGATTATGTACTTGGTTTCAAAAATAAAAAGTTATTCCAAGATGGCCAGCCTAGAACTTAAAATTTAAGTTACATTAGTCAATTATTTACAGATTCACCTATCATCAGGCTACCCAGAACATATGAAGCATTGCAAGTAGCAACTTGCTACTTGGTTGTCATTTTGAGGCGATACATTCCTATTTCTTCAAGTTGCTATGGGATAAGGTGACAGTTAAGAAATTAAGAAAGAAATTATAGGTGTAAAGTTTACCTGTGACTGAAAATTAAGAATTTAACAAATCCTGAAATCAGGTTTTCACTTGCTTTCATAATGGACTCCAGATGGATAACTGTTACAATGGAGGTACCCTACTAAGGGCGAAAACTGTACTGTACCAAGCTTTGCTGCCAAGCATAATCATGTACAGTACTCTCTGATCTATGGTATTCATTTGTTGACATCAACCAATGAAATATCAACATTAGAGGTTATCAAACTGGCACTCAGTATACGCTTTTCGGGTTTATTATGTGCTCCTTTATGGATGGTGATATGAGCAAATTGGAATCCTTCGGAGAATTTGAAAACCGGCTATCCAGTGACATCACTTAGGATTTGGGTCATTTGCAGTGATTTGAATTATTTCCTGTAAGTCTGATCCACCCCTCCTCATTTTTTTGTCTTCTCCATTGTGACACTCTTAAGGCTCTATGTACCCCCCAGAAGGGATCCTAGACACATGCCTTGGTGTTTGTCATTACTGTACTTCCTTTGAGTCATAATGAGTTTTTGCTGACACACTCTTGCAACTGATCTTTCTCACAAAATTTGCCATCTCTGATTGGTCATAAAATACTTTATACTCTGTAACAGCTTTTTCATCATCATGATCATCATCATACTTATTAGCTGGAACAGACATACGTTTGAGGCAGTGCCAAGAGTCAGCAGTGTGTCAGCTACCACAACTGCAGCACCTGGGGTCAACAACATGGCCCACACCACCCCCATTCAGGTGATCTCTGATTTTCGGAACACAGACGGTGGACTTATGGTTACGTGAGCAGAAGTGACATCTGGGGTATTGGGGATTACTGGCCACTGCGCCGTTAGGCTATTTCGGCCGAAGCTGATTGGTTGTCGACTAATTTGATTTGGACTTCTTCCGTTTCTTGTTCCTTCTTTTACTTTTCACTTTCCATTCTTCTTCTTGGTCTTGCTCCGGAAGATTTTCGTACACTTCTATAAACGGTGTTAATTGTAGTCTTATAATATCGGATTCAATTTTGGCTTCTTCTTTTTTCGCGGTCTTCTTGCGGTCTGGAACTCGCTGCTGATTGGCTGAGGCGAGGATGGCAGGTGGCCAATCAGCGAGTGGTTCAGGAGTGGAGGCTGTGATATGGAACTCGCTGCCGATTGGCTGAGGCGAGGACGGCAGGTGGCCAATCAGCGAGTGGTTCAGGAGTGGAGGTTGTGATATGGAACTCGCTGCTGATTGGCTGAGACTAGAACGGCGGAGCGGTTGTAGTGAGAGCAAGCCACTACTCCCTGCTTAGTCCTTATACAAAAATCATTATTCCTGTTCATATAACTCTGACAACCCAAACCCTAACAGCCAAACTACAAATTAATCAAAATAAAATAGTGGGGCTTTGATTTAGATATGGAGGTAAGTCTTTTCCCAAAGGATCATATCGGTCACAAAAGTCTTGCAAATAACATTATACACATGTGACAGGTAGAGTAAAACAGTTGGTGTATAAGATTGTCGGTGGTTTGTATCCAGGATATCTTGCATCAAACTTGGTCACCATTTGGGATCTAAATCAGCAATTGCCTAAGGGGCAATTAACTTTGCATGTTCCACTTTTTTAATATTGTTCATAGAGATGGGACCGTTCAGACAAGATAAATTTCATGACTTACGAAACATTTTCAGGGGCTTAAAGTATTTCTGTAGTTGACAAATTACAAGGGAAAGATAGTCGATAACAGGTCAGAATATAATACAAACAGTTCTATAACTACTGTGATAAATTTCCCGGTTAGTATTGATAGTGAGCTACATGAGATGTGCGAGGATGTACGAACAATGAGGTGCACACGTGTCGTGTAGGTGTGGTTAGGGTAATTTGGACAGGTGCAATGGTACACCAAGGTAAATGTACTGGGTACACAGAGGATAACAGTACTGTATTTCACACAATGAATTGTAGAAGCGTCGTTTGGTATTGAAATAGCTCACACTCGGTACCGTCACAACACTCTGGTACATAGATTATTTCCAAGAGTTCAATTCTCATTTCGAAAAAGTTTGCCCTCAGTTTTCTGGACTAGTGGCTTCTTCAACCTGTGGGGCGGGCGTCTGCCAGCTCCAGGTATGGACATTCGATTGAGTAATGCCCTCTGAGATGTTTATAAACCTCAATTAGGTTACCTCTTGCCCGTCTATTGGATAAGCTAGGCAATTGTAGGCGTACTAATCTGTCTGGGTAATTGAGGTGCCGTAGTCTGGTGGTCCTCCGTGGTCCATTTTCAATCAACTGATAGTCTCTAGCATATCTCGGGGACCAGACAGTAAGTCTCTAGCATATCTCGGGGACCAGACAGTACTCAGACGTTACGAAGGATATCTGAACAACCTTCTTATAAGACCTATTAATTTAGTTGGGTAAATATTTGTCCATTGGCTGTCCTCTTGTTTTGATACAAGAATAGGTTTCTGTGGTGTGTTTGTTTTACTCGAATCTGACCTTCATTTCTTGTGCAAATTGGCTGTTTTTGCAACACAACAAAAGAACGCTTTCATGTGTAACAAACCGCTAATTTGCACAAAAGTGGCGGTCAGGATTGAGTAAAAGTTAAAACACACCATAAAACCAAAAACAAAACAAAAAACAAATCAAACCAAACTTAACCTAACCTATAATACATATAACCTAGCCCTGTTTTCTGGAGCTTACCTGCTACTGTGGTGGAGGGTACAGCGGGACGATCTGGAGAAGGATGTGGTGGAGGATGGTAATTTTTGTCTTTTTTTAAAACTAAACAATTTCCACGCTTAGAACACAGTCTTGATGTTGGTAGTACACCGAGATCTTGTAATATTTGTATTGTTTCACTGTCGTTCTCATAAACTCGTTGAATAATACATAGATATGGGAGAGAGCACTTATAACACGCCATCACGAAAGCCTTCAAAATTTGAAAGTGCGCGGTGAAAAGCTGGTTAAAAATGATTGGACAGCCAAATCACATGACACGATACTTAAAGGTCACGAAGAGGCGAATACAGAAATATACGCGCAGAAATTATTTAGATACTCCGTTAATATTGATTTGCACAAGAAATTATATGAAGTCGTATGTTTCGTTTTTTCTAGTCTTTGTAATATTGAAAATTGGAAACCTGCGGACAGCCAATGGACGAATATTAGCCTTTAGTTGCTTGATTTACCTTCTCGCAATTACCCGAGAACTTTAGTTCATTGTCAACATACACACCCAGGCCCTTTTCGTATTCGGTATCTATTAATGCAGTCTTTCTCAGAACACAATGTGGGCCAGAAGCTGGAAGATTGTTCGTATCCTCCAGTGAACATTGAGGATAAGAATTTGTTCGATGCCGCCTTGTCCTGGTCAAAATCTGCATAACTACCATCTTCAAGCCTCACATCCGATACGCCTACTCTATTTCTTAATTTTGATTTTGGGTTTGACTGGACCTCGCTTGCAATCCGCCTCTGGAACTTTTTGTTGTCTTGGCTTACGATTTCTACTTATCATTGTTAGATTTGTCTCACAGTCAGGTCAGGTTAGGCGATGTGTCAAACTCTGTGAGGTAACGTAATGTGTACGGATATAAGGAGTTTTTGTAGTGACAGTAATACCAGCCCTCCACTGAGGAAGGTGATATATAAAAATAAATAAATAAATAATCATAACATCTGTGTAGTTTCGTGCGTAGTGGAGAGTTGGGTTTTCGAACTTCTCGGGTTCGTCGGTTGACTTAAGAGCAACCGGCTATTCAGTCTTACTTTTATCCTCTTCGCCACTGATCGGCTTGTTAGCCGCTTGGGCGATCGGTCACGACTCTTTTCCTTTATATTCTTCACCAAAGGTCGGCTCGCTAGCCGCCCGGGCGATCGGTCACGTCTCTGTCACGCACTGTTGGCAAATACTGGGCATGCACCGGCTCCTGAATGTACCTGAACCCGCTCCAGTGTTGGTCAAGTCTTCTCTTGAAAGAGCTCACACTCGGTGCCGTCACAACACTTTCTGGTAGATTGTTCCAAGAGTTTACAACCCTCACTCCGAAAAAGTTTGCCCTCACGGTTTTCCGGACTTGCGGCTTCTTCAATCTTGAGCTGTGACCCCTTGTGGGGCGAGCGTCCGCCAGCTCCAAGTAAGGACACTCAACTGAGTAGTGCCCCCTGAGATGCTTATAAACCTCAACTAGGTCCCCCCTTGCCCGTCTGTAGTATAAGCTAGGCAAGTTCAGGCGCTCCAATCTCGCAGGGTAGCTGAGATGCCGAAGTGCAGGCACCAGCTTGGTGGCCCTCCTTTGAACATTTTCAACCAACTGACAGTCCCTAGCATATCTCGGGGACCAGATGGGGTGACAGTACTCCAGATGGGGAAGCACTTCACTCCTGAAGATCGTCACGAGGGACGGACCGTCTAGATATCTGAACGACCTTCTTATAAGACCCAATAATTTATTTGCCTGATTACCTTCTTCTCACAATGGCCCGAGAACTTCAGCTCATTGTCAACATACACACCTAGGTCCTTCTCACACACAGTCTCAACTGGTACATTTTCTTCATCCCGTTGGGACATATGGTACGTTAATTATGTCGTTAATAGAACCCGTCCATTTAAACTGTACAGAAAAACCTTGACTTTCAATTTTGCATCTCAAGAGATTCCAACCTTCGAATTTGTTGCTAGGTAAGAATGTGTCAATGTCCTTCGCTTAACGTCTTGTGGCACTCCCTCACACTATACGGGTAACATGATCACTAATACACAAGCTAATTTGAGAGGGGCGATCATAACTGATGTAGGGAATGGCATATGGTGATGCTCCAAGTATTACAGAATCATTTAGAGGTGAAAGAAAGAAAGATATAGAGAAACTCTCTCGTCACGTACGGCGGCATTAAAAATTATAGTTACCATTTTCAATTGAATACGTTATTTCCCTCTATATTTGTGACTGTTTGATTGGTTGAATAAAATTATACATAAAATAAGTTTAAATCACTCGAAACAAGGTAGATTAATTGAAACTGATATTTATGAGAATATTAATCCAACGTACCAAACATATAGAATTGCATTTCTTTTTACTCTGTGGCATCCTTCACCATCTGGAAGTTCAGTCAACTCCCAAATGTTCCTATTTACTATACCTACAAAACAAAAATATTTACCTCCATTAAAGATTATTCACTTTCAGAAATTTGTAACATTTAGATTTTAAATAATAATATGAATTAGATCATGTCTAATTTTAAAAGGTTATGCCTGCATGGGGACGTGTAAAAATACATTTTATAAAACTTAAAGTATTAAGCAGGGAATCGGACAAACAGATAGGGTAAACAACACGGCTCAGAGTGTACAGGGTAACAGACAGACAGACACCCACACACGCTGTCAGAGCTCGCCTAGGAAAAGGGCAGCAATCAGACAGAAAAGCTCTTGGTTCCCTGAGTTATCACAGCCCTATAAAATTCAAGAAAAAGTTCAGCAAGGATGTCTAGAATTATTATTTTAAGCGTGTCTCTTGTACTTGCCCTGGGAAGTTGTAAGGGAGAAGACTTTTACAGTTACAAGGTCCAGGATCACTTAGGAAACGACGTGTCTCTGGAAAAATACCGTGGCAAGGTAAGTTGTAGTGGATGTAGGTGCCCACGAGAAGGTTAATCAGGCAACTAAATTATTAAGTCTTATAAGAAGGTCGTTCAGATATCTAGACGGTCCGTCCCTCGTAACGATCTTCAAGAGCGAGGTGCTTCCCCGTCTAGAGTACTGTCACCCCGTCTGGTCCCCGAGATATGCTAGGGACTGTCAGTTGGTTGAAAATGTCCAAAGGAGGGCCACCAGACTGGTGCCTGCACTTCGGCACTTCAGCTACCCTAAGAGATTAAAACGCCTGCAATTGCCTAGCTTATATTACAGATGGGCAAGGGGGGGACCTAAGTGACGTGTATAAACATCTCAAAGGGCAGTACTCAGTTGAGTACCCTTACCTGGAGCTGGCGGATGCTTGCCTCACAAGGAGTTACAGCTCAAGGTTGAAGAAGCTGCAAGCCCATAAAACTGTGAGGGGTAACTTTTTCGGAGTGAGAGTTGTGAACTCTTTGAACAATCTGCTAGAGAGTGTTGTGACGACACCGAGTGTGAGCTCTTTCAAGACCAGACTTTACTGGAGCACTGGAGCAGGTTCAGATACATTCAGGAGCCAGTGCATGCCCAGTACTTGCCAACAGTGTGTAACAGAGACGTGACCGATTGTCCAAGCGGCTAGCAAGCCGATCAGTGCTGAAGAGGATAAAAATAAAGATATTGGGCAATACCCTACCATTCTTGTACACCGAAACTATCATAGTAGTTTTAGATTTGATTGATTGATACGTTTATTGAGATACAAAAAACATTAATACATCTCAAAGGGATGAAGTGACATAAGTCATCCCCATCCCAGTCCAGGAATGTAGTTTTAGATGTTACTCCGGAAGGTAAAGGCAGTGGATATTATGCCATGACCGGCTAAGTTCCTACTAGCGCTATTTTACCATGAGTGCACTGTGATTGGCTAATCGTCCATCACCGGCGAACAATGCGAGAACTACATTTGACCATGACTGCCAGCATTTGGCGTTCATTTAGCCTTGAATCAATCGTTGTGTAGCTGTAAACATACCTAACCATATTTCTGTTGTGCATGGAAATTTATCATTATAAAAGAGGCAACATTTACTAGAACCTAATAGAACCTGACCTAACCAACCAAAGAAACCTACCTAACATTATTTAACTTCCTAGCCAGGGGGGAACCCCCTTCATATAAAACAGAGCGCACTCACAGAAACATAGCATTAGAAGGATCATAACCGGTCACGGCAAAATAGACACTACGTAAGGTAGATGTGGAGGAAACGGTTATCTCCTGAAGGAACTTACAGAATTGCACCAAAATTTCTAATGATACAATTTGTATGGTACTAAATTTGAAGGCTAATATGGAGGACTTCACAGCCGCTTCCCCCGTCTCAGTAAGTTTGCCCACAGCAGGTGTTAAGTTATGATAGGTTAGGTTAAGTTAATACAGGTATTCGTCCGTTGGTTGTCCGCAGGTCCTTGCCAGGTTTTCCTGAGGTTATACTTCTCATTTAGAGTCACTTGTCTCCTTTCCTCTTCCATCTCGTTGGTTAGGTAGGTTGGTTCCTTTGGTATGAGAATAGTTTTTTTTGTGTGTGTGTGTTTTATTCACATCTGACCTCCATTTTTTGGCAAATTAATGTTTTCTGTTAAAAATATAATGTAATTTTTTTTTTACACTGAGTGTGAGCTTATTCAAGAACCAGACTTGACCAACATTGGTGCAGGTACAGATATATTCTGGAACAGGTACTTGCTCAGTACTTGCCACCAGCACGTAACAGAGACAGGATCGACCGTCCATGCAGCTAACAGGCTGATCAGTGGAGTAGAGGATAAAATAAAGTTATACATACTGTATAGCCTGACCCAACCTATTCTAATATAGTTAGGTTGATTGATTTGTTTTTAGTCATAATTGGTTATGCACTATAGCTTTTTAGAAAAACTTTACTTAAACAACAAATATTCTTGCAGGTGACACTTGTTGTGAATGTGGCCAGTCGATGTGGGTACACAGAAGGAACCTATCAAGCCCTAAAGAAGTTACATGATATTCTGAGTAAGTGAATTTGGTGTTGATATTGTTATACAGGCTGAACCGTCCAGTACTGTACCCTGTGGTCTGACATGATTTGTGATTGGCTGTCTTTGCATTTGTTTGCAAAACTGCTTGGAGAGGGTAGCGTCCCAGTTCCCTGAACCTCTTCAAATATATTACATATGTTTCTTTCAGGGTTGTGTTTTGTGTTCTCTGCTTTAAAAGCCATCACTTATTGTTTAATAGGGTTTGAAGAGACCAGCATGTAATGGAAGTTATGGTAACACCAGTACTACATAAGTTGCACCTAGCTTACATGAAGTTTAATATAGGACTGTATTCCCTCCAAGCACACATTACTGTATTAAAAAAAAATACTAATATACTGTATTTCATAAATTACTATTTTCAATACAAATCCACCGGATATTAAGATACTATACAGTATTGAGTATAAATCTATACTGTACACTATTGATAATTAGAGTGTTATGTTTATCTTAAGATGCATCGTGTACAATGAAAGACAAAAGCTGTGTCGTGAAATTTGGTGAAAACATATGCCGAAGGGGTAAACTTTTGTTGCGCTCTGCCTTGTGGTGGGGGGCTCTCATAATGTTTCACGAGTTATATTTAATCTTTGGACAAAACCGCGACATGACTTTTGTCTTTGAATGTACATACACAGTGGGCTTACATAAGGTACACACACTAATATTCCCTCCAAGCATAATTAATTTTAAAAATGATTGGTTATACTGTACACTTGTACAGGTATTTCTTAAATTTCTATTATTAGTGCAAACACACCAAGGGCCGCATACTCAAAAGTGATTTATGGGACTGTGTCTCTTTGTTTACCCCGTAACTGGAGTTACAGTCTCCGATTAGTATGCTCAAAACATATATTTGTCAGTGGACTCCGTAAGCGAGTCCTGATTCGAGTCGTAACTTAGGATACTCTTTAGCTGCTACTCTTTATGCTCAACATGGATATAATTGAGTGGCTATTTCCTAAGTTGCATAGAAAAACAAATAAAATGTCATAATAAGCTTATTAGACTTGTTTGATCATCGAATAATGAAGAAAATGTTTTTGTCCATCCAGCGTGCTAAAATAAAATATTACAGTTTGTTTTTTTAGTGAAGATTTTTATGAGAAGAAAGGGGCTTGAGGTGTGTTCTGTTTGTCACAGAATGGAAGACGCAGCTTTTGTCTTCTTACAACTTTTCAAGTAATTTGTACCAAAATAGAAGATTTGTATTGTCCAAATTTATGGTTCAAATATTTTTTATGACTTGAGTAACTTGCAGATAGACCTCATTAATGTGGTATAACCGTAGATATCCGTCAGTAATGAAAGCCAAATATGAGGTCAAGTGAACATTTTTGCCTTGACTCCACCTTCTTGGTATGGCTAGGACCAAGTTATACCAAGCTACTCTGCCAAGTATCCAAGAAGTACCCATGACTCATAGTTAAATAATACCTAACCCAATCTAAGTTCATCAAACCTAATAAAAAAGGGGGTAAAAATTAACAGTGGTATTGCATTTTTTTTCTTAGAAAAAGAATTATGGTCATAGGTTTTTTTATCCGATACATTCAGTAGTTATTTTTTTTTCCACTGCAAATTTAGTGAAATGTATCTTACCCTAACAAACCCTGACCTTATCTAATCTTACCTTACCTTACCTTACCTTACCTTACCTTACCTTACCTTACCTTAAATAACCTAACCTAAGAAAGCTAAAATGCAGATGACAAACAATTAAATTCTCTAGAAAATTTCAATTTCTTTTTTAAAAAATACATTTGCAAAGATAACAAACTTTTTATAATCATTTCTCCAACATATCTATAAATCTGTTGATCATATATAAACGAAACTTAGGATGCCACTATTATGCACTTTAACCTTTGATTATCTCTGCAAATGGATTATAAAAAAGGAAAGGTAAATTTAGGTTAGGTTAGTTAAGGCATGTTAAGGTTAGTTAGGTTAGGTTATGGTAAGGTAAGGTAAGGTAAGGTAAGGTAAGGTAAGGTAAAGATTAGATTAAGTAAAGGTTTGGGTAGGTAAAGGTTAGGTAAGGTTAGGTTAGGGTTATGTAATGTAATGTGTTAGTTACTTAGGGTAAAGTACATTTCACTAATTTTGTGTCATAAGAAGTACTGATTGTATTAAACCAAAAACCTATGAAAAATGCTTTTGCAAGAAAAAATGTGATGCCACTGCTATGCAATTTTACCTCTCTCTCTCTCCTGTATAGGATTATTTTGATCATTGGTTAACCCTTGTCCTCAAGTATTACTCAAACATAATTCCATCTTCACTAATGACACTTGAAGTATGTCTAGCAACTATCACGCGTCGATCTCAGCTGATTTCTTCCCTTGTGATTGGTTGATTTTGTTAACTGAGCCTAACTATTGCCAACTAGCTCATGCACTGCCATCTACCTTCGGACAAGAGAACTGAATTTACAGTGTAAACACTAAAGTCACAGACTGCTTATGGAACAATAATTAAATTTTGAGTTTGAGAAATTTATGGACTGTTACGGTACCGTATTCTGCTACTGCACTGTGAATCGATGAGGCGTTTTGAGTATGCCGCCCCAGATATATAAATATAAATCTCACTTGTAGGCAGGTTTGTCTTCGTGATGGGCTGACTGTTACTGTATTACAGTACTGTATTTACTGTTTTGTACATTTGTGTTATTTTTAGGAAAATGATCATATTTTATGTTGCCAAAACATATTTGCTACTACCACGTTGGAAACACTGCTTCTTGTCCGATCAGTGAAGTTCAGAAATATTGGGTCTGGTTAGTACTTTGATGGGTGACTGCCTGGCAAGAACACCAGATGCTGCTGGCATAAAGACTGACTGGAACAAACCTCTCATGGCTTTGTCAGTTGTCCATGGTCAAATTGACTGGATATCAATTATTATTATTATTATTACCTATTTTGAATTTTTATTTAATTTATTGATAAAGGAGAGTTTTTTTTTTTTTTTTTTACTCACCAGACTTTGGATGACTATCTGTGGTTTGGAATTTTTATGGTCCAGCACTGGTTAGGCCCTGAGGGTGCTGGATTAGAGGGCTCACCGTACTTAAGCTTTGTTGTATAATTATATTCACACATCCATTTCTGATTGTATAAAAGTAGTTGGTATCATAGCAAGATGGGAGTGGCTTTATAACATACCTCTATATGTAGAGTACTGTATTGTTTTTGTTCATACCTTCTGAACTGCTCATTGCTTGATATTTTTACACATCAATGTTAACAGAATTTTTATTTTCATTGTCTTTTGACTGATATGTAAATACAAATTTGCACTTGTAGTATTGTACCTCCACTCTCTGATATTAATTATGTATTCTAGATTTAAAAAGTATCTTTATGAATAGGGCCAATGAATTTCAAAATGAACACTGACTCCTGTTGTCACAGTATCGTTGTCAAAATCCTTTGTTCGTTGTGTCATATTGTCTAACACAAACGCATAAAGATACTTTTTTGAGTGAGTGTACTAACATTTTTTTTTTTTTTCAGGCTTTGGGGATTATTTTTCTGTTCTTGCCTTCCCCTGCAACCAGTTTGGTGATCAAGAACCACTCAACATGCCTGAGATCATTGAGTTTGTTACTAATGAGTTCGATGTCGAGTTCCCAGTTTTCAACAAAATCAAAGTGATAGGGGAGCATGCTGACCCTGCTTTCAAAAGACTTACTGGTATGTTGTACAATTTTGTTTACAATGTTAGGAATTTCCATTTTAACAGAATAGGGCCTAGATATAGAGGAACAAGTACAGTACACTATTGGGAAAATATTTATATATGATAAATTCCCTTGATTCTTCTACGCCCTTTCTCATTGTTACGGTATGCTGGTTATCTGCCCTCAAGAGCAACACTGATGCTTTCTCATTTACTGTCAGTCATTCTTTCATGGTGCATTTCCTGAGTTATTTTATAATAGCAATATAAATCTCATGATATGGAGGCAGGTTACTTGTTTGTACAGTTCTGTAATTGTCTTGGAGGATTTGGAAAATTTACAGAAGAATATCAACTTTGGTTCCAACAAAGGTAAGTATAATCCACATAATATTAAATTTAATTTGGTGGGTATTTTTATGTAATCAGAATTTTTAGGATTTCTTTGTACTGGAGTATGATGTTTTCAACAGAGGAATCATCAGTAGTGCCAGACTGGAACTTCTACAAATATCTGGTGGATGAGACAGGCCATGTTGTTGCAGCTTGGGGGACACGTACTACCATAGAGGATATTATCCAGGCAGCTGTTGAAAAAGCCAAGGCAGCAACCAAATCCAGCAGTAACCAGACTGAAAAATCAGTCACTACAGATTCAGAAGCTGTAAAAGATGAACTGTAAAGGCCAAAGATTGATGTTTTGTAGCTGATAAATTGTTGTTAGTTACACTGTATATTGTTGAGTATATCAGGTAATGAGAGAGACTGTTAAGTCTGGTGAATTATTTATATGTTTATATGATTACTCTGACTTGATGATCTTACAGTTTGCTTGAGATTCAATATTAGTTGATACAATATCAAATATTCCACTCAGAGCTTCCAAACTACTGTATATGTTTAGCTTTGCTTAAAACTGATCCATCATCTACCATTGTCAATAACTTGTGTTAGAATAAAGCTATTGATATGGTTTTATAGATACAGATTTCTGTACAGTATGTAATTCTAATTACTACTGTGTAATAATTTTTCAATCATTCCCACATATTACATGCCACTTATCGGTGCCATTACTGTGAATAAGAACTGATCATTAGATAGCATTTTATTAAATACATAGTGTGCATTTTTTTATGGTTAATCTGGTATTGGTTGACCAAGACATATTTTTTAATTAAAGAAATTATTATTTTCATAATAGATGACAGTACAGTATATGATTAAGAAATACTGTCTATAGTATTTTATAAATTGAAAAATTTTAGGAATGCAGAAGATAACCAAAAGAGAAAACCAAAAGTCATAGTTAGTTCAATCATCTTTATGAATGAGGGTTTTAGATTTCTTTGTGAATGTAAGTTGTTTCTTTTTAGTTCAAACAGTTATTTAAGGTTATTGGAGGCACTGTGACACCTGCAGGATCTTGACCAAACATTTTATCATCCAAGTATTGCCAGACTTGTGTTGAAGATCCCAGCAGCATATTGATGAAACATATTGCAAGTTGGTTTGGTTTTACATTACAAGTACTGTAGTTGCTTGTATACATTAATGTGTGAAAAATAGGTTCCTTCAGAAAGTACACAAAAAGGGAAACATTAAGCCAAGAAAAGTTTGAGAATGGTGTAAGATGCAACAAAAAGAAATAGAAAGTATATACTGTACTGTATTCTGAAGATTAAATTTTAATTTCAAAATGTAGGTAAGTGGTCAGCAGTGTAAACATGGCTATAAATGTATGGCTGTAAGTAGGACTCACTATCCATAATTATGTCCTCTCCTATTTATTACTACATCCCATTTGCATTCAGTGTCCCCATTCTAGTGCTATCCTCCTGAAGAACTACTGAGCTCTCCTGCCATATTACATCTCTTATTGTCTCCACAAATAAAGGTCCTCTGGTTAGTGAACACCAAATCTAGGTATGTCCTTAGAGACTGATGTCATTCTTGTTCACCAACTGACATTGGTGTACTCCCTCCCGTGTTTTCAGCTACATCACCTACTCTGCTGTGCCTCACAATCTTAGGATTCTGAAAGATATTTAACTATATTTAAACCACTTTTGAGAAAATGTCAATTTGATTGCAAGTACAATGAGGTGCCTCTCAGACCCTGATGTATATGAGGAAAGTGTGTTTCTCCCTTCATGAAGGATAGTACAGGTGCTCCTCTACTTAAAGCGAGTTACGTTCCTGAGGCTTGTTTGCAAATCCAGTTGTAACTCCAACTTCACTCTTGTAGATACCAAACTCATTGTAAAAAATGAAAAGATTATGGATATTTAGTACAGCTATACCTTTTAATACAGCCTTAAAACCTGGCTCACTCTTTTCTTAGGTAATGTTTGTTCTATTGAATTTTTGTCAAAATAATCCAGTCTCATCCACATTAAACACCTGTTCTGGCAGGTAACCCCCCTCAGTGATGATGTTTGTATCTCTGAAAGTTCGTAAGTAGAGGAGCACCTGTACTGCAGTGTAATACAGTTTAAATGGTTTCTATATTATTTTTGGAAAGTGTCATTTACTTTCACAAATATAGGGAAAAAATAGTGTAAATGGTGCTGCATCTATATTAACAGTTCTTAAGTGTTGGTATTGCTTCCTGTTAACATTGCTCTTTCTTGTCACTTTTTATGTTTCTTACACTACTCCCTCCTTTAATTTTCTTCATCCGTTTGAGGTTTCTGTACTGCATGATTCGCCCCACACAAACGTAGGAGAGGGATGAAGATAACAGATTGATAATCTTATACCGTACACAAGGTATTGCCCGCAGGGGTAATATGTTTTTTTTCTTTTCTTCTTCATCATAGAATACATCAGACTCTTACCTGATTTGAAGCACAATACCTATTGACTAATTGTACAAAGATTATTTAAATAAATTTTTTAATTTTTGGGTGATCAAACTTGTATTAAATTTTTTCAGGATATGAATCTCATTGCCAGTATTTTCAAATTTACCTAAGGTTCTCAATATTGTATGGTAATTTGAATAATTTTATGCATATTTTATAATTGCAGGCTTGTTCATGTTTAAAGTTTTCATAATTCAGTTCATGGACAATACCTGTGATTTGTTTATTTTATTTTTCTTCCCATACAAGCTAAAATAGTTGTTGCATCACATTTTGAGACAAGCACTAATGTGAAGCATTTGTGAATTTACTAAACAGTACAGTAGTTACAATTTATTCATCATTGCATAACACATATTACTATTGTTTTAACTATTTTGTCCCATGACCTATGATCTGCTACTTTGAATTGCTTTAAAACAAAGTCCATGGTAGAGTTGCAGATTATTTTAAAACGTTGAAAGCCTATCACCAAGACAAGTTATGATTTTTTAATGTGTGTCAATATTGAAAAATACAGAATTTTTTAAATTAACACATGAATATCATTTATATTTTTATACTTTTTATGATAATGTTAATTAAAATATTGTGCAGCTGTTAATGATAATGTTAAATACTTAATTGTGCAGCTGTGTAATCATTCTTATGTACTGAATACTTAATTTGTATTAGGTAACAAACTGTGTACTGTTGCAGTCAAGAAACATGGTACTGTGTACTGTAGTAATAGCACAAAAATTATGACAATTCAAAAGGTATACTGTATGAAAAATCTGACTAGTAAAGTTTATACACTATTAAAGCAAATGTTTCAATTTATTAGAATGTGTGGATTTGTATAATGGTAGCTTTTGTTCACTGGCTGTTTACAAATACTTTACCAAGAGTCTTATCTTGGCACCATTAACCCTTTTGCTGCAGAGAACGGTACAAAAGTTAAAAAAAATCATTCACTTTTGTGTTCTCGTGTTTGGTCAATAAATTTTGAACATCCTGCAACTACCAGAAAGGGGGCTAAATTTGATTTCTACATAGTTGAATGCCATACATTGGTCTTTTGTATGAAAATCTTCTGGTGATCAGTGACCCTGTATTGTGTAACCATAATACTTTACTCAAACATGTGCCCTCTGTGTTTTTATTATGTATCTTCAGTGTATTATATATTTGTGTACTAATGCAAGTAAAAATACAATAGAAAGGGTAAGAAAAACAGTACATGAGGAATTAGTGCACGTGAGAGTTTATACTGTATTATAGATTTGGCAGTGTGTACATCCTTCTGGCTCACTGACACAATTTTATCACCTCTCATTAATGCATGTGTTAAATTAATGAGAATATTTTTTTTAAGATGTACTGCACAGAGGAAGGGTGTCAGGTAATAAGTAATGTACACTGCAGTGAAAGGGTCAAATGATACTGTAATTCATGCTTTTCTGCAGTGTGTGAATGTGTACATTCAACTATGAAAATCAGTGTCATGGGTCAGGTAAATTTCTTATGTCTATTTTTATAATCTAATCAGCGATTGAGCTTGTCAGGAGAAAGTGAAATGGGCAACAAATACACACGCTGTTAACGTAATTCTCACAACATCAGCAGGATTTCTAGACAAGGACCCTCTATGGGTATATGTTGAGATCTTGGAGATAAGAGTGTGACATATTCTTTTCAGGAGATTAATGACTTTCTTAAATAGACAACTGACAATAACTAAACTACAAACATCAGATTCTCTGATGTTTGGGCATCAAAATAATCTAACTTCAGTCGCAATTGGAAACTCATGGCTATCCCCAAGGGCGATATCACGGGATGTCATTCGTACAGCAGACTCAACACTCACTTGACAAGTGTTACGAACAATAAAGACAGTTGAAGCTTTCAACATCACTCACAAAGGACCTTGAATGCTTTATCTGTAATCAGACATATTTAAGTTGACTCAAAACAATGGTGTTCTCTCTCCATTCAAATTTACTTTATAGAGAGGTTGGTTTCAGGAAGTCAGTGAAAATGGACGGCACCTTAGCTAGCGAAAATGCATTTCTTCCTAGGGATAACTCACCAGTTATCTACAGGTTTTGAGAGCGTGGAGCATAATATGAATAATCAGGTTTCAAACAGACCAGCCATCCCAGTGTGACCATGACACGTGTATCAAAATTAATATTACATTATACAAATATTTGTATTTTTGTACAAGCACATTCATCTTATTTGTGCCCAGGTTGGTAGTTCATTATTGGACTGCTTCAATTATCACCTCAAATCACGAAGTAAAGTGTGTCTACTTAAATGTTCTACAGCTGATCTGAGTGATTGGAAATTCCACCAGTATGTTTTTTGGAGATTGTTAATAAAAAGCAAGAACAGAATGTAGTATGTTAATAAATCCACTTGAGGAGCTGTGATAAGGTGTGCTGTTGTGATACAAGGTGATCAACACTTCTGCAATACAGCACGTCCTCGTTTAATCTTGCCCCTGATACGCGTTGTTTCGCTATAACGTCGCTATTCTTTAGGTACCCATGATTCGGATAACGTCCTGGCGATTCAGCATACGTCATCTACAGACCCGCGCGCATCACCTCTCTCTGTCTTGGTCTCGCTCTCACCTCTTGAGGCGTCCGGCGTCCCCAGCGTGGCAGTCACTTCACAGCATTCGTTTGTGTTTAAGTGTTTTTGCTCTTAATACTGTCTCTATTCGAAATGGCTTCCAAGCACCCATCAAGTGTTACTGATGCTAGTGTTGTGAATAAGCAACGTAAGACCATTAGCCTTGCTACGAAAATGGAGGTTTTAAACCAAGAGGAGGAGCAACCCCCTCCTCCTCACTACCCACCACACACTCGCTCCACCACCTTCGCCCATCAGTGAGTACAATACAAAATGATTGTTTATTGATATATACTATTTTCTATAAAAATGCCATTGAATTTCTGTATATGCAATGTATTTTATGGGGCAAAGGGAGGCTGGGAGAAGTAACGCCTGTATTTTATTTATTTATTATGGGAAAATTTATTCCGTTAACGTCACTGTTTTCAGGAACGGAACCATGACGTTAAGCGAGGACTTACTGTATACAAAGTACTCACCATTATAGCTAAGGTATAGAACAAAGACTAATTATAGAAAGGTGACCCTCACAAGGGCCCAGTTGGATGTGCAAATGTTGTAGAACACTGAACGTGAATTCTGATCTTTAGTACCTCTATATTGTTTTCTTTTTAACATGCAAGATATTTTTAGATGATAACACAAAAGCATAAGTTTTATTATTGGTTTATAATAATGTAGGTAGGACCACCGAGACCTACCATATGAGACCAAGACAGACCAATTGTAATTTAGCATGTATGTACTGTATATGCCTGTGCATTAACCAAATTTTTAGGATGACCTTTTCTAAAAAAATTAGGGTCCTGTTTCCTACAAATTAATATTTTTAAGAGGGGTAAAACCCATGACTGATAGAGAGGGTCAGTGTTATTTTAAAATGAAATGTTAATCAACTACAGTACAGGTACTGTAGTATGGATATGTGTGTGTACCAACCAAACAATTTATGTACAGGGTATTTTAATTTTTCATTATACAGGTATATAAATATGAGTACATTACTTTAATTAAACACAATTGGTAATTTTTTAAAACATTCAGGGTAGTACGTCTGAAGAGTACAGTACTGTAGTCCCAAACATCGGGTTACCTTTTTTAAGTAACCTGATAAATTAATTCATCAAACTTGAATAGCAGCCAGTACATTTGGGTGTTTTTAGCAACTGTAATGCTGCAACATGAAGTTGGTAATTCTGAGCCTTGAGTATATAACCTATTTGGATATTTGACCCTTGACTTTTGAATACTGTACTATGATGACCAAAATAAATGCGGTATGTGACAAATGGGGTTCTGCAAATTTAGATTTGCAGAAAGTTTATAAAATTTTTATAGTTCTTAAGTTCTGGATGGAAGGGAGTAAACTACATAGGAGAAGAGGAAAGCCGAATTATATGATAACCTGCTTTTGCAAGCAGGGGACAAATAGTTAATATAAGAAGACTAAATTTGGGAAAAGTGTATTGTATGGTGAAGTGGTCATAGTTTAAATCAATATCTAAAATCTTTCAATTTTTTGCCCTTCATATTTCTTTTAAGAACCAGATGGCTTTTCTTTCATGCATTCTTGTTCATATGAATATTTTTCCAAAGCTCTAGTGCCACTATACAGATCAGCTGAGTGAAACTGCATGCATAAAATTTGAGCAATGAGAATACTACATGTACACAGTAATACAAAAAAAGTCATTATATGGATTTTATTTATAAAGCAAATCAAAATCAGACATAAGTTGTCATGCTGAATTGTTAACAATCTGAATACTGTACTGGTATACAGAGTACTTGTATTGTACTGTATCTTACGACTTGACAATTTTTAAAAAAAAAACTTTGAAATTATGACAATAAGAAAACATATTCTTAATGTTAGTTGAAAAGTAATGATGGAAATGGACTGAGATTAAACAGAAAAAGAAAATATTGTATGGTGAGGTAACAGTTACTCAACAGGATTTGTTTTGTATTCCACACAATTTTCACTTCATATAAAAGCCATAAAAACAATCCTGCTATACACATGGTGATTGTAGATGAAGGTTGTACAGTGAATTTTTTAAATAATACACCTACAAAATTGTCAATATAAAAAAAGAAGTTGGTCTGACCATCATATGAAAATTCAAATACATTTTGATGTTTAGTCAGGAAACATCAATGACATACCTTCACTTTCACTATGCCTTTGTAAAACTCCTGCTGTACAACTGACAAGAAAAAGTCCCATTCTGCCACTTTCATGACATACATATTGTACTCTAAGCTTGTTGCATAGAATACAGTACCCACAAAATTATCAGTGCATTTACACCGATCAAAATTTATGAAAACTGTACAGTAAGAAATAGTACTGACCTCATAATGCTTGCTTAGGATAATATCTAGAAATAGTTTGAGCAATACTCTGATATGTAAAAGTAATTTATATAGGCATGCTTACGTGTACACAGTAAAAAAAATTATCCCACAGGGGGGAGGTCTGCTGTTTCCGTAATGATCCATACATCACCTGATGTGCCGGGAGGGTTGGTATGTGTACAGTATTCATATTCAGTTAGACCATCAACTATATATATGGCAGGATATGGCATTAGCAACAGATATGTGATGACACCCTAAGGCAAGGACAGCAGGGTTACCACCATAATACAGGACCAACACGCATATTCCACTATCCATCGTCCGTGGTGTTGTATTGTTTTACATAATCCGTGTGGCACCTTTTTTTACTGTGTGTGCCTAAATACTGTACTGTACTGTACTGTATAAACCTAACAGTACAGTACAGAGAAAAGTAAAAATGGTATAAAAATAGAAGTACAGCTGATGAAGAGGACAGAAGTGAAAAGTAAAGTATCTAATTACAGTCAGTCCTCGATTCTGACGGGGTTAGGGACCGACGACCAGGTCGAAAATAATATAGAAAATCTAAAATGGGTGTCTTTTTCTTCTCGGCACCACGAGAACTCTCACTTTTAAGCTTGCCAGCCATTTAAAAGGGAAATACAAACGAAAATTTTGTCAGTACTCAGCGCGATCACTAACGTAGGGACTCGAAAATACGTAATTTGAAAAATATTTTATCACTGCTGCGGTCGTATGTCCGGGTGGTCGTAAGTCGAGGAGTACCTGTAGTATTAAATCAATAACTTGTCTAAGAAATTTTCAGAACAGAACTTAATACTTTAATGCAAAACAAGTCCATGCACAAGCATATTAATTAGTTCTGACACTGAATCTAGTAATTAAATAATACTGCACTGGTAGAGGAGGAAATACCCAAGGCCAGTACAGTACATCACATACAGAGAGGAAAAGGTAGATACAGTAAGCTGTATCTTCTTACTTCAGAAAAACACCTACAGATGAAGTGGCAAATATTTTAATTTGTCTAAACCATTAACTCGTTTTTCAGGCAACTGGTACAGTATTTAAATTATCTTTTTGTAAATAATCTGTAAAAAAAAATCTACCTCGGTTAAACTGATAACTGAATTTCTTCTAATACTGATTCTACTCTATACACAAGCTCCTTTATATATTTATCGATTATATTATCATTTTTACTAAAAACAAGAAAATTGCTCTTGCACTGACTATATATTTCTCGGGGACAACGCTTCTTGTAATGGTTCATCTGTACAATAGATGTGTTCATCACCTTGTATGTTTTCATGTTAGAGTACAAAGTCTCCAATGTGTAGTGATTAAAGACAGTTCGAGAGTTCCTGGTTGATACAAAACTTTTGACAGAATGTCCAAAGATGCTAAAATTGGCACTCCGAATTGTATGATGTGGCATGTGGAAATATTTAGGAACACTTGGATTATGTGTAGAGTTAAAGGCTTCAAAGAAATATGCATTTGGTGCAGAAAATGACGCAAATTTTTTCATAACCTTAGAATTCTTTTTCTGGAATTCAAGGAACATCTCAGGCCAAGTATAGGACTTTACAGGTATAATGACTTCATCTATATCTAAAGGTATAACATATTTAAACAAATATATATTTCTATACAAACAGTCATTATACGGGACAAGCTCATTTCTCCTTTTCTGCCACAGTGCTCTTTTTAAGTATGTAGTACGCAGCTTTGGCTCATTTGGTTGGTCTCCTGGTAAGGTAAGAGAGATGACCTTCACCTTCCCTTTCTTTTCATAATAATCAAAAACTTTACCTACATTTTTGTGAATGGTATATTTGTATATAAACACTTGATCTGCACCAAGAATAAAGAGTAGTTCTAACCACTCTATTAGTTTTATCGATATGTCTTCATCAAAATCCATTCCCTTGACACAAACTGCAAATTTCTTTCCTCCTCCATTTTGCCATTCAGCAAAACCTTTTTTTTGAATAGGTAGCTTTGTAGTAATATCACCACATGGTTGAGAAGACACAGAAACAAAATCTGGGTACAGATGGCTATCACGCATACTTAATGGTACAGGACAAGTGAATAAGTAAGTGTGATAGGTATCTGGGTCTGGGTTGCGATTCCAATGTTGCATCCAAACTTCAGATGTGTCTGCTTTTACTACGACTGGATCCTGAAACTCCATATACCACATGCTACAAAAATAAGATTCCTCTTTTTGTATCTTACCCTGGGTCATTCCTATTATTCTAACATAGTGATAACGAGCTTGAAAGTCAATATATCGAGCATCATAAAAGGAGTGATACAAGTAAATCTGTCTATCTTCCACTTTCTGCCAATGAATGTTATTCCATTGTACCATGATTGATGAAGCATTAGATGAAGAACAATTATAGACCTTTAATGTATAAAACTGAGACCCAATTGCTGTCCCAACAACGACCTGGTATTGTTCGGACTGTTTTAGTCTGGCTTCCTTATATGTAACTGGTCTTGGTGTTATAGGCTCCACAGAATCAAGGAGCAATGTATAAAACAATATTGTGACAGTTGTCAAGGCCACTACCACTACCATACCAGCTAATAAAAGTTTCATTTTGATACTTAAATGCATCTCTGGCAATATCTATCAATTCACTCAATAAAACACAGAATTCTGCCTCCAAATGCTGGGACATTGGAGACTCCAATTTTCTCTGTGCTCTTGACATGATGGCATTATCTCGAAGAGTTGCAGTGATGATGGTGACGAATGTAGAAAATGTTGATCAACTTCCAAGCTGGAACAAAAAGGGAATACTAATGTTATCATATATATTAAGTACATATCCCCTGATTTACGATCTCTCTATTTACGATATTTTTCTTAAATGATGGTCATGTATTAAGACCACCACCTATTTATAAAAAAATAATTTGCATGAACAAGGGTCATCGTCTGCCCAAAATCGCTGATGTGCAAAATATGGAACGCACCTCTCTTTTACTTTTACTTTTATCCTCTTCACCACTGATCAGCTCTTTAGCCGCTTGGGCGATCGGTCACGTCTCCATTACACACTGTTGGCAAGTACTGGGCATGCACCGGCTCCTGAATGTACCTGAACCCGCTCCAGTGTTGGTCAAGTCGTGTCTTGAAAGAGCTCACACTTGGTGCCATCACAACACTTTCTGGCAGATTGTTCCAAGAGTTCACAACTCTCACTCCAAAAAAGTTTGCCCTCACAGTTTTCTGGACTTGCGGCTTCTTCAATCTTGAGCTGTGACCCTTTGTGGGGCGAGCGTCCGTCAGCTCCAAGTAAGGACACTCGACTAAGTAGTGCTCCTTGAGATGCTTATACACCTCAATTAGATCGCCCCTTGCCCGTCTGCAGTATAAGCTAGGGAAGTTCAGGCACTCCAATCTCTCAAGGTAGCTGAGGTGCCGAAATGCAGGCACCAGTCTGGTGGCAGTCCCTAGCATATCTCGGGGACCAGACTGGGTGACAGTACTCCAGATGGGGAAGCACTTCACTCTTGAAGATCGTTACGAGGGACGGACCGTCTAGATATCTGAACGACCTTCTTATAAGACCCAATAATTAAATTGCCTGATTTACCTTCTTCTTGCAATGGCCCGAGAACTTCAGCTCATTGTCAACATACACACCTAGGTCCTTCTCACATTGTCTCAATTAGTGCAGTTTCCTCATCAGGTTGGGACATATGATACGCCTACTTACCGTTGGTACGCCCCAGGTGCATCCTCTTACACTTCGTGACATTGAATCTCAGCAGCCATTTCTTCGACCATTCTTGGAGCCCACAGAGGTCCTTCTGCAGCTCTTCACAGTCCGCTTGGTTCTTGATTTCCCGAAATAACTTGGCGTCATCGGCAAACATTTGTATGGAGAAGTGTACGTCAGGCATCTCATTTATGAAACGAACAAACAACAGCGGGCCCAATACACTGCCCTGTGGTACCCCGCTTGTGACAGGTCCGGATGATGATTTCGTGCCATTAATCACCACACACTGTTTGTAGTCATGAAGAAAGTCTGCTACTCACGCTAGGACATTTCCCCGAATTCCGTACCCTTCCAGTTTGATTTTCAACCTTTCGTGGGGTACACTGTCGAAAGCCTTGGCAAAATATAGGTAAATATTGTCGATATTACCACCCCATTCCAGAATATGGGTCCAAACATCCAATACCTTGAGCAATTGTGTTAAGCAGGAGCGCCCCGACATAAAACCGTGTTGGCAATCCTTTAAAAGGTTGTTTCGTAGTAGATGTTCCATTGCGGCATCTCTGATAATACTCTCAAGTACTTTACTTATTATGCTGGTCAGGCTCACCGGTCTATAGTTGTTCGTGGAGTGACGATCGCCCTTCTTGAAGATAGGACCCACATAAGCCACTTTCCATTCACTGGGGACCATTTGTTCATACAGGCATTTACAAAACAGGATCATCAGGGGATCGGCAAGCTCGTTGCACAACTCTCTTAGCACTCTAGGATGCACCATGTCAGGGAGGGACTCTTATGGACCTTTAGCCTGGACAGTTTATTTCTAATACCCTCTTCTGTGAACACAATGTGGGTCAGTGCTGTGTCGAACCGTCTGTCCTCAAACGCAGGAAGGTTAATGGCATCCTCTCTTGTGAACACCGAGGAAAAGAAGCTGTTCAATGCCTCAGCTTTATCCTGGTTAGAATCTGGGTAACTACCATCCTCAAGCCGCAAGTCTCATACTCCTACTCGTGTTTTTAATTTTGACTTTGCATAGCTGTAAAATGCCTTTGGGTTTGACTTGACCTCGCTTGCAACCAGCCTCTGCAACTCCTTTTCAGCCCTTCTACACTCTATCTTTACTTGGTGTCTGGCTCTTGCATACATCCTCCTGTCCTGCTCATCGTTTGGCCCAACCCAAGTCTTGAATTTCTGGGTTTTCTTCTTAACTCTGTCGACCACCACGTGGTTCATGTGTAGGGATCCCCTAATATTCCTAGAGGCATTGGGTTTGGTCTTGGGTACATATTTATCGATCAAATGGGTCACTTTACTAGTTATGATATTCAGCGTAGTGTCTGCGTTCTTGTGCCTTACTGCGTCAGGCCAGTTGATACCTCTCATGTCTTCCCTCATCCCGTTGTAATTTCCCTTGTATATTTGCACCTTGGCCTGACCTTATCCTGAACTAGGTAACAGTTAAATTTGAATGACAACACTATATGGTGACTGGTGCCAACTGGGGCAAGGTGTTCCAGTTTGGCCACCATACCCTCCTCGTTTGTTATGATGAGGTCAAGTGACTTGGGGTGTTTGCTCCCCTATGTAATGTGTCGGGTCTAACATGTTGGAACAGAAAATTATCTCTCAGAGTTTCTACAAAAAGAGTAGCAGGGTTATTCAAGTCATTTGGGGTGAACTCGTTTCTCCAGTTTACCTGTGTGCTGCCAAGTAGCCAGCCAGTGCACTTACCTAACCAATTGCCTATCCCCTGGTATATTTAAGTCATTTGCGAGGAAACGTTAGACAAAAAAAAGAATGTTTTAAAATTGTCTAAACCATCGTTAAGACACACTGTAGAACTACAAAATAATTTACCTCTCTTTCTCCCTATATAAACAGAAATATGAAATTCCTTGTTCGACCTAAACTGAATCCTGACCGAATTTTCATTTAATATGTTTGCTTTAATAGACTGTAAACCCAATGGGGAAGCAAAGAAAAAACAACTAAATCTCACTTAGAAAATTGTAAACAGACTGTGGCCTATTTACCAAAAAATATGGGGCCCAAGCCAAAACCATACCTTAATCCCAATTTCCTGATATACAAAATCTGGTAATTATTTGTGACTTCACAGCTGCTGATTTTTCATAAAAAAAACGAATTTAAAAACAACAATTTCACTATATTTCATAGTGGACACTCTTCATTATGGCAAATGTGTTAGTGTTTATTAAAAGGTTAAGTTAACCTAACCTAACCAAACCTTAACATAACCAAACCTTAACCTATCCTTAGCCTAACCTAGCATAACTTAACACCTACTGAGATAGGGGAAGTGGTTGTGAAGTTCTCCATATTAGCCCAAAATCTAAAATAATCAGTCTTATGTCCGCAAGAATGGTAAATTATCAACTAAATTATACAAAATTTATATCAGGATTGGGAGGAGGCACCTGAATACAGTACTTAATATACCAACCATTGTAGGTTTTCCTTGACTTAACAAATATTCAGGTTTATGATAAAGATGTGGGGTATATTCGTAAGTAGCCGGAGTCTTTGTTTCCGAGGTACAGAATGTGAGGGAAGACGTCCCTAGGCCGGAACTTCAACTGGCTGTAGAAAGTAAACATCCGCCGCTCCCACCATTACATGACCCGCCTCCCAAGTCCCAATCCCTGACAACCGACTTTAGTTTAATTAAAAGATTATGGTTATATACCATTCACAAGTTTTAGATCGAGTAGATTAAAAAGAAAACTTAATACGCATGTGGGGTTCAGGATGTTTGTGTTCACACTCAGGATGGGATGGAGAAAGGAAACTCACAATGTGCTCTCTGTATACATGTTGTATTGGATGTACAATGCAGCTTGGTGCTGGGAAGGCAGCATGGTTACAAGCGTGATGTAGAGAGAGCTGGTTGGTGAGGGTGCTCAGAGGAGGACAGCTTGTGGGTCGCCATGCTCGCCGGCGGGAGCGAGGACCGCCAGGCAGGCAGAGGAGGAGGTGTTGCTTGCTGGTTGGTGGAGGTAGAAAGAGACAGGTCACCACGAGGTCAGGTCTTAACTAGCGGGGGGTAGGCGTGGCTTAGTAGTTGACCCCCGCTCCGTGATGTATGGCGGCACTGGTTGACCTAGACCACGAGGCACACACTGTGGAATTCGTGGGGTCGGCTACGCAGCGACAAACAGCGTTTGTAGGGGAGAAATCCACTACATGCACTTCGAAAATCCTGGAAAAATAATCCCTTTGCTGTGTAAAACTAAAGCGATTCAAATTTGGGAAGCAACCGAACTATTGTACTCGAAAACCTTTTTTTTTTTTTACTTACTTCCACCAGCACAATGGTCTTTATATCCTTATCTCGCTTTTCAGCGTCTTAACCAAAGGCCGTAAAGGTCTCAACGGTATAGTGGAGATGATCCTTGAAACTATATATGTATATGCCATCGAACCTTAGAGGCCGATACCGCCCTCTTTTTTTCCTAACGCATAAAAATACTGAATTATTCGAAAATATAAGCAAAATTGTTACATAGCGTGGCACTGAATTATTTCGCAAACATTCCGAATTATATCACTGCAGATCATTTTCCTGAAATCATCTTTGATAAACATCAACACAACGTGTCACCGTCACGAGTGTGTACCCATAACCACGTATATTACGTACTGTACACAATCATTGTGCTATTGGTGCTTCCTTCAAGTTACTTGGCGATTCGTGTGTATCCACCCACACCTTAAATAACGGTGTGGGTACTCGTGAACGTGTTGATTTAAGTATGTGGAAGAATTACCTTACATAATTTGTTTTAGCTTATATTGCAGACGGGTAACTAATTGAGGTGTATATACATCTCGAGGGCACTTCTCAGTTCTCAGTCGAGTGTCCATACCTGGAGCTGGCTTACGCCCGTCGCTGAACTTCTTCAAATTCGCTGAAAAAAAGGTACATTTACGGAAAACAAAATAATATGTATTTTGTAAAAGTATTATAATTCTCCAGAGATTCCAAGAGTTCTTGAGGGACGGTGGTATTTCAGAATCCAAGTGGATCATATGTTACCCAACCCTCTTAGTGAACGGGAAGAAGTGAATCATATGTTACCCAACCCTTATAGTGAACGGGAAGAAGTGGATCATATGTTACCCAACCCTCTTAGTGAACGGGAAGAAGTGAATCATATGTTACCCAACCCTTATAGTGAACGGGAAGAAGTGGATCATATGTTACCCAACCCTTATAGTGAACGGGAAGAAGTGAATCATGAGTTACCCATCCCTTATAGTGAACGGGAAGAAGTGGATCATATGTTACCCAACCCTTGTAGTGAACGGGAACAGGTTGATCATGTGTTACCCAACCCTTGTATTACGGGAACAACAAGTGGCTCATGTTTTACCCAATCCTTATAGCGAACGGGAACAATTAGTGAATCTTAGGGGTGGTAAACATAGCAAGTCAGGCTCACGACACTTCGGTCTGTCCGAGACGTCTGACTCCGATATATTATACTGCCAGACGCATGTCTGTCTTATTACAGACGTGTGCCCATAGATGCTCCTGTCCTCCCTATCGTCACACAAAGGCCACTTCAGTCTCTACCTACCCCTTCGCCGGCAAGTGTTGCCTGCGATGGGGGGGGGGGGGAGGGGTCGACGTAAACGACTCAGAAGAGGCGTCCCCTCTCATGGATACAGACATTTCTGATACGTATAGTCATACTGCAACCCACACCCTGCAAGAGTCAGACCTCAGTGGTAGTGGCAGTAACAGTAATGTTTCTATGGGAAACACTTGCCGGAGTGGCAACACCAATGCCAAGGGCAGCAAGCTTCCCCTCGCCACCCGCCCCTCTGCCAACCAACCAAGTAAGCTGAATCTACACTTCCCCAAGGACTCACTGAAAACCATCGAGGAACGGTTTAATTGGGCAACAAAGTATTGGAGACAATACGGTCTCACCATTCAATTCCGAAAAGGTAAGAACCGTAACTTTATCAATTTGTCAGAATCCTGAGGTCTATGAAACACCTAGTACTGTTGGGTTTGACGAGGTTGTCCTCGTGCCTCCTCCTGCTGACGCAGCAGAATGTTGCCACATCCTAGTTAAACAGTTCCCCCTATAGACTGAAGTCGAAGATGCTCGTAACTTTAATCCACTTATACTCAGTATATGTCGACACTACCGAGGGAAGACTCCACAAGCAGCTGTCATAGTTAAATGGAAGGGGAGGGAGTGTCCAACCACTGTTGAGGCTCACCCAGTCCTCCTTCCACTGTATGCAGAACCATATCATCCCGGGCCTGCTTTTTGTGTCATCTGCTCCCATTGGGGTCACACCTTCACCGCCTGCTGCCGACGTGATCGTCCCAGATGTTGCTTCTGTTCACGTAACCATCACTCCTCCGTCTGTGCCCAGAAAATCAAAGACCACCACAATGGGGGTGGTGTGGGCTTTGTTGTTGACCCCGGTGTTCTAATTGTGGTGGCTGGCACAATGCTGACTCACGGCAATGCCCCAAACGTCCGCCTGTCCTCGGAGAAAAGCCTCCCCGAAGGCTGCGTCAACCTCAACCTCCCCCACAGCCTACCGGGCCCCCTCCCTCTCCAACGCTTCCTTCAACAACACATGCCCCTGCCTGGCCTCACCTGGCTGCAACACAGCAGTCCCGGCCGTCTCCTAACTCAACTACTACTGGGCCTCCTCCCCGTCTCTACTCTGATGCTGTCAGGCCTTGTGTTCCCACAGCTGCCCCCCTTCCCCCCACAACCCCCCTCCGGTGACACGACACAGATCATATCCCTCTTCCATGAATTTACCAACCGTGTTGAAAAACTCTTTGATACACTCTGTATCGCTATCTCCAACCTACACAGACTACCCCTGCCTCCTGCTGCTACCCAGTCACCCCCCTCTTCTGGTTTGACACCTACCGAGCCTGCCCCGGTGTGCCCTGCTGCCCCCCCCCCCCCCCGTGCCACGTCCCGCCCCATCACCACGACAGGTGGTGCCTCATTCTGTCCACCCACTGCAAGCCGCACCTGCTCATGTCTCTGCGCTGTCTCCACCAGGGCCCTCTATTGGACCCGAGGACACCACCCCCGGCTACCCGTCTCCCACCGGCATGCCGGCACCTGGGGCCCATCCACTCCAGTTCTCTGCATCAATGGACCACCATGAGGACATGCACATGGACTACGTATCTACGTCAAGAAGGATGTCACCTACCAACCTCTCGACGTCCCCCTTGAAGCCGACACTACCGATGTACACGCCATCACAATCACACTACAAGGTATGTCCCTCAATATTGTCAATGCCTATGTGCCTCTCTCCACCTTTACTGTACCAGTCCTACCACAACATATCACCTCCACCCCCACCCTCCTTGTGGGGGACCTCAATGCCCAACACCCCAGTCTGTGCTCCCAGGGGCCCTACCCAAACTCCCGGGGTAAGTCCTGTTTTTCTTACCTACAAACCACTGATGACCCTGTTACCAACACCTCTTCCCTCCCTGAGCAGATATCCCTCCTCCTAGAGACATTAGTAGGGACCTGCCACGCTTTGCCACAAACAGATAAATTGTACCGGGAATTTTCTCCCCACACACTCATCATTCTGTCACCTTATGTAACTTGCTGACAAAACCCATGACCCTTCAGGCTTTTACGCCCTTAATGCACGAGTCATAAAGGCAAACATGAACTATGCATACTTCCCAGATGGGCGCTGTAAACGCTTTTGCTCTTCACCTTGCACAGAATGTAAGGAGGTGCCCAATAAACTAGCCCCCTCGGGGGCAAATAAAAATATAAATATATTATACTGCTTTTGATTTACTCAGACAAGTGCTGGTGGAAACTCACAAACAGTGGAACTGACAATAAAAGATGTTTGTAGAAATTAAGATGTCTACTTATATTTATGCATATTATTTATATAGTGTATATCTTACAAATAATGTTATCTTTGTCCTATAATTACATTTATTAATGATTACCGTCTATCCTAATTACTATACTTTAGTTAATGCATTAGTTATGAAAAATGTTTAGAGCAGTTCCTCTACATATCTGTATATCTGTCCATACGTCTTTTCTGTATTCTTAGTGAGTGTTGCTAATTACTTTCTAAACACAACGTTCAGTCACCTCAGAAGTATCCGAATATGTGACTCATTGTTCAGTACTGTAGACGTAGAACCACCACCGCGGTCACTACGATTGTTTCACTCAGAATCAGGGATTCAACAGGCTGCAGCAAGGCCAGAAAGGGTCACACTGAGATAGGAAGGTGGGAAGATGAGGGTCAGAGTTCCACACAAGGCCAATCAGGACCAGAAAAGGCCACAGAAAATCAGGGCATTACAAAAGGCCAGACTAGCGTGAGAGGCCACGCAGGGCTTGGAGGGAGGAAGCGCTTGTAGTAAGACGGTCACTCCTGCCTGGCCAGCACCAGGCGGTGATGGAGGCGATAGAGCTCCTCCTCCATGTCCTCCAGCAGCTTCTGCGCCTGCGTAATGAGAACAACACAAAATACTTTACATTTTGGAAATCATCCTCCCACGATATTTTAAATAAACTAAAAAAGGACCAAGGTCTTTCTAAAAAAGAGGAAACAGGTAAGAAGTAAACATTGAAGTCATGTTTTAAGTTTAGATTTAGTTATATACCGATAGCGGAGGAAAGTATTTAAAAATCACAGTTTTTTGTCAAAGAAAATTTGAATCTATAAAGAAGAAATGACTCGTTTGTTAATCACGAAACTATGTAAACCACCATAAAACTAAAGGTTTTATTGGATTTAATATCAAGGAAATAGATGTCGTTTACGGGTTTCTGAGGAGAAAGGGCAATAGCGAAGATGCTCCTGAGTGCCTGACCCTGCTGGCCGAGGTCCATCGAGGTGAGATAGAAGGAAGGGGAGGAGAAAGTAACTGGTGGAGATTAAAACGAAGAGGATTAAGAAGAACACGAAGAAAAAAAGAAGAAATAATGATGACGAAGACAGAGGAAGAAAAAGACAGAACTCGTATCTTTACCACCATACGTAGAAAGAAATTCAGAGTAATATTCTTCAGTGAGAATTTAAAGTCCTTACTTCATCACGGGAGTGGACGAGGGCGGTGTCCACGTTGAGGCCGACTTTCACGACGCCCATGTAGCTGGCGAAAGAGACGCCCACACCTACAGGAGCTCGGTTTGGTATCCAGAAGAGCATGTCCTCCACCTTATCCCCCCAGACGCTGATCTCTTGCTGGGGCCCTGACGGACAAATGGAGGAAGACGTTTTATTTGTGGTTGGTTGGGTGTAAGGAAGAGGTGGAAAGGAGGAGGAGAACGGGGTAAGGAAGGGTGTGGGGAGAAGTAGAGTGGTAAGGTATCAAATATGGTGGACAAAAGGAGTGAAGGAAATTGGATATCAATTATGCTCACAAGGATGGTGAACGAAAAAACCAAGAAAGAAAATAGACATTAACTCACCGGGAACATTGCTGGCCGCTACGGTGACACCCCGACCTGACAGGAGGAGTTGGGCCACGGGTGCTGGAAGGACCTCACTCACTGCCCTCACCACCCAGAATACCGAGCCCAGGGTGGGATCTCTCTTCATCCCGTCCATCAAACTCTGTGGGGCGGGGCAAATAAATGGATGAATGGATGCATGAACAGGTTTATGGATGGATGCATGGGCAGGTGGATGGATGGATGTATGGACAGGTGGATGGATGGATGAATGGACAGGTGGATGGATGGATGCATGGACAGGTGGATGGATGGATGCATGGACAGGTGGATGGATGGATGCATGGACAGGTGGATGGATGGATGCATGGACAGGTGGATGGATGGATGCATGGACAGGTGGATGGATGGATGCATGGACAGGTGGATGGATGGATGCATGGACAGGTGGATGGATGGATGCATGGGCAGGTGGATGGATGGATGAATGGATGCATGGACAGGTGGATGGATGGATGCATGTAATAGGTGTGTGAATCATTAGATGTAGGGATGCTTGGATGGGTCGATATATGTGTGTATGAGAAGGTGGAAGGATGGACGGGTCGATAATAGATATGGACAGACTCACGGATGGCTGTCAGTCAGGTTGTGGGCGTACCTTAGTGGCAGCCAGCCTGGCAATGGGCGTGTGGGTTTGAGCAGAGGGGAGCTTGACAGTGGCGACGGAGAACCTGTTGGTGAGGGTGAGGGGCGCCCGCAGGTCATGGAAGCTCACAGGTACCACAGCTGTCACTTGGTTCACCTCCTCTGATCTGATGAGACATACATAAATATGCCTTGGGCATGAACACATAGGCCTACATACAGTATAAACATAATACCCGGAACGTTTATTGAAGTTTAAGGAAAGTGTGTATAACGATGTTCTTCCCGTACATACAGGACATGCAGGGTTTATCATTTAAAACACAACCCAAAAAACAATCACCAATTACTCTACAAATACAAAATCAGAAGACATATTCTCCCCAGTTTTGTGTAATGAACTCTCACATCCTTTTCCGCGTTATTCATTCAAAACAACCGTGGTCTCCTCCTCTCTTCAAATACTGTACAACATCTCTCTCTCTCTCTCTCTCTCTCTCTCTCTCTCTCTCCGATTTTAATTTCCTCTTGCTCTTATCTTCAGGTACCTGCGAGAGAAGTGGCGAGAGAGGGAGGCGGCGAGGCACGACAAGAGGACATCGTTAACTGTGGCCTGAGCAGCCAGCTTCACCTGCTTCAGCACCAGTAGTGGCAGACCTCGCGATGCCGTCATCACCTACAGGACACGACTACAGGTTAGAGGTCAAATTCTATGTTTTGGAGGTTAGGTCAAGGTCACAAGTTATGGACAGGGATAGGGGTCATACTCAGAATCCAGACGTCAAGATTTATGGGTAGGAATGGAGGTCACGGGCTGGGGTCACAGGTAGGGGTCAAAGGTTACGTTAACATTTACTTCCACTTATGACTAATTCCTACTATAGTAATACAGTGTTTCCCCCGTTGGTAGTTGAAGGTACGACTTACAGTGGGTCTGGATCAGTGATTACAGGTATGGGTTACTGTGACGTTAAATCACTGTTAGTAGAGTGTCATATATATGTGGTCAGCACCTGTAACCAATTTTTTCCGTACGGGTTACAGTAGGGGAAGAATGGAGGGGAAGAGAGAAAAGGATAAATATGGGAGTGGAAGGGATGGAAGGAAAGGAAAAGAAATGAGTATATATATAGGATGAGAGGGGAGCCTACTGACCTTCCTCCCTGAGAGGTGGTGACCATGAAGGGCGTTGTGATCAAAGTTGACCACCACCTGCAGAAGTCCCAGTGGCAGCACCAGCGCCGAGCACACCATCATGACCGCCCTGCAATGAAGCACAACTAAGTCAACAGAGAAAGGAGGAATAAGTTGAAGCTTACACCCTTTAAGTGCAATTCACCAGTTAAAGTAACATAAACAAACAAAATCGACGAATAGACACTTGTCATCCGAAGTGGACATTTCTTCATCTCAAACGACATTTTTCATTATTTTAGTATCAACTGCGATTGGCTAAAAGGAAACAAGTTGATTGGTATCTTGTAGTTTACTTTCATTGATGTTATACATTTTAAAAGATGTGGTCATAATGAGTCTTAGGTATGAATACTAGTGATAATGACAATGGCTCTAATTTTCCTACTCCGGAAGAAGATTTCCTTTCGGGAAGCTCCAGACTAGTGTACTATTGGCTACAAATGGTATATGATCTCGGCTGGATTAAAACAAACCATCTCTCAGCTGTCTGACTTTATTGGGATCGGATCGCTTACCAAACTTTGGTCCTTTTCTCCTAAAAATCAGACTTGATTCAGAAATAGTTTGTCTGAAATGGGTGGAGAACACAGAGGGAGTGGCCTATTACCCATGAACCTTGCAGTAGATAGTTATGACCAAACATTAAAATCTTTAATTTGTAGTTTAACGCCAACTTCGTCCGATAATTAAGAGATAATATACATGTTTTCTTCTCTATTAAACTGTATGAGTACATTATTCACGCTGGGAAAGTATTGTGCACTACAGTATTACTAGAGAACCTACCCGACGAAGATGACCTACCTGAGGAAGAGGTTGGTGGGACGGGGTTCAACGGTTGGCGGGGAGAGGGGCGTGTCCACCAGCGCTTCGACACACAGACGGACGAGTGACACCCCATCACCTATGGCGTGATGAAGCCTGATGATCACGTTGTACCTGTACCGCACACACAGTATTATAACCTCTACACAGTACCAACACCGCCACACAGTATTACAACCTCTAATGCCCAGTATTTGGTCGCATTGCATAACTGAGAATCAACCGACCGCCCGACCCGCAAGTAAGTAAACTGACTAGTGGTGAAGAAGATAAAGTAAATAATGAAGGAAAAATCTTACCTGTTGTCATCCCTAATAAGGAGAATGACCTCCCAGGGAGGACGGTCAGATGAAAGCGCTGCTGTCCCTTCTTCGCTCACAAACCGGTGAACCAGTTCATCAGTTTCCATACTCCTTGTCCCAGGGCCGCTATTTGCTGTGTCACAAGGAGAGCTGCTGTGGACGTCCTCTGATTGGTGACAGGTATTTTCTGACTCATTATAAGTGTTTTGGGAGTCAAGATCGGAGTAGAATTTACGTAGATTGATCATCCTGACATGAGTTTCAATGTTGAAATCCTCGACGTCTTTCCACGAGTAGTAACCATATGTCTGGGAAAATATCTGCCGAAACTTCTTGTAACAATAGTTCCCTTGTTCGTCTGACTTATCCAAGATATTCGTCCTGATGTGTCGATAGATCTTGTCGAGGTCAGGAGCGCCAGACAATAAGAGATTGATTGTGATAAATGGTCGACTTTCTTTGGATTCAACGCCCCACACGCTGTCCATCCCTTCCGCCTTTGTCACACTTGATCCAAACTCGAGGGTGTAGATGAGTTTAGTCACGCTGGACGCCACCCAAAAGACACAGATGACTGGGAGTGCCAACGGCAGCGACACCAATAAGAGGGCGAATCCCAGAATAGTTTTTAAGAGATTGATAACAATAAAGTCATAGGCTCTGAGGTTCCACTTTCCTTGCAGTAGAGTTACGGAAGGAAAGAGTTTTCCCGACCTGTGGACGCCCGTTTGTAGCGCCAATAGTGCGAGGACTCCCAGAGATACATCCTGAAGTGGCAAGTTGAAAGAGATGTCTGCAGAGCCGAGTCCCTGAAGCCAGCCATTTTGCAGTGGCTCCTGGGCTGGGTAAATGGTGCCGTTGGCAGGCCTGGAGATGTTAGCGATGAACCAGGAGTAGATCCGCTGTTCCAGTGGGTGGACGATGCTTGACATAGTCGCTGGTGTTGGGAGACACGGTTCACAGTCACACGTAACGCAAACACCAGAGCAGTTTTACTTTCTATAAATGACTGTTCACTGTAGCTGGTACAATTGGGTTACTCTTCTTACACTGTAGCTAGACGGACTGTGTTATGGCGTCGAAGCTGCTTAACTTATTCACGTATTGTCTATTACTCTCTTATACACTTAAAGATTACAGGATCAGCTACTTGTTGGAACCGGTGAATAATTTTGTTTCATAATTATCTCACGTAATTATCTAATTTATTCACAATTAAATTGACAGTTTTATTCAATAATGCCACAAATTTAATCTCCAGTAAGGAAAGAGAGATGATGTTGCTGTAATTATTTTTGTGGAAAGAAAAAGACAAAGTTAACAAGACATGTACAGTTATGAGCCTTGAGTCACGTCCAATCATGAACTTTGAGTCACATACAGTTAGAAGGCTTGAGTCACAGTCACAAACCTAAAAATCACCTACAGTTACAAACCTTGAGTCACATACAGCAACAAACCCTGAGTCACATACAGCAACAAACCTTGAGTCACATACAGCAACAAACCTTGAGTCACATACAGCAACAAACCTTGAGTCACATACAGCAACAAACCTTGAGTCACATACAGCAACAAACCTTGAGTCACATACAGCAACAAACCTTGAGTCACATACAGCAACAAACCTTGAGTCACATACAGCAACAAACCCTGAGTCACATACAGCAACAAACCTTGAGTCACATACAGCAACAAACCTTGAGTCACATACAGCAACAAACCTTGAGTCACATACAGCAACAAACCTTGAGTCACACAGCAACAAGCAGTAATTCGAAAATGTACACATGTATACAGCATATAGGTAGGCTATATATTTTGTTTTATTTGTAAATTAGTAAATCGACAGCGGATATTTTTTTTACTTGTAAATTGGTAAATGTTGAGGGAGGATGACAGTGGTCTAAAGTCGGGTTCTAGACGGGTGGTGTGTACGAGAACCCTTACATCTACTCAAGGTTCCTCCATATTAGCCTCTGAGCCTCTCAATTCCTGGGGCTTCGTGGTGGACTCCTTTCTAGGACAACAGCAGCAAAGGGAAATACAGTAACAGCAAAAACAATTGTGGTTTTCTTGCACTAAGGAGCAACAACGGATCAGTAACTGGGGTTTTCTTGCGCTAAGGAGCAACAACGGAGCAGTAACTTGGGTTTTCTTGTATAAAGGAGCAACAACGGAACTGTAACGGGTTTTCTTGCACCAAGGAGCAACAACGGAATAGTAACTGCGGGTTTTCTTGCACTAAGGAGCAACAACGGAACAGTAACGGGTTTTCTTGCATCACCTAACCTACTAAACCGCCCTTAATGTGGCGAGATACCAAACGTTAGGGGTATACAATAATTGCACTAGGAGACCCTATAACAGCGATACTTGCCACTATAAACCGAATTGATCCACTCATCATAGTTATATAAAAAGCATTAAAAAACAGACTTGAAACCAGCGTTGTCAGATGAACACTAGAAACCAGATTTATAACAATTCTTAGCACTAGAAACCAATGTTTAAAGTGTAATACACGGTACTCGAATTAGAAACCAAACGTTTGAGGATAAGTCACGTCATTAGAAACCAAACTTATTTAAGATTATAGGTACTAGAAACCAATCTTATAAAAGGAGTGTTGTACATGAAATATTATGTTGAAAAAATGTTAGAAACCTTACTTCTAGGATATGCTAAAGTAGAAACCCGATGCATTAAGAGTATATACATTATTAAAAACCCGATATATTAAACACCTACATATGAGACACAGGAAAACTAGCATGAATAGAACATGGAATTAGAAACCTTAGATATCACTGAATAAAACGGATCAGAAACCCTGTTGGTTAAGAATATACGAAAATAGAGACGTAATTCATTAAAATTAAAGGTATATTTACGGACACTGGAGACCTAAATTATTATGGACGTATTTAAAATAGAATTAACCAATAAAGAAAATATGCAGTAGAAACCCAAATTTTTAGTAAAAATTACTTATGGAATTTAGCCTATAAATGACATACGTGGGATTAGAAACCAAATTTACCAGAGGGATAATAAGTTACACCAGGTCAAATTAGAAGGTAATAAATACATTCTTTTAAGAAAAACCTTCCATAATACAATAGTTTCTGTTAACAAATAGAAAACAAAATTGCACCAGTAATAGTCACACATTAAAATTCTTATATTGTGTCTATGTCAAGAGGGGCGCGAGACACTGACTGATACACGTCTAGTTAACACTACCTGGATGACCGGTGATCACGGGTCGAGTGGGGATGTCATGTTCAGTAACACTTCCTTATACGTACATCCTAACGTCTTACAATTCCCGCCAGCACTTTACGTCATCACGGCGGTATTGTTGTATCTCCGATATAGTGTATACAAAGAAAATCGGAGTTAGATTAAAGGTACGACATACAACATAAAAGAAATATGCAAATTTAATGGTTAAGAGGTCGTAATACGACGTTTAACAAGAAAAAGGTGTCTCAGTAGCGTTTGGCAGGGAGGGAGGGACTCAAACTGCCAGATGCACGAGCACAAGCTAATGCCTTTACTATATATATATATATATTATATATATATATATATATATATATATATATATATATATATATATATATATATATATATATATATATATATATATATATATATATATATATATATATTTTTTTTTTTTTTTTTTTTTTAATCATCTTCGCCACGTGTCAGCTTACTATCCGATCGGTCGGCCAGTTTTGTGTACTGTACATACTATTGTCAAGTACTGGGAATGTACGGAGCTCTTAATGTACAGTCACCCAAAAACGTCATGTCGCGAACCACGAACCCCGGGATTCAGACTCGTGAACCCGAAGCAGTAGACACTGATACGTTATTCTGTCCATAAATGCTTCGGATTCAAGAGTCTGAATCCCGGGGTTCGTGGTTCGCGACATGACGTTTTTGGGTGACTGTACCCTAAACATGTGCCACCTTAGGTAAAATCTGGAGCTCACATTTAGTGCTGACTGCCGACACATCATACTCTCGCCTGAAGAGTCATTACCCTGACTCCAGAGAAATTACAGGAATTGTTGAAGAAGTTCGCCAAGCCTTTAGTAGCTAGAGGCTAGACATCACAACTTTTGAAAATTGAGAAAACTTTAGTAGTTACAGTTATTATGCGCTTTGATGGCTATGGGTTTTAAGCATCGTTGTTAAGTCCAAATTTCAACACTAAACAACAGTGCTGTAAGAAAGGTATTGTTTTCCGCCAATAGTTAGAGGTTAGAGCTTTTGTCCTAATCTTTTAGGCTAACCGCTATAAGGTATTTATGCACTGTTCAACGCGTCTCCCCTCTTATACCAGATAACAAATGCATATATTATCAAATAAGATATTCTTTCTCTTGTTATTTACAAAGTGGAGAAGAGTTATATTCAAGGTTCGTTGTATCACTCATTACTTATTTCTAAACTTCGTCATACGTATATGTAACAATGTTTGTTTTACCTCTAGGAAAAGAAAATACAACTAAAACAAAAAAAGGCTGAGTGTCAGAGGTTAACGAGATAGGGGGGAATAAGCAAATTGTGGGGATGACTTACATAAACACTCCCTAGTATTACCCACGACACAGGTTAAGTCTTCACGCGCGACCTTCTTAGAAGGTTAGCGCGCTTCAGGTGAGGGTGGGAGCCCTCCGTCACACCATCCAGCCAGGGTCATGATAACAGTGGGTGACACATTCCAGAGCCAGAACGTGCGGCCTGAGGGCCAAATGAGGCCTGACTGAGATTTTTTGAGAAATATTTTCACCTTATTAGCACACATGAACAAGTAGCCGTTGGGGACGGGGGCGTGGAAGGCAGAGGAGAGAGAAGGGGTTGAGGTAGGCGTGGAAGGCAAGGGAGAGAGAAGGGGTTGAGGAGGTGGGCATGGAAGGAAAGGGAGAAAGGAGGAGTTGCGGAGAACACTAGAGAGGTAGGGGCGTTTGAGAGGAAAGAGACATGGACAGATGAAGCCACACCTGGGGGTGTAGTTGGCAGATAGTAGCTCCTTACAGGCTTCTATTACTCCAACATATCTCTTATCTTGTCAAGAGAAACGAGTAAACTGAAGCTCTACTCGGTGAGGCGGGGGGTGTCCCAGCTGGGGATGGGGTTATTATATAAACTGGAGAAAAGGGGGGGGGGGGAATAAATGGAAGACGAAGTTTGAAAGTGCAAAATAACGGAGAGTTATGGGGATTGGAGAGAGATTAGAGAAGGGGATAGAAAATAATAGAACTTAGAAGGGAGGAGGCAAAGAAAGAAGAGAGGATAGAGGGAAGCAGAGTGAAGAGAGATGTGTATAGTGGGCGTGCTAGTGCGAGTCTTTGATGCTATTTTTCTGTTCCATAAATGATATCCCAGAAGGTCTTCACTTTTCTTCCAAGTGTTTGTTAATGGCTCTAAGATATTCAGGGAATTTGAAAGCCAAACGGACTGAAAACCACTGCAGTACGATCCCTTTCGTTTTCAAGTACAGTGTAGTCATGAAAAGGGTGACTGACATTCGACGTTGCGACATGCAAAAGGGTGCACCCTCATCGTGCAAATAGTAAAGATAGTATTATATGTCCAAACGAAATAACATTATTTTCCAAACCGTAACTAGATTTGTGGTAAATAAAACACTTGGCTGTTACATCCAAGCTTTACTTACTCATTTCACTACATATCTGAAATAACACAAAAGCAAATGCTGAAACGGTTCTGAGTTACTTTACTTTACTTTTACTTTTATTCTCTTCGCCACTGATCGGCTAGTTAGTCGCTTGGGCGATCGGTCACGTCTCTGATTACTTTTCCTTTTCATTTATCCTCTTCACCAAAAAATCGGCTCGCTAGCCGCCCGGGCGATCGGTCACGTCTCTGTCACGCACTGTTGGCAAATACTGGGCATGCACCGGCTCCTGAATGTACCTGAACCCGCTCCAGTGTTGGTCAAGTCTTGTCTTGAAAGAGCTCACACTCGGTGCCGTCACAACACTCTGGTGGATTGTTCCAAGAGTTTACAACCCTCACTCCGAAAAAGTTTGCCCTCACAGTTTTCTGGACTTGCGGCTTCTTCAATCTTGAGCTGTGACCCCTTGTGGGGCGAGCGTCCGCCAGCTCCAAGTAAGGACACTCTACTAAGTAGTGCTCCTTGAGATGCTTATACACCTCAATTAGGTCACCCCTTGCCCGTCTGTAGTATAAGCTAGGGAAGTTCAGGCACTCCAATCTCTAAAGGTAGCTGAGGTGCCGAAATGCAGGCACCAGTCTGGTGGCAGTCCCTAGCATATCTCGGGGACCAGACTGGGTGACAGTACTCCAGATGGGGAAGCACTTCACTCTTGAAGATCGTTACAAGGGACGGACCGTCTAGATATCTGAACGACCTTCTTATAAGACCCAATAATTTATTTGCCTGGTTTACCTTTTTCTAGCAATGGCCCGAGAACTTCAGCTCATTGTCAACATACACACCTAGGTCCTTCTGGCATTCAGTCTCAACTAGTGCAGTTTCTTCATCCCGTTGGGATATATGATACGCCTGTAGTGGATTCCTCACCTACAAACGCTTGTCGCTGAGTAGCCGACCTTACCATTGGTACGCCCCAGGTGCATCCTCTTTCACTTCGTGACATTGAATCTCAGCAGTCATTTCTTCTACACTGGTCGGCTCGTTGGCTGGTTGGGCCGTCGGTCACGTCTCTGTTACGCACTGTTGGCAAGTACTGGACATGCACTGGCTCCTGAATATATCTGAACCTGTTTTAGTGTTGGTCAAGTCTGGTTTTTAAAAGAGCTCACACTCAGGCCACTTGCTTACTTCAATGGATGGAAATAAAATAACGTCCCTATTTTCAGTCTTAGGCCCATCCCCCTTTTCCAGAAACTTATATACGCCACTGACAGCGAGGGAGTAGGCTGTATGAAAAGGTGATTTACAATATTAAACCAAAAATAACAAGACAATAAATGAGACGACCAGCAAATATCTGAGGCTGATCGCTGGCGAAAAGGAGACTGTATAGAAACAGAAAATTGTGCAAATGGATGAATAGATTACGATAAAAATAAATGGTAAGAATATAAGTGTCAATTAGATAAATCTGACCAATACTGAAGAAAAAGCTTACTAAAGGAAATATGCTGATAACCACAAGGAAAGAAGAAAACACGAAGTTCCCAAGCGCTTTCGTGTAATTCACATCTTCAGGGGTGAGTACTCACCCCTGAAGATGTGAATTACACGAAAGCGCTTGGGAACTTCGTGTTTTCTTCTTTCCTTGTGGTTATCAGCATATACCTAGATCACGCGCACCTACAGTGATTTACTTGCATAAAGGAAATATATAATACAGTATCTCCCCTATACGAAAGAAGAAAACGGATGAACATATGGAAGTAAGAGAACGCTGTCTAGTTCCTCATGAGGTTAACCACACCGGACAATTAATGTAGTGGACAAATTATCTGGGTGGTGACAGGTTTAGGTTGGGTTACATTAGGTTATATTATATCCATTGGTATTAAGTTCGTGGTTATTGGAAGCACTATATTACGAGTTTTGGAAAAACTTTAACAAATTTGTTTATGTATTGTACTTCCAGTTTAATTCTGCCGCTTTTCGTGGGGTACGCTATCGAAAGCCTTGGTAAAATCTAGGTATTATGTATTGTCGATATTGCCACCCTGTTCCAGAATTTGGGTCAAAACATCCAGTACCTTGAGTAATTGTGATAAGCTGGAGCATCCCGGCAATCCTTTACAAGGTTATTTCGTAGTAGATGTTCCATCATGGTATCTCTTATAATGCTCTCTAGTATTTTGCACACTATGCTGGTCAGGCTCACTTGTCTATAATTATTCGTGGAGTGGCGATCGCCCTTCTTGAAAATAGGACTCACATAAGCCATTTTCCAATCACTGAGGACTTTTTGCTCACCCAGACATCGACAGAACAGGATCATCTTCAGGGGCTCGGAAGTTCGTTGCACAACTCTCTTAGCACTCTGGGATACTCCGTGTCAGGGCCGGGACTCTTATGGACCTTTAGCTTTGACAATATTTCTTATAAGCTCTTCTGAGAACACAATGTGGGTCAGCGCTGTGTCGAACCGTCTGTCCTCAAACTTTTACTTTTATCCTGCACTATTTGAGACTGAATGTGAGAAGGACCTAGATGTGTATGTTGACAATGAGCTGAAGTTATCGGGCCATTGTGAGAAGGTAAATCAGGCAAATAAATTATTGGGTCTTATAAGAAGGTCGTTCAGATATCTAGACGGTCCGTCCCTCGTAACGATCTTCAAAAGTGAAGTGCTTCCCCATCTGGAGTACTGTCACCCCGTCTGGTCCTCGAGATATGCTAGGGACTGTCAGTTGGTTGAAAATGTTCAAAGGAGGGCCACCAGACTGGTGCCTGCACTTTGGCACCTCAGCTACCCTGAGAGATTGGAGCGCCTGAACTTGCCTAGCTTATACTACAGACGGGCAAGGGGTGACCTAATTGAGGTGTATAAGCATCTCAAGGGGCACTACTCAGTCGAGTGACCTTACTTGGAGCTGGCGGACGCTCGCCCCACAAGGGGTCACAGCTCAAGATTGAAGAAGCCGCAAGTCCAGAAAACTGTGAGGGCAAACTTTTTCGGAGTGAGAGTTGTGAACTCTTGGAACAATCTACCAGAAAGTGTTGTGACGGCACCGAGTGTGAGCTCTTTCAAGACCAGACTTGACCAACACTGGAGCAGGTTCAGGCACATTCAGAAGCCGGTACATGCCCAGTACTTGCCAACAGTGCGTAACAGAGACGTAACCGATTGCTCAAGCGGCTAACGAGCCGATCAATTGGTGAAGAGGATAAAAGAAAAAGAAAAGTAACAGAGACGTGACCGTTCGCCCAAGCAGCTAACGAGCCGATCAGTGGTGAAGAGGATAAAAGTAAAAGAGTAAAGTAAAAGTAAAGGAGTTTTACCGCTACGCAAAGTCGAAATTAAAAACGGTAGTAGGAGTCTCGGAGTTCCGGCTTGAAAATGGTAGTTACACAAATTCTGACCAGTACAAGGCGGAGACGTTAAACAGTTTCTTTTCCTCGGTGTTCACAAGAGAGGATGCGAACACTCTTCCTGTATGCCAGAGAGATTAGAACGCCTGCAACTATCTAGCTTATACTACAGACTGGCGAGGGGCGACCTAACCGAAGTGTATAAACATCTCAGGGAGCACTACTTGGTCGAATGTATATATCTGGAGCTGGCGGACGTCCGCCCCACAAGGGGCCACTACTCAAGATTGAAGAAGACACAAGTCCAGAAAACTGTGAGGGCAAAGTTTTTCGGAGTGAGAATAGTAAACTCTTGGAACAATCTGCCCGAGAGTGTTGTGAGGGTGTGGGGTATTTGGGATCTTTGGTTCACACTCAGGATGGGATGGAGAAAGGAAACTCACAATGTGCTCTCTGTATACATGTTGTATTGGATGTACAATGCAGCTTGGTGCTGGGAAGGCAGCATGGTTACAAGCGTGATGTAGAGAGAGCTGGTTGGTGAGGGTGCTCAGAGGAGGACAGCTTGTGAGTCGCCATGCTCGCCGGCGGGAGCGAGGACCGCCAGGCGGGCGGAGGAGGAGGTGTTGCTTGCTGGTTGGTGGAGGTAGAAAGAGACAGGTCACCACGAGGTCAGGTCTTAAATAGCGGGGGTAGGCGTGGCTTAGTAGTTGACCCCCGCTCCGTGATGTATGGCGGCGCTGGTTGACCTAGACCACGAGGCACACACTGTGGAATTCGTGGGGTCGGCTACGCGGCGACAAACAGCGTTTGTAGGGGAGAAATCCACTACAATACTCCCCCTTCCCTCCAGGCGGTGTAGGAGACTTGTTGTCTGCAGGGTTGCATAGCATATGTGAGGCAGAACGGGCGGTGCATGCCTCATGTGAGACAACGGCGATGGCGTGGATGAGCCGGTCGCTGGAGACAACTGTCTAGATATACAATATCTGTGGGAGTAGAGAGGGAGAAAAAGGGTGTGTGGAGGCGATGAATGTTGTGCTTCCCTCACGGCAGGTACAGAGTCGTCAGATGCGCCTGCTGGGGTGTGTGGGCCTGGGTCAGGAGCAGGGGCTGCGTCAGCAGAAGCGGATGAGGGCTCGTGACAGCAGCTGGGTCCACGACAGCAGCAGGGTGCAGGACATTAGCAGGGAGTACCTGAGGGAGAAAAGAGGGGTGTGTGGGTCCGCACTCAGGAACAGGGGCCGCGTCAGGAGAAGCGGCAGGGGGTACTGCTGGGCCGGGATCGGCGTCTGAAGCAGGACGGGTGTGTTGGTCCGCGTCAGGAGCAGAGGCCGCATCAGGGGCGGCAGGGGTTACTGCTGGGCCGGGGGCGGCGTTTGAGGCAGGACGGGTGTGCTGGGGTCGGTAGGACGTGGTGCTTGGGGCAGGAAGAGGAGCTGGTGTCTGCTTAGAGAAGCAGTGCTGCTGTAGGGTGTCTAACCTGCGGTGTAGAGACAGTAGTTGTAGAGCCGATGAGAGCTGCTTCTGTGTGGATAAGCCAGTCTTCCATGTTGCTTGAAGACTGGGAGCGTGATCAGTTTCTCCTCCATCCTGTGTGAGTGCGAATCTCCGGGAGTCACCATTTGTGGGGTTTTTGGATTTGTGTTCACACTCAGGATGGGTTGGAGAAAGGAAACTCACAATGTGCTCTCTGTATACATGTTGTATTGGATGTACAATGCAGCTTGGTGCTGGGAAGGCAGCATGGTTACAAGCGTGATGTAGAGAGAGCTGGTTGGTGAGGGTGCTCAGAGGAGGACAGCTTGTGAGTCGCCATGCTCGCCGGCGGGAGCGAGGACCGCCAGGCTGGCGGAGGAGGAGGTGTTGCTTGCTGGTTGGTGGAGGTAGAAAGAGACAGGTCACCACGAGGTCAGGTCTTAAATAGCGGGGGGTAGGCGTGGCTTAGTAGTTGACCCCCGCTCCGTGATGTATGGCGGCGCTGGTTGACCTAGACCACGAGGCACACACTGTGGAATTCGTGGGGTCGGCTACGCAGCGACAAACAGCGTTTGTAGGGGAGAAATCCACTACAAGGGCACCGAGAGTGAGCTCATTCAAGGCCAAACTTGACCAACACTGGAGCAGGTTCCGATATATTCAGGAGCCAGTGCATACCCAGTAGTTGCCAACAGTACGTAACAGAGACGTGACCGACCGCCCAAGCGGCTAACGAGCCGATTAGTGGCTTTTACTTACTTTTTACTTTTATCCTCTTCACCACTGATCGGCAACGAATAACATAGACAAAAGCAATTTAGGCTAAAAATGGTATCATTTCAATATAGAACATTCAAAGTTAAAAGGGTTATAATTATTTTTCTGTTTATTTCTTTAAAAAGAATCACATTTTTTGGAATCAGCGTAAAAATTCTACATTATAAAAAATATTCCTTGTGTTTGAATGCAGTATATGAAACTGAAAAGATCCAAATGCATTTTGACATGTCTACCTGTATTTATGAGAAAATGTACGAACGTTTGAGAATTGTGGAGGCCTCAGCGTCACGGGGAACTACGGTGAAGGAGGAGCATGTGAGTGTGAGGTGTTGTACGTCAGTTTGTTGTGACAGCAGACTACGGGAGGCAGACCCAGGCACACTCCTGTCACTGCCACCTCTCCTGCCACACAATACTCTTCTACCTCCTTCATATCGCAATATACAATGCCTCTCCTTGCTTAAAAGATTGTGTAGAAGAAATATTTTTGGGGATTTTCAAAGCAGGTAAGTAGTAGGAGTGCCACTCGTTGAGTCTTGGTGCCTGATACTGCAGACCACAAGTTGATCCTAATACTGATAATAATCTCTTTCTTATTGTAGATTGGCATAAAACAGTATTTAGCTCAGTGTCCATATTTTGTTCTCCCAATTAACTAGTTCAGGAATGAGTGGTTAACAACTTAGATAGAGTGGGAAAGATTCAGCGAGTAATCTTGCATTTTACAAGGTATTAGTTGTTGGTTTATCCTCAAGTATGACTCATTACCATGTTAGTATGATTCATCTATACCTAGTATGACTTCACACACTCTCTGCAGTTAGAGTTATCTGTAAATTTTACTGTATAATAACCTGAAATTAATTTATCAACAAGTATCTGAACAAGTTGTCATAGTATGAGATTTTTTTTTTTTTTTACGAGGATTAGCCCACCCGGGCACAGTTCAACGACCCACAACTGGGGCGAACAAATAAAAATGGAAAGAAGTTCAAAATAGAAAAGAAAAAGGTTATATTAATCTACACCATAAAGATGCCATAAAAACAGCTTTTTTAAGTGGGAGATTGTATGAGTATGGAAACACAGAAGAAGGAAGAGCATTCCACAGTTTGGCTGTGTGAGGGAAGGAGGCATTATAATGTGTTATTCTAGTGTGTCCGACATCCACAGAGAAATGGTGAGCACCGCAGGCAAGACGTGTGTTACGATCCCACTGACTTGCCGGCGGTACACAGGATGCAAAATCCACCCAACAGTGCTCATTAAAGTGAAGCAACATTGCGGCGAAGAGAAAGGGAAGAAAGATTGTCAACTAAATGAGGAGAATTAATATGACGAAGTGCCTTTATTCCACCCTATCTAACAGTTGGACAGAAGAAGAGCCACCTTAGATATGAGAGCAGTACTCCAAGTTAGGATGAATGAATCCCTTGTATTCTTGAAGCAACTACTCAGGAGTGAAGTAGCTACGGCATCTGTACAGCATTGCTAACTTTCGGGAGGCAGCTTTAGCAATGTTGAGGATGTGTGGCTTTCGTGACATATTTGAGGAAATGGTGAAGCTTCGCATACCTATTTTAGAATTTGGCAGAATGATAGCATCCTGAAATGTGATTGGTGGGAGATCATCTAATTTGGAAAGTGTAATTGGTAAATACCGAGTTTTTTTACTATTGAATTTTAACCAAGTTTCTATTCAGAGATGCTGCACAGATCTGCATTGATAGATTTAATGATATCAGCTCTAGAAACAAATCTAGTTTTGAGAGTTAGGGGGAAGGGGAAAATGTGAATAAGAGTGAAGAGTAGAATCATCAGTGTAAGAATGGATAGAATTAATTGTAGTGTGAAGTAAGTCATTGATAAAAAGAAGGAAGAGAGTAGGTGAAAGAACAGAACCCTATGGGACACCACTATTGGTAGAGAAAGAGCGAGAGATCGATCCCTCGACAACAACTGCCATAGATCGGTTCTCTAGGAAGCTAGAGATTAGAAAACAAAGTGGGGGAGAGAAACCATAAGAGGGAAGTTTTGAAAGCAAAGACTTGTGCCATACCCTGTCAAATGCTTTGGAGATGTCGAGGGCCACGATGAAAGTTTCCTCATAATTCCTAAGAGAGGATGACCAAAGATGGGTGCAGTAGTCTAACTTTTACTGTAAATACAGGTAGTTGGTCTGAGTGAAATAATTTACCTGAACTTTATACAATTAATGGCCTTTGCACCAATAATCAAGAAAGGAAATAATATTAAGGATGGATGCTAATATGGAGGACTTCACAGCCGCTTCCGTCTCGGTAACGGTAAGTTCACCCGTGGCAGGTGTTAAGTTATGCTAGGTTAGGTTAAGATTAGGTTAGGTTAGTTTAGTTTAGTTTAGTTTAAGGTTAGGTTAGGTTAGGGTAAGGTTAGGTATGGAAAAACATATTTCTTATCTCAGGCTTAAAGCAAATCTTGTAGAGAAATATCAATTTTTGTACTGCACAGAATTTAGGGTTTTCCTAGTTTTTCCCATTAATAACATCAGTGACATAACTGATTCCGAATTCTAAGCGACAGAACGCTTCCCAGCCAGCGAATAATGGGCGACATTTCTTCCTTTCCATACAAAGCTACCTAACAAAACATAACCTAATGTAAAATAATAACAATAGTAATACTGTACTGTAATAATAATAATACCTCTCATACATGACCGGTGACCATCAGTGGTTCGGTGATTATGGCGGGTGTTTTTAGACAGTTTTGTACGCTGATAACTTTCATGTATATTCATTTTCTTGGAAAAATGCTTATTTTTCAAGATACTATAAATGAGTTAAGATAGCATATGACAGTTGCTTCATCATCTGTGATGCGGCAGATGTAGACAATGTACCGTGGCCGTCACCAGTTTGATAATTATGTGGGATGTGGCCGACAGCGGTTTGGTAATTATGAGGGTGATTTTAGACACCGTTTTGTATGCTGATTACTTTCAGTTCTATTCATTTTTTTGTGTAAATGCTTTGTTTTCTGGATATAGGTGAATTAAGATATAGGTTAGCACTTGATCTCAGCCAGTTTTATATTTTTCGACAACATAATACAGTATTCCTTAATAAGATCAGTGAAAACGGTATTTATCAAACCATTTTCAATGAAAAACAGCGTACAGACATTATCCGAGTAATTACCAATAGTACTGTATACAGTACTGTATGAATAGGTTTATAACCGGTAAAACTTAACTTGTAATGTGAATTGATTTTTGAATGAATATGATATCACCCTATTAATGTAAGTGTGCACATAGTACTATTAATAATGTGAGCAGTAATTGAAATTTAAGTTTTCCCAGTTACAAACCTATTCATACATTCATTAACTCACTCATCTTACATGCTAAATTTAACTATACTATAATGGTATTTCACTTGCATAAGTAAAGTTTGCCAGTCTGGGTATGATCACTGAATATTTTTGTGAATAATTATGCATCCATATATCTAGGATGATTGATAGGCCTGCACTGTATTTTGGTTAGTTCCTGCCACAAAATAATTATCAAATAACTTTCCACCTTCGTGATTATGAATAATTAATCTGGCAAGGGGGTAGCTGTAGTAAGCGTCCGTCCCCAGGATGGTGAAAAAGCCGACTGAATTTCCCTCCCCTGAACCAGCCAATCAAAACTACACTAGACGGAGTGACGTCACAGTGGTGTGGGCTGCACGCGGCCAACACCGTCGAACTACCTAACTTCCTTACACTCTTACAGGATAAGTTACCTAGTTCATTTACCCTCATGCATATGCTCATGATTCAAATTACTGTATTAGAGTTACACTATGGTATATACAGTATATACATATAGTGTATATATGGTGTGACAGTCAGGCTTATTTTATTCATTATTGTAAACTATCTTTGGACAATTTCCTCTTTTACTTAAATGTTACTGTATTTTGATGTTAGAAAAACAGGTGCTGATGGTCACTCGTATGTACTGTATTATGTTATCTTCATATTATTTCAGTTCCCAAGTGCACAAGGTTCCCCATGGCAGAAGCAACCTACAAGATGAATGATTGCCAAGGGTCAGAGGATGAGAACATCAATGGTTCCTCACTTCCTTCAGAGGAAGACAAAAAAAGTGTGAAAAATGGTGTGCTTGGAGTCAAAGTGGTTGAAAAGGATCATATTAAAGCAGAAAATGGAAATCAACCAGGGGATGTAGCTCAGGCAGCAGTGAGTATGGCAGATCAAGTCCGATCTGAGGCTGGGGCCCAAATGGCAGATCAATTCCGATCTAAGGCTGGCGCCCAGGTGGCAGATCAAGGTCGCGTGGAAGCTGGGGCCCAACCTTTTGGGGTTGAGGTTAACTCATTCAACAAAAATGGACCAGATTGTTACCCTCTCCATTGGCTTGTTTGGCACAATGACTACCGCAGACTAGACGTAGAACTAAATAAAGGCAAGGTGTGTAGAAATTTATAACTTATATAATTATTATACTTTTGTGCGACAAAGTTCCTTTTGTATTGAAGAATGGAATTCTTCAAATATAATCCATTGTGTTCTCTTATTCCATACTGGGTACCTATTTTTTCTTATCTATTCTTGATCTGTCCCGCTGTACAATACTTACTACCCATATGTATTTTCCTTGACCTTTCTTTTATATTTCTCATTCCACTGTTGTTGTTTTTTTTTTCACATTAGAAAATTTACCAATTTACCTATGTTGGTAAACAGTTGCTAATTTTGCATTAAAATTTCTTTGTCAGATTTTAAAAGACTTGGGTGTGTTCATGACTTGACAACTTATTTCCAGCATAATCAGGAGCTGCGTGACCCAAGAGGACGCACACCTCTTATGCTAGCTGTTACATTGGGTCATTTGGAATCTACCAGATCATTGTTACGCCACCACTGCAATGTTAACGTAGAGAATAATGATGGTTGGACTGGTGAGATACATTTTATTTTATTTTATTATTATTATTACTATATTATTGTCTTTATTTGTGCAGGTGCAGTCACCCACTAAGGTCCTGTCACCTCTTCTCCTGAACCACAAACCCTAGACTCATGAATCCGAAGCATTTATGGACAGAATAATGCATCATTGTATGCTGCTTCAGGTTTACGAGTCTGACTTTCTGGGTTAGTGGAACAGCAGGAGAGATGATAGGACTTTTGGGGGTGACTATACAATACCTGTACTAGATCAGATGTGCTTAGTTGTATATGGAAACATTGACCAATGATAATTTTGAAAGAAGAAAAGTATGTTCCCCTCTTTTTAGTGATAGTTGTGATACAAGTAATGTGTGTGTTCTCTCTTTTATGGATAATTCAGAAATAAATAAACGGGATGTTTTTTTCTTTTATTGATAATTCTGAAAGGAAAACAGTGGATGCACTTATTCTTATTGATAGTTATGAAAGAGTTATTGTTTTCCTCATGAACACTGTAAGACCACTTCTCTTGCCTATAAGAAGTTCTTTTATTATGTTCTTGTTTTTTATTTTTTGGCATATCCTTCTTTCTTTCTCCTGTTATTTACATGTGTTTGCTGTAATTTCATTCTTAATATTAGGACATATGCCAATGGTGCTGTAATGGTTATTGACTCACTGTCCTGTAGGTTCTTTATGTCCAACCCATCATGTTTGCCTGTAGTTGTTAGACTGCAGTCTTTCCAACATAAAGAGGGATTCCTTATCTTTAAAATGAAATAGGTTTCTGAAGGATTTGCACATATCATTGACATGCAGGACAGAAGTATCACTGGGTTATAAAAATTTTGTCTTTACAAACCATTCTTCATTTACTTAATTATAAAATGTGAGATCTCTTACAATAGTGTTCTCATCACACTGTCAGTACTCTCCATAAGGATGAGACTGTTAATCTCTCTGGTTCCTATAAAGCTTATGTTGAAATTTCAGGGACAGGAGTAAAATTGTGGTCTTGCATTGTAATGATTTTATTTTACTTTAGGTAAAATAATATAACTGGCTTGACTGACAGCTTTTGTAATGTGAATGATTATTTAGAATTGCTCCTTAACTCTTTTATTATACATACTGCCAGTTCTTGCATAAGTAGAGTTTTTTCAGTTGTGGGTAGATGGTAGTGGTGATCAGAAATATGAGCTAGCATGGAGCAAAAAAGAATGAGTAGAAGCTAAGTTAAGCATATCATGATAGTATTACAGGAGGCCACAGCAACAGGTGACCCAGAGCTTCTGGGCATTGTACTGGAGGGGCGTGACATGCAGCGTTATTCCTCACGTGTCGCGGGTATTCCTGGTTTGTTGGCTAAGCTCAAAGAGGTAACTTCTACTGCATTTTATTTTATTGCTTTGAGTTATTAGTTTCGTAGAGTGTGAGAGAAATAGTTGAAAATGGCATTACAGTACAAATAAATGAATTATTTGTCTCTGTTCATCGTTAGTACAAGCCATTAGTAACTGTTTCCAATTATTGGATAGATAAAACAAATTACAAAAGTTTTCCGATACCACAATGTTTTGGGAAGATATTTTACATTTTTGTGAAATGAACCATGGATTGTGTTGTGCAAAAGGTTATGATAGGTTAAATTGGTTGGGGAATTATATTCGATAATAATGATGAAGTGGAAACTGTTTCAGCAACTGGGATGTTTGAAATTAAATGCATTATACTGTATATTGGTATTTAAGGTATTTCATGAATTGCTGTTTTCTCCTTCACAGGCACCAGACTTTTATGTTGAGATGAAGTGGGAATTTACTAGTTGGGGTAAGTTGTTGTTAGTGTTTTATTGTGGTAGAAACTTGGCATTTGTAAGGCACTTTTATTACTTATTATGTAGTTATTTTAACATTATATTAGATGTTTTAACCCTATTTATTCACCGTATTTGGATACAAATACAAATAATGTGTAATTATAATTATCTTCCTGTGTGTGTTAGCGACGTATTTGTGAAATGACGTATATCGATACAATGTATAACGAGAACCCTCTTTTCTACCTTAAAGCATTATCTCCATTAGATTTATATAGTGTACAGTGTCTGGAAGATGGATTACCTTATTTGTATTACAAGAATCCATATTGAGATATTTCATTTAATGACTTTAATTACATTTCTGGATTTAATATATACAATAGCTCCTTGATACAATGACTCCCTTACCATAGCATGAGGATAATCTTGAGAGTGACCAAAATACATTCACAGGTTTACCATGTCTTAACAGTGGATGAGCTGTTCTTCCTTTAATGAATTGGTCACTCCAAGGAGTCCACCTTTCATTACTGTTGATGGACTGAAGGTATAAAGTGTTCTGATTGTGTTACAGAACTCATACTGTAACAGCCTTTATAATATTAGAACATTTTCTCCCATGAAATTGTATTTTCTTATGTGAAGAAGGATTTAAATGAAATGTAATTTATCTGTTGCAGTGCCGTTGGTGTCACGCATGTGTCCGAGTGACACATATAGGGTGTATAAAAGTGGGTCTAGCGTTCGAATTGATACTACGCTGATTGGATTTGACCAAACGAGTTGGCAGCGTGGGAGCCGTAGCTATATCTTCAAGGGGCAGAGTAAGGTTACTGTTTTAGTTTATTGGACACTGAAGAACATTTTGAAGTCTTTGAAACATTTCACTTTTTATTTTGATGTTGCTGCTCTAGTTATTAAATACAGTATCTCACCATTCTTTACTGGGTATTCACTTAATTTGGTTTAGCAGAAGATACTGTGTTCATTTGACACCTGAGGCAGTGTTCCTAATTCTACAGAAAAACTAATTATTCATTTTTTGTATTTAATATTCTAGTGTATGTATGGTGTTGTGTATTGTTGAATAAGGTTTCGAGAAATATTTTAATAGGAAATATTTCATTAAATGTTGGGTGTCTCATTATTTGTACAGATAAATATTTTGAATTAAGAATTAAATGCAGGGTATTTCTTCATTTGTAGAGATAAATGGTATAAATCAAATGTATTTTGGTACAGAACATTATTTCTTAATTTCAAAAGGTAGAGAAATTTTCTATAATTTGACTTTTAATACAAGATTTTTATAATAGATTATACCCCAAAAGTCTGGAAAATTTGTGGGGAAACGATGTCCAGATTTATTGATTGTCTGGAGTTTAACCAAGTTTTGGGGAGTTCTGGGGGCCACTGCACTAAGCAGCCACTCATTATCCCCCCCCTTAGTTTGTATTTTAATGTGCAATAAATGTCATGTGTGTTTCCTTTTACATTTTTCCTTTATTGTATTTTCTTCTATTATTCAAAACCTTATGTTATATTGTTTATGATAAAACATACACCATTTTTTTTTTTTTTTTTACGGGAATTAGCCCACCCGGGCACTGGTCATATGACCCACAACGGGGCCGGGGGGGGAGAAGAACAGAAAGAATTGAAAATAGAGAACAAAAAGGTTATATTGTGTTAATTTACACGAAGATGCCGGAAAACCAGCTTTTTAAAGTGAGGCAGATTGTATAAGTATGGAAACACAGAAGAAGGCAAAGCATTCCACAGTTTGGCTGTGTGAGAAAAGAAGGATGTACTATAACGGGTTATTCTCGTGTGACCGACATCCACAGAGAAACGGTGGGCACCGCTGGCAAGATGTGTGTTACGAGCCCACGGCCTTGCCGGCGGTACACAGGATGCCAAATCCACCGAACATTACCCGTTAAAGTACCTGTAAAAGAGAGAGAGAAGCAACATTGCGGCGAAGAGAAAGGGAAGAAAGATTGTCGACTAAAGGAGGAGAGTTAATAAGACGAAATGCCTTTGATTCTACCCTATCTAATAGTTGGACAGAAGAAGAGCCACCCCAGATATGAGAGCAATACTTCAAGTTAGGACGAATGAATCCCTTATATACTTGGAGCAACTGCTCAGGAGTGAAGTAGCTACGGCATCTGTACAGCATTCCCAACTTTCGGGAGGCAGCTTTAGCTATACTAAGGATGTGTGATTTCCAGGAGATATTGGAGGAAATGGTGAGGCCTAACATATTTATTTCAGAATTTGGCAGGATGATAGCGTCCTGAAATGTAATTGGTGGGAGATCGTCTAATTTACAAAGTGTAATTGGTAAATATTAAGAGGTTGATCATGCAAGAATACAATAATGAATAAATAAAATCAAACTGGCAAACAAGGCAAGGCCAGTATCCCCACCTCCAGCACATTTACACATCAAGTGTCATATCGTACAGGTACCTATTAGCTCTTGTTAGGCTCATTATTCCTATATCAAATCTGATTGGACCACTGTACAGTATCCCCTTTAATAATAAATAAGGTAATATATTTTTTTGATATAACTTTTTAATGAACTGTACATTTCATTTTAAAAAATATATTAAATGTGCCGCAAAAATAAATAAATTATTTACAAATGAGTACTCAGAAGTGTAGCATCTCCTGAAGTAGTTCATATTGGGGTGAAAATGTTATGATCATGTACAGTACAGTAATACAGTAATTTGGATTCGAATCCATAAAACAGTATTCTAATATTTTCCGATTGTTATGGATATAACCTGAATGATATCAACTAAACAAAATTGGAGTAACTTGAAATATCTCGGAATTCTTAAATTTTTCCCAGAAAAAGTAAAGAGGGGTCAGATTGAGTCCATGTTGTCCAGAAATCTAGTTTTGTGAAGTTGGCTTAATTTGGTTTATTTTTTCAATCCTTTATATCCTGCAAAGGTTTTTCTTAATTTATAGAAAAATTCTTCACTTCCAGCTATGTTTTTAAAGTACTACAGTACAATATTAATATTTCTTGATATATGAATATAAATTTTCCTTGCATCTGTTTGTTTTTTTATAAAAAAAATTATTTTTCTCCCAGCTGATGGGGCAACTATGATGGAGGTTGACCATGAGACCGGACAGGTGGGTCACTTTCAAATTCACTTTCTTCTGGTTTAGATAGATGAATGGAGTAGAATGGGATAAATGCAGAAGTTACCCTGTGGAAAATAGAAAGCAATATGTTAAGTATGCTCTAGGACAGAAGTCGTGGATAGCCGCAAAAACCTACAATAGTGATGTTTGGCAATGAGAAAATTTTTAAACTGCAATAGAGGAGCTTAACTGCAGGTGATTTCTTAAGCAGTGTTTTATTTTATATTTAGAATTTTTAACCTTATTAAACTTCTTATTTTATTTGTCATATCATAGTTTTAACTTATGATTTTCTGTATTGCCAGAGGTTACTTGTGTAGGTTCTGTGCGGCTGTCCACGACTTTAGTCCTAGAGTGTACTGTATATGGAAGAAGTGCTGAACGAGAGTGGCAAAGGCAGTGAAGAGACTGATTTAGATCAGAGTATATGACTGCATGTAGGGGTGTTGTTTGTTCAGTGAGAACACACAAAATTGAATACTATAGAAGTCAAGTAGCCTCTTGTGGTAGTGATCGTAAAAAGTTGTATGGAGTTATGAATTGGCTGTTGGGTTGGAAGTCTGGAACTAGTGTGTCTCCTTCCACTTCAGATACTCAGCTTGCCTCAGATTTTTCCTTGTTTTTTATGACAAAAATATTACGTATAAGAAATGACCTTGATGGTGTTTCTTTAATTGAGGCATTTTCAGTTCAGTTTCAACCTTATGCCATAAACCTCACTCATTCATTGTTTTGTCCTGTAGGGGCAAACAACATTCTTCGCTATATCAAGGACTCGAAGAAGCCTTATTGTCGTCTTGATCCTCTAAATGTATCTAAGGTATCTCTCGCTTACGAACATGCTACAGACTTATAGAAGCAGAGGTGAAGAGGAAGTTTGCTTGGATTTTTGGGCTTTATAGCTGGCGTGTTCTCTGTTAGGTGGGATTCTGATGTCTCCTTTCTTTTAAAATATTCTGTGTAAGAGATGTTATTGTCAGACTCAGATTCTGGTGGGTTACTTATTCATCAGTTGAGGCATATTATATCGCGATAAGTGATTAATACAGCTACAGCTATAGCGATATACTAGTACAACACAGGTGCTCCTCTACTTAAGAACATTCAACTTACAAACTTTCAGAGATACAAACATCATTGCTGAGGGGGGTTACCTGCCAGAACAGGTGTTTAATGTGGATTAGACTGGATTATTTTGAAGAAAATTCCAGATAGAACAAATATTACCTAAGAGGAGAAGAGTGAGCCAGGTTTTAAGGCTGTATTAAAGGGTATAGCTGTACTAAATATCCATAATCTTTTCAATTTTTACAATATATTTGGTATCTACAAGAGTAAAGTTGGACTTTCAAACAATTGGACTTACAAACAAGCCTCAGGAACGTAACTCGTTCGTAAGTAGAGGAGCACCTGTACAGTATATTGCTGTAGCCACATTAATTGCTGTACAGCAATATAATAAAAATTCCTATGTACAATGCCATTATTCCCTTGTGAGGAACTGTGGGTTTAACTAGCAGGTAGGTAATAGGATGGTGACTCCAACTTGAAGTGGAAACTTAATTTTCTAGTACAGGCCACATCTACCAATTCTCTTACATTTTGGCCTGCTAAGGAAGGAATTAATTATTCCTTCTGGGTCTATGCTTATTATAAAATGGGGTTTCAGGATGAATTCCTTCACTTTCACTCCCATGTCGTGGGAGGCACAAAACCATGGTGTCTGCTTTGGTGAAAGATATTAATATCACTTACAGAGGTTCCATCACCCTTACACAAGTCATTGTTACTCTCAATTTTAGAATCAATAATTTATAGTTTTGTTATTTTGTATGTAATAATTATAGGAACGTTTTCTTGTCTCTTTACAGGTGTACATGGAAAATATGCGAACCTTGCCCCCAGATCAGGCTCATTCGTATCTGCGACCTCATCCTGGTATGGTGTCACATAGGCTAACAACTCCTGTAGCCATAACATATATTGACACAGAGAAAATTAGCTTTGAAAGGTTGGTCCATATGTCTGTTAATTTAAAAAAAAAACTTAGACTGGTTTTGCAGCAAGGATAACAAGATAACTTGTGTTGTACCAATTGATAAACAAGTTCGGTTTTATTTTACTTTCGGACACAGTGCGCCCCAAAGTTATAAACTACCGAAACATTTAGATCTCCCTATTCTGAGCATTTTGAACCCCATTTACCATTAAAAAATGGAAAATAGCGACACAATTGAGTTTAATTGATTTTACGTACTTTTCAGTCTTTGTCTCTGTGAAGAGATGTTATTAGCGTGAAACCGAGTTAATTATGAGTGTGTTTACATCATGCATGCACAATGTTGACTGACGTCATCCAGTCGTGACCAATGATGTATCGATCTCATCATGCAAATTTTTTTCGACCAATCACATTTGAATTTTTTCAAAGGGAGCAGCCTGGGTACAGATTTAAATTTCAATCACCAGTCTGACAATGGCCGTGGTGGAGGTTGGGTGTGATTCATGCTCTTACAATTATTTTAAGTTTATTGCCGAGTTTTATGAAAGACAATCATGCTATCCAATCCCTAAGTAATTGAGGTGTTCTCCCAACATCTGTTGAGTGTTAGGTTAGTTTAAGCTAGGCCTACCGGGGCTCCGGGGGCGCATTCCTTGGCTAGCGGTTAGGTAAGGTTATGTTAAGTTACGTTACGTTAAGTTGTTAGGTTAGAGGACTCGTTTTCGTGTTCTCCCCCACCTAAAAACTCCTATTTCCCAGGCTCTCCCCTGTTATTGTTGGCGGGTTGAGGTGGAGCAAAAACAAGCAATTTCCTCCAAGAAAATGAAGGTCAAGTTCGTTTAAAACACACCAAAATACACTGGAAAACCATATTGGTCAACCCCTAGGGACCCATGTCCGAAAGTAAAAATTTACCACAAATTCTTATGTTGTCAGTATTTATATATAGGTACTGGTATTGTACACAGGGGTAGATCCTGCCTACTTGAAATGAGGTGGATGAAAACTATATTATAGGTCTGCAACTAACAATATAAAAGTTTTAAACAATAAAAATAAGTAATAAAAACTATATATTGACCCTCTAGAAACTTCCCTGGGGCCGCAGTGGCGAGGGAGATAAGGGAACAGTGTTGTTTTGAGGGCTAGCGCTCGTGGTCACTACACACTTAGCTGCCATTTTCTGCTTGCCTTTGTGTCTGGGATGGCCAGTAATGCATATATTTGCTGATCATAATATTTATTTCCTGCAAATAATTAATTTAGAATATTTTATTTGCATTATTTTTCATAAAAAGTGCTCGGCGACACGCACGCAGTCTGTCGCCAGGCTGTCTTTGTGTTTGGTAGAGCAAGTAATGCATATAAATAATTATTGAAATAATAATTCCACAAATATATACAGTATATTTATAACATAATCATAGCATTATTTTCCAGTAATACTACACTACAATACAACTACAGTACACTACTTTTAGCAATATTACTTTGATACAACATGTTAAAATGGACAAACAATGGAATTGAAACAAACAAAAGGTGGTACCCGGTACTTAAATTCCAGAAACTTCCCTGTGGCCGAACGTGTGGTGTGACAGACAAATAGTCACGCTCGAACCTGATAACCTGCCCTGGGCATTCAAAGAAGGCCGTGAAAAGGCCCGCGTTCCGGAACGTCAACCGGGATGCCCTAGATGGACATTCCGGAATGTCAATCCGGGCGTAGGGGTTAAGGAACTGTAGATTGCATATGGTGTGGGAAAACACTTTAACTATATCCCAGTGCACACCATAGCCCATAAGCTCGGACCAGAAAAGGCCAAAACATTACCAGTGTTTTAGCCTTAACTGAGTGTGACATAACCTCCTTCTTCAATAATAGGAAAAGTCTACTTGGGATGCATGGTCTGTTACCCAAAAGCTAACAGAGAGTTTGATAACATTGTCATGAGGATCACAAAAACTACCCAAGAGCACTTTTTCTGTTTTAGAAGATTTTTTAATCTACCTCTATGATAGAACAGTTGAATATTCCAGCATTACCAAGACAAGATAACAGCTCTTTTCAAAAAGCAATAGAACAATAGACAGTATAGCCCCAACAGAAGATGCTCTTACACAGCACGTCAAACGGGTTTGTTACCAAGGCCCCAATACAGTAATTGGAGCTGACAAATAGATACACATCAGAAAAGATAGACTCCATATGGACCACCTTAACCCAGGCACAAAAGATGTTGTATGAATTAATTAAATGCAAATGTCAAAAGGCTTGCGGAGGTCACAGCAAATGTTTTAGAGCGAGCCTAAAGTGCACTGCCCTATGTGCACCATTCGTGGGGATCTCAGGGAAGTAACCTTATGTAAATACTAATGGTCTTCTTTTTTAAACATACAACTATTTATTTGGTAATTATATTCCAATGTCTTAATTTACTCATATATGATAATTTAATACTTTTCATTCCTTTAACCCTCTCATGGTCTTTCGATACAAATCGTATCACAAAGCATTCCCTTGCTGGCAGAACCCTTCCCTCTCAGCTGTATATTACAGAGAGCACTGCTCCCATAATCAGAAATGCAGGAACAGTGGACCAACCACCTAAGTTCCTCCCACTAACCTCATGGGCTGACAGATGCATCTCTAAGGGTGCAGTTTGAGTCTGTTTCGCTATACCCAATGTTTATTAAAATGGGAAAAATCATTCCTGTTTCAGATACAACCTGCGTCGAAAGCCTGTGAGGGGGTGAGATTTCCAATCATGGCCAGGAGTACCAGAAGGTTAACTTGTAATTTCATTTTTGTTTCTTTTCCCTAGAGATAAAGCTGGTATATGGGGCTGGCGGAGTGACCGAAGTGAAGACGTTAATGGTCATGATTGTAAGGTAAGCTCTTCTTGTTCCTGTGTTTTTGTATGCACTTACCCGGTACAGACTTTCCTTTTAGAGAATTTAATTTTCCATTGAAAAAACTTTTGACTTGTGTTGAAGCCATTTACCTTTGAGTACAATGACTTAACCCTTCTATTTTAAGTACAGTGGTCCCTCGGTTAACGAGCACAATCCGTTCCAGCAGGTTGCTCGTTAACCGAAAAACTCGTTAACCGAAACCATTGTTTCAATGGGTTTTTGGGTAATTGGTTCCAGCTCACCGAAAATTGCCTAAATTCAACAAAAAAGGTAGAAAAGTACACTTACTTTGAGGTTTGTATGTAGAAGGCTCCTGGATGATGATGATGATGATGGGAATTAGAATGGGGGTGAAGGAGAAGGGAGAAGAGAAGGCATTGGGGTGGAAGAGAAGTCACCCCATGGCACCATTTCACTCATAAAATTTTAGTTCTCTTGGTGTATTTCAAGATTATTTTCTTTAAATCAACACTGCACTGCATTATATATTGTCAATATGTAAAATAAATTTCAAAATGACCAATAATTTGCTTGGAAACAGAAAAAAAGCGTTCAGTTGAAGAGAGTCTCAAGCAAGATGTTACCTCCACTGAAAACAGAGAGAGACTAACGCCTGTCTGGTGTGTTAACAGGCTGGATGGCACGCCAGAAACTAGTTTCTTTACCTTCAATTATGTTCAATAATTGTTAAAATGACTAAAAAGTTAATATTAAACTTTTAAAATTATTGAATAGTATAAACTTCTTGATATTTACTAAAATAGTAAGGAATTTAAGCCCTAAAACCGATTACTGTATTGGCGGACTAATACTACAGCTGGTGGACCGCCAAATGCAAGCGAAAACATGTTGAAGTCAGCTCGTAAAAAACTCGTTAATCGAGGGATTGCTCGTTAACCGAAGTTAAGAATCTTATGGAAGGTAAATCGTTAGCCGAAATCTCGTTAACTGAGGCGCTCGTTAACCGAGGGATCACTGTACAGTATCATCATATTCAAGGAATTAATATCACTGTACTTAGAGGATTAAATCATTATACTCAAAGGGTTGAGACATGTTATTCAGCATAGGGCATTGTGCTGAAGGGGTTAAGGATCCCTGAAAATGGGAGGAACATCAGATCCATATACAGTAATATCTCCATTAGCCGGAATCACTCAGACCCGGAAATCTCCGATAGCTGGAATTGAAATTTGCTCAGAAAATCATTTCCAAAACAGAAATTTTCCAAAAATTTCTGGCTTTAGGAACTAATTTTCCGAGGTTGAAAATCAAGAGAATTTTCCGAAAATGTCTTGAATAAAGATGAAAGTTAAAGTATTTTTTTTTTGGGGGGGGGGGAAGAGGTGGGATCTGACCTGACTCAATGTCAGGTGGAGGTAGGGTGGGGGATTAGTGGACTGCATTTACAGAACAATAGCAGTAGAGCACCAAAAATTTTCCATGACAGAAATGCACATTTCAGCTTGCTAACAATGATGAACAATAATCATTTTGTGTTTTTTGAGCATCAATTGCAACTGTTAAACATTCCTTCAGGTGTCCAATCTTCAATCAAATCCTGAAGTTCTGCAGGTCTATCTCAAGATGTTTAATTTCTTTCAACACCTTACCTTTCCCTCTAATTCATGGGCATCCTTGGGGTCTTCAATTTTATGGAACCTAATCCAATATCTTTTATTATGGTTTGGTCTTCCTCTACTCTCACCATATAACAGTATCTCACCCATCTTAGATGTCTATTTTTGCCTCAGGGGGGTTAGACCTTCATCAAAAACTGGTTCACATATGCTTTTCAGGATGTTGCTTGGGTTATGCTTCAATTTTTATATCGGAAAATTATGTTATAGGTTTGCAACATGTGATGGAATATACTGTATGCCCATTATATCAATACTAGATTAAAAAATGGCTAAGTGGTGGGTGGTTCTTTTTTTCTCTTTCCACAAAAATTTTTGGAGATATTATCATGAATCTTACCAAAAATTTAGAGAACGGGCAGAAAATCATGCAGACCTTAGTAGAGGACCTTAACTGTTATGCAGTACAGCTTGTTGTAGTTTTCTATGGTATGCAGATACTTTTGTCAGCATTTGAATTTTCCAACAGGTATTTTCTGCTATTAATGTTGAACTTGTAACAAAGACTCGAACTGAACACTTGACTGATGCTGACAAAGAGAAGTCATCCCCCAGAAGTCCAATCCAGTCCTTCCTTAATATTGCAGAAGTAGAGGAGAAACAGAACTCTCCTTCATCTTCCGAGGAGGTAAGTAACCTTATCAATATTTAACTATATTTGTCCAAGTGTCTGTTTCTAATACATAAAAAAGGTACCATAATCCTAAACAGTTTGTGACTCTTGTACTAAGAAGAAAACTATTTCTCCTGCCTCACAAATTGTGTGTATGTGTTTTGCAGAGTGAGACTTACTGTCTAAACAACCCCAGCAACATCACAGCTGAAGAATATTTTAATTCGGATGTAGACTTACAAGGTCGGGACATTGGTCGACCCAAGGAAGTCTCGAAGAAAGTGCAAAGTTTTAAGGTAAGCTGTCATATTGGTTCGTTACAGAAAATTTAAATTGTTCTTCTCCAATTTTTACTAGAATATATATATATATATATATATATATATATATATATATATATATATATATATATATATATATATATATATATATATATATATATATATATATATATATATATATATATATATATATATATACAGTATATATATATACACACACACACATACACAGTATAGTCTGGTATTACACGGTTAATTAAACCCATGGAGATCCGCGTATGAAGCGAAACGTGTAAATAGAATAACAGAACCTATGGGATTTATTGAAATAGATACTGGGCCGATCGCCAGACTCACCTTTTTTTGGCTATTGCCGACACAATACTGTACACATTGTGGTAAAAATAACATCTTAATTTTATGATGGGATCCAGATGAAGCCATTGTGTAGAAAGAAAAAAAAAGCACTGGTTCCTGGGCACGAGAGAATATACGCGGAGACAGCGAGACTGACGCTGCAGCGGAGAACGCGGGCGGCAAGGATGCCTAGACCAATCACAGTGCGCGACGGAGGGGGTGCGTGGGTGGTAAGGATACGTGGCTCAATCACCGGCGCGAGTCTGACGTCAGTGCCCAGCACCTCGCCCTGCTGCTTGCCGCGTACATGATGGAATTTACCGTGTAAATAATAATTATCTCTTCTGACAGGTGCCGCGTAAATGGCCTCCCGTTTAAAAAATATCCCCGTAAAACCAGACTATACTTATATATATACAGTAAAACCTCGATTAACCGCCCACATATGGGGGGAAGGGGCCAACGGATAATCCAAAAGGTCGGTTAATAGTAAATAAAGTCTACGGAAATAAAACATACATTTTTAAAGTACCTATCCTTATCCTACCTCATTTAAGTCCCTCTATTCATTTTTGTATTTAGCATCTATGTGCAATATATTTTTTCCATAAAATGCATATTATTGTATAAACAATATATAAGATTTGCTTATTTCAAGCACTATATGCACTGAGTAAACAAACATTTTTTTTTAATCTAAGCACTATATGCACTGGGATATTACTTTATTAATGGAGCACAGACATGAGGGTAGACTGTTACATTTTTGATAAATTTGTTTCTGATTATTTGTGAGAGGATTTTCCAATTATTATTTATTTGTAAGTGTTTTGTGTGTGTGTGTGTCTACAGACATACACATATATACAATACTACTGGGAAAAGAAATAATTGTCCTTAGGGCAAACACATGAAGGGAATATACATTTCTTTGTAAACAAGTAAAAATGTACCCACCCCCCTCCACAAATGTTATTCACGGATTTGACGATTCGCGGCCATTTTGAGAACCTAACCCCCATGAATTTGGGGTGCCACCCTGTATTTAAAAAACTAAAAATCCATATGATAAAGGTTACCTTGTGAATGAAGTTGTGTGGTACAGCGAAAACTGGTATTTTCCACTCACACGGAGCTGGGGGGAATTAGTGGCTCTCGTTACTGACCTGATCTAATACAATGTCAGGTGCAGGTAGGGTGGGGGATTAGTGGTGTCCTATTACTGACCTTCTGATGCAATGTCAGGTCACTCATTTTTGGGTGGGGGATTTGTGGGTCTTTTGACCTGAAGATGTCTTGAATAAAGACAAAAGCTATTTCGAGGTGCGAGGCTGCTTGCAAAAAAAAATATATATATATACGCACTCTTTTTTGTGACATCTACTCTAATTGTGTTAGAGAAACTAATTTGGTACCATTGCATATACTGTATGGAGATGCATTCCTGATGACATATTTTGACTATTAGATATACAGTATTGTACAGATTATTACAGTAATGTATTTTTACTAATTAATTAATAAAAAATAAAAATATTGTATCATGAATTACAAAATGAGTGAGACACAGGAGTCAGTGACAAGCACTGAGTTAGAGGTGACCCTTTGCTGGGGGGGGGGGGGCTGCATGGTCAGATTCTCCCTCCAGTGGTTGCTCCTCCCTTCCTCTCTCACTCAGTCACACCACCACCTTCTTTACCCTTGCTAAAAGGTACTGTATAAACTTTTATTCACAGGGTCTGTTCTAATTATGTTAGATACGTATATGATTTTGATTCCATAATGATCCTGAATAAATTCTCTACTGGACGTTTCCAATAAGAGATCCTTAAACAAAATATTTTGATACGATGTAATGATGGGGACTCCATTCTTTTATAAAAAACGTAACCAATGTTGATACCAGAGTCAATAAAATCAATTCTAATTAAGTTAGATACCATTTTTTCACCAAAATAATCTAAATGATTGGTTAAATAAATATATTTAAAAAATGAAGAAATCTAGATGATGCAACATGAATGGAGCTGTGTGTTACAGCAAAGACAGTGGAATTTTCCACACTTCACAGGAAAATTTTCCAGTCTAAATGACGTATCTCACACGGAGCTATATTTATTTGCACGAACACCACTGTACACATTCAATATATTGTTAAAACAGTACTGTAAACATAATACCTCTACTGTAATGTATACTACTACTATTCTGTATATACTTCAGCTAACGGAAGGCATATATCACTAATTGCTACTCATACATGTTACATTTTGAATTTAAATGAACACAACAGGAGGGCAATTCAGGCAAGGTAAAAAATGGATGGTACTCACTCACCAGAGAAAATACGTCTCTAGCAGGCAACACAAAAGTTTCACACATGTTTTATGGGCGACGTAGCACAAGTGGGTATTATTAGTGATAACTCCGTTAGCTGGAACAATTGGTGCTTAGCATTTCCAGTAATGGGAGATTTCCGGCTAATGAGACGACACTCTCACATCCAGAAAACGTCACCCATCTCTAGAATTTTTCCAGGTACTGGGAAAAGTTTATCAGAATTTTCTAGAAATTGCACATGTATTTAATCCTTGGAATTTGCACTCAGACACGGAAAAAACATTTTGGAGTTTCCAGAATTTTTAGAAAATGCGTCTGATTTTCATCCTTGGAATTTGTTCCCAGACCCGGAAAAAATTTTTAGAGAGATTTTCCGGTATTTTTCTCAGAATTTTTAAGTAAATGTGCCTGATTTTCAACCTCAAAAAATCGTTCCAAAACTCAGAATTTTCCCAAATATTCCGAGCAAATTTTAATTACGGCTTTGGGAAAGTTCTGGCTAACGGAGGTACAGTATTACTATAGTCGATGTGCAACAGTGACTGTTACACCACTCCATTTGCACCATGGTAATTACAGCTCTGGATTATATCCCTCTTCATAATTTTTCTTTTACATGTACAGTATATATTATATTACTGTACAGTATATTGTATATTCTTTATTTATAAGACACACTAACACATTGAGATGGCTTTTTGCAAATTTTGTGGTTACTTACATATAACAATGTCAGAGTGCACAGCCGTGTTGGGTGACTGACGTATTTTGGCGTGGTAAAATCTTAACACGTGTAGGTCACTTTTATTACTTATTATGGTTATTTTTACATTATTTAGAATAATTTATGTTTTTAACACAGACTTATTATAAAACAGTGGATGATACAGTCGACATATTTTGAAAATTTCTTCCTATATTTGTTAGTGATGTATACAGGTACAGTATATGAAATGTCGTATACAGTATTAGTACAATGTATGACGAGGATCCCTTGTACAGTACTGTAGTACAGGTTGTACCTCTTTAGTCCGGCAACCTCGGGACCTGACCGGTGCCGGACCATGGAAATTCACCTTTTTCCTGGATAGATAGTGACTTGTGCTTATGCTTGGAAGCACTAGCACCACTTTCTCTGCATCATGATCTCTTTGAAGACATATTGAAGGGTTAAATGTCGTATAGTAGCTTCTCAAATTTCGCGAGTTTTTAATTCAACGTATTTTATTGGAACACACACAAAAAAATATATAAAAATTTTGACGGCGGAAACTTGAATTTCGACGGGTTTGAACGGCCCGCCAACGTGCAGACGACGTGCATAATCGTGTAAACAGCGTCATTTCTCTTATGTACAAAAGATTCATTATTGTTTATTACTGAATGTCTTTTTTATTGAATTAATGTTTATGTGTGCAAAATGAGCAATACAATTCATTAATAATACGTAGAATATTAAAACACACGAGGAAATGACATAGCATTGTTTTCGTTGATTACAAAACCAGTGACTGGCTGGTTCTACATATAAAACTGAAGGAAATAAGACCTTGGTTGTAGCTGTAGTAAAATTAATATGGTTGTTTTAAGTAATGTTATTTAATGTTAATAAATGGAACAATAGAAGTAGCTAACGATAATGGTAAAGAAAAAAGAGAGATCGCGTATGTAAGTGCGCACACTTAAAAACGTATCGTCATTACTTTACATAAGAATATGAAAGCAACACTTATTTACTCTTCATATGTATTTTAATTAATGTTTCTGAATTTGTTTTTATTGAACTTATGTTTGTGTGTGCAAAATTAACAATACAATTTATTAATAATGAGGAGACGAGACGGCTGCCGGCATTGTTTATGTTAAAGCTTACAAAACCAGTGACTGATTGGTTCTACTGTACATATAAAACTGAAGAAAATAAGACCCTGATTGTAGCTGTAGTAAAATTAATGTAAAAAAAATTAATATGGTTGTTTGAAGTACCTGTAATGTTATTTAATGTTAATAAATGGAACAATATAAGTAGCTAACCATTAATGGTAAAAAAAAAAAGTGAGACTGCGCGTATGTAAGTGCGCACATGTGAAAACATATCGTCATTACTCTACATAAGAATATGAAAGCAACACTTATTTACTGCTCATATATATTGAAGGGTTAAATGTTGTACTCTGTATAGACAAGCAGAGAAAGAGAGAGAGAGCAGCCGAACTGCCGGATGTAAACAAACCTTAATTTCCCGCGGCTTTGTTGTTGTTTTTTACGGGATTAGCCCACCCGGGCATAGGTCACTGACCCACATTGGGGCCTGAGGGCAAAAATTTAATACTCCTGTAATAATAATAATAATAATTCAGATAAGTAAAAAAAAAAAAAAAAAAAAAAAAAAAAAAAAAAAAAAAAAAAAAAAAAAAAAGAAGCTGCCTATCTACCTATTGGGCAAACTAAAATCGTTCCGGACCACAGAATGCCGGACTAGAGAGGTATAACCTGTACGTATGTGAAAACAATAGTGTTTATCTTGACTTTTAGGAGCATAGATTACATGATTTGGATAACTTTGTGTTTGGCAGCTGAGGGTTACATAATACAGTAGAACCTCGATAAATCGGACTAATTGGGGCAAACCCCAGTCCAAAACATGCGAAAGTCCGAGAAAAGCCAATACATAGGGAGAGGGAGGGTGGAGCTAACTATTTATTTGAACTGTTTAAAGAAAATCAGTTATGCTATTACTGCACTTCAACAACTAAGGTCTTTAAGTATATAACAAGGTTATTAAAACACTGTTACATTAACAATAAACAAGTAAGTCTGGTTGTCACCGAGATGATTGTTATTTACTGTAAAGTGTTATATGTAAGTAACCAAAGAATTTGTCATATGAATAAAGAGAAAACTGTATAATGTACAGTGCTATAAAGATAAAAATAAGAATAGATTAAGTGGAGGAGTATATTGTACTGTATGTGGAAGACGAATGTTTATCTGTGAGCAGCTGGCAATGGAGGGGGGTCTCATGGGTGGGTGGCTCTCTCCCACAAGATTCCTTTAACACTTTTTTATGCAATTCCACCACAATTCTCATATAATTTAGGATCATTTGGTGCCAGGTTGATAAAATAGTATCCTAAAAGAATCAACTTTCCTGTGAAAAAAGAATCCCAAGCGGCTAACGAGCCGATCAGTGGTGAAGAGGATAAAAGTAAAAGTATGAGTCATTTGTTTACAAAGAGCAAACAGCTGATTGGCTAACCACAATGTCTGTCTTCAACACTTTGTAAATTAGTACAGTACAGTTGTGTATTTATCATCACTTAAGAAATACGATTGCAGTGTATTTATCACCACTTAATAAATACGATTGTAGTGTATTTATCACCACTTAATAAATACTATTGTAGTGTATTTATCACCACTTAATAAATACGATTGCAGTGTATTTATCACCACTTAATAAATACTATTGCAGTGTATTTATCACCACTTAATAAATACTATTGTAGTGTATTTATCACCACTTAATAAATACTATTGCAGTGTATTTATCACCACTTAATAAATACTATTGTAGTGTATTTATCACCACATAATAAATACTATTGTAGTGTATTTATCACCACTTAATAAATACTATTGTAGTGTATTTATCATCACTTAATAAATACTATTGTAGTGTATTTATCACCACTTAATAAATACTATTGTAGTGTATTTATCATCACTTAATAAGTAATATTGTAGTGTAAAGTATTATGCATTAGCATATACCCTGGTTTATTCATTAATCATTTGTCAAAATACAAGTAGCCAAACTGAGGCATCATCTAACACTCAAAGGTAGTAAATAAAATTTTTAAGAAGGTATCTTCATATCAGATACTATACGGTGTGTTAGAGTGTTTTAAGCTAGTCTGCAGAAAGCTCACACTAACGCATCTGAGTAAACAATCTTCTGATACAGCTTATCCTTTTATCTTCAAGTCATATTACGAATTACATAAAGTATTGTATTTTTCTCTGTTACTGTTTCTCTGTGATAAACCATATACCATAAGAGGCCAATCATATGAGAATATAATACTGAATCAATAAATAAATAAACCTGGTGAATGTGGAACACCTGATCAGCCCCAGTCTGCTTACAGTGTCTTAGTTCACAGTAGGCCTATAGCAAATCTGATTAGACCACTGTACAGTATTCAATAAGTGTTTTTCATTTCATTAAAACAAAAATGATTTGATCATCCCCATTTCTCAATATTATTATTATTTTTATTTATTTATTTTTTATTTTATTTTATTTTATTTTTTTTTTTGTGACCGGAGCATCTCAGAATCCGAAAAAAATGAATTCCGATTTATCAAGGTTTTACTTAATGTATACTGTTTCTATACAATTTCTCTTTTATTTATTTGTCTTAATTCCAATTGTTATTATCTAATGTAAAGAAGTATTCAATCAAAGCTATGTTTTTAATACTTGTTCAATACAGTGATATCTCCATTAGCCGGAACAATTGGTGCAGAGCACTTCCGGGAATGAGAGATTTCCAGGTAACAAGACGGCTCTCTCAAAGCCGGAAAAATATCCCTCATCCCCGGAATTTTCTGGATAACGGAAAATTTTTCTCGGAAGTTCCAGAGATTGCCCATTACATCATCTCTTAAACCCGGAAAAAAAATCCCTCATCCCAGAAACTTTCCGGGTAACGGAAAAATTTTCAAAAAATTTCCAGAAAATGCGCCCGATTTTCATCTCTCAGACCCGGAAAAAACTAACCCATCCCCGGAATTTTCCGGGTACTTACCGGGAAATTTTCTCAGAATTTTCTGGAAAATGTGCACCTCGTAAAATCGGCTTTGGGAACGATTTTCCGAGAAAATTTCAATTCCGGCTATTGGAGAGTTCCGGCTTTGAGGGATTCCGGCTAACGGAGATATTACTGATAACCTCTTTTCAACTATACATGTGTTTTTTGTACAATATTATCAACTTCATATCATTAACTTTGTTATCCTCTCCCTCCTTTACTGTATTTCACTCCTGCTTATTAAATATTACAGGATAATTTTTTAATGCAAACTGTAAACCGGAAGGTAATAGAGATTTACCCTCATTAGGCCCACCTTTGGCTGGCAGAGGAGTACCCCTTGAAGTTACAGGAGCAAGTGATGCCCATTGTAGACCTCATGGCCATCAGTTCCTCTCACTTTGCTAAACTCAAGCACTTCATTCAAATGCAGCTTCCCAATGGATTTCCTGTTAAAATTGGTAAGACACTTATTTCAGTGTTTGTCCAGGATTATAATGTTACAGTGCCATATTTCTTATGTTTTAGTAATACAGTATTACAGGGTATTTTGAAGATTTGACTTAAGTTCTAAAGCATTTGTAACTTTTAACAAGTGTTCTTAGTTATTGGATGAACAAAAATGTCAGATACCTAATTAATAATTATGATATATATGTACAGTATACTGTATTGTGTTCATATGTTAAGTGGTTTGATTTGAATTATTGAGAATCACTTTGGAGGCTAAAGATTAATTTTGTGTAATTCATATGCCAGTTGAAGACATGAGTAAGTGTATGTGAAGTATTTCTACTTGTTGTCTTTGCCTTTTCCTACACTTATCCTCTTCTACTCCTGTGTTGCACCAGTCTCCCTTTTTGTTTCTGCCAGTAGGCTTCGTTTTGGTCAATAAGGATCAATCAAAAGTCCCCTCATAAACTTGTCCTCACCTCTCAAATACCTGTAGTCTTTTTCTAAGCTTGGCTCTAGAAAAAGACTTTTGGCTAGTAGTTTTGAGAGTTAAATTGGAACACTACTCATGAAAACAATGTTAGGCCTCTTCTTGTTATGGTTGAGTGTATCCAAGTGAAAAGGGCAGAAAGAAAGAGGTTTTTGTGTTGTATTAATATTTTAATGATGGCAATCGTACGGATTTGCAAACAGAAAAACGGACTTCTCAGATATGAATTTACGTGGTCAGCCCATAGCACTATGCACTGTAGGATTTATTGGAGGATCCTGAGGGTGAGGTTCAGCTAACTGGAAAATCTCTTTATCTGGCACCTTTCAATCCCCATAGGTGCTGCATAACTGGGACTCTACTGTAATTAAGGAGGGTACATAACAGGTAAACCTCTATTTATCTATTTATGATGTTCCCATCTATGATAATTCACGTTAATGATGCTGATATATTAAGACCACTTCCCTATTTGCGATGTAAACAAACCCACATTAACGATATTCATCATCCCGCCAACTCGGAATATAGATAGCATTACTCACTTCATTGTCAGCTTAGGGGTCATCTACTCAAATGCTGCCCCGTGGCCATCTGGTGAACTACAATCCAGGCATTGTTTCTTCTTGGTTACATGTGTATAAGAAATGGAGCTCAAAGTTTATCGGTCATCGTCATTGATGTTTTTATTTTTGTTTTTATACTCCTTACATTGAGAGGACATCAATAAAGTTCACATCGTACTCTGTTTTAAAGACTGTGAAGTGCTTTTGCTCTGACTGTAAAGTGGTTTCCCTGTTTTAGTGACTGAAGTGTTTTCGCTCCGATCCCCCCACCCCGACAATGGGTGACCTGACATTGCATCAGAAGGTCAGTAATATGAGACCACTAATCCCTCCACCCCACTTCCACTGCAAATGAGAGAAGAGTTTATATACAGTACAATGGGAAGACCTGACATTGCATCAGGCCAGGAAAATAACATGAGACCCACTAATCCCCTACCACACCTGCATTGCAAGTGTCAAAGGACGTAAAAAGTAATTACAGTTACGTATTACATTCAGGAGAATGGACAGTGTATTCCTGTAGGCTCTAGATAACATAAGAAATATACATTATTTTGTTTATTTATAATTAGAACAGATGCTATGAATAACAGTTTGTACAATTTTTTACAAGGATTAGAAGGTGATGAGTGAGTGAGGAAGGGAGGAAGGAATAGTGAGTACGGTCACTTTCTCCCCCAATGGTCGCCTATTTCCTTCTTTCCCACCCAGTGTGTGTCACCATCTCCTGCCTCTCTCACTCATTCATGTACAATATTGTTTATTTACTATTCATTAATCCATGAAGCATCACTGCCATTTTAAAACAGCAGGACAGCATCGCCACCATAGCGTCACTGCCGTTTTAAAATGCCACTAGTGACAGATTTAAACCTAAATAAGTGAAAATGGCACTCGTGGCAACTGTCCCGATTGATTGATTGATTGGTTTGTTGTGGTAATTACATGCCTGTCTACGCAACAGCTTAAGTCATATGTTGCTGAATTAAAATAAAGGCTTAAAAGACTAAAATCAAATAATGCAAGGTAAAAAACATACGTAACAAATAACATAACTTTTGTAAAAAAAAAGACATTTAAACACTGATAAATTAAATTCAAAGCTTGTGTAGAAGGCCGGCTTTTTCCACGAAGGAGAGGACCACCCCCCCTGCGCATTAAGAGAGGTGCTTGCTGCAAAAGTCATTGAGACTGGGGCACTCCACCAGGAGGTGTCGAACAGTCATTGGGACCAGACAGTTATCACAATGGGGAGGGAATGCCTTCTCCATTAAAAAACCACGAGTCAGCTGTGTGTGGCCAATATGGAGGCGGTCCAAAGCAGAGTCCTGGCGTTACGACAGTCCCTGATACCCCAAGGCACCCAATGCAGGATGGATGTCGCGGAGCTTGTTTGCTCTGACAACATCCCACCTGCGTTGCCAATTTAAGCATGTGGCAGCTCTTATTACTGGCTTTATATCAGAGGCAGGTAGGGGGAATGATTTACCACAGGGTGAGAAGCAGGGTGTAAACAGTGATGATCCCTCTGTGAACTTAGGGAGAATCCACAGAGCGGCACTCGGGAACCGCATGGAACATATCTGAACAGGAGAATGGCAAAGATTACTCACTACCTCCCTTACCCTGAAGCCGAAAGGTTGTGGGAGGCTTGGATGCCGAGTGTTGTGTGGGGACATAGTCTCGTCCACTACACAAGTGTTGGTTATAGACTGCAGAGGGCTGTGGAGGCGAAACCAACACTGGGCCTGGGTGGCTTATCAACATCAACTAGTAGTCTTATTCTTATAAAATTAAAGATACTCATGCAGTAGAATAAGGTGGAGTATTTAAATGAGCATGTGGGTCTGAGCGACTAGGTGGGATGAGTCCTGTCAACCGTTGACAGGACTCAGGCTACTACTAATGGTGACAAACATGAGTCTTTCATAATGACAAAGGAAACTGAGATCCCTATTAATGTGTGGGTAGCATGAGGACATCTACTGGGACACAAAACATGCTTTATGAATGGTAAGATTAGTCCACAATATTAAAAATGGCTGCTCTTATAAGAGGAATATCACAGTCATACTAGTTGCCTAATATGAGGGACACATTTTCTCTTCTTTTTTTAAGCCTTCATAATATTTACTGTAAATATTGATATTTTAAATTTTTACCAACTCCTGAAACTCTACATTTAATTTGCAGAAATCCCTCTCTTCCATGTACTAACAGCAAGAATCACATTTGGAAACATATTTGGTGTTGATGAGCATGTGGACAATGTGTCCACTGTGAGTGAGGAGGACAGACTAACTTGTGTTATAGACGAAACTGTGTTTGAACCTCCTGCACACTACACAAAAATTGGTAAGTGGTATCCTTATAAGGTACAACAAATTTTGATTGATTTTTATGTCATGGATGTTAGAGATTTGATATTGATATCGTACATAAATGATAGTTCTTTACCCATTTCAGTGCATCTTTAGACTTTAAGGTTGGTGCCCAGTAAGTTTCATTTCTCCAAGAAAAAAAGAAAACAGTTCATATGAACTATTTAATAAGTTTTCTAATAAGTCATCCACACTTAGCATACAATTTCCTTGAATGAATAGTTAGATGGTGTAACAAATTTATTGTAAAATGCAAAAAAAAAAATACTATTTTATGACTGAAGTTATAAATGGATATTGACTTACCGTAAGTAACTCAAATACTGTAGGCCAATGGTATCGGAAACACATAATTCTTGGATTGCCAAAAAATTATTGCATCAATATAATTAATATTATATGTGAAATGTAACCATAAGTTAGGTAAAACTTAAATGAAATTATTTTTTGTCAAATATATTAATCTCAGGTAAAACACATAAAACAGTATTTATGCAGTATGACCTCAGATATCCAGAATGCATGGGGAACTGAGTGTGACAAATAATAATTTTTTCCGGATGCTTGAAAGTTACTCTTATAAATATGTATCTCAAACTCAAGAACATCGTCTTAGTAAATATTATAAAAGTAATAAAAGGACATAGTAAATATATTCTTCTATCAACACATGATAACTTTCTCCCTTCTTCAATCTCTTACATATACAGTGGTCCCTTGGTTAACGAACACAATTTGTTCCACAGAGTCGTTCGTTAACCAAAAAGTACATACAAAGTAAAAAAAAATGCAGTAAAGTACACTTGCTTTGAGGTGTGTATGTAGAAGTTTCCTGGTTGATGATGATGGGAATTAGAAGTGGGGGTGGAGGAGAAGGGAGAAGAGAAGGAACTGGGGATGGAGGAGAAATCACCTTTCAGGGGACCTATGCTTAATCCAGTAATTTCACCAATAAAATTTTAAGTTCACTAGGTGTAATTCAAGATTATTTTATTTAAATCAACACTGCACTGCGCTATATATTATCAATATGTTAACTAAATTTCAGAATGACCAATAATTTCAATGTAAAAATGCAAAAATATTCAAGACACCAACAAAATAGATGTTCACTCCACTGTCAACAAAGCCAAACTGACGCCTGGTGGCTGAGTCAAGCGGCTGATGGGCGCACAGAAAAACTAGTTCCTTGTACTGCATATAGTATTGTAACCACCCAATGAGCGACTGTGGGATAATGAGACCCTTGCACGTAGGACTCGATTGTTCTTTATTCGGTCAAAACCTGCAGAGTACAAATTACATATGTTACATATGAAATAATTAATTAATTCGTACGTTCCTTCACTATTAACAGCTACATATGATATATTTGAGTAGAGTGGGGTGTTAAACCATATAAAAACTTACGTGTTTCGGGTCTAATGTAGGACTTATTAGGTCCCTGACTTCCGTTAGCTCACTGGACGGCTAGAGACTATCTTCTGAACCCTACAGGGAGCGAGTCAGCCCGAGGCGAGGGCTATCTGTTTCACATTTAACCCCTCAACAAAGTTCGTTGTCAACACTCTGTCTCTGTCCTGTCTCCCTTTCTCTCTCTCGTCTAGTTTATCCTACTGTGGTGGTAACATATCCTACTGTGGCGGTAACAGTATTATCAATATGTTAACTAAATTTTAAAATGCCTAATAATTTTGATATAAAAAATGAAAAAATATTAAAGAGCACAACTTTCTTGATATTTACTCCACCGGAAACGAATGTAAACTTAGGACAGATTACTGAATTGGCAGACTAGCCCATCAGCTGATGCTCACAACAAAACGTGTTGTTCGTAAAGATTTCGTTAATCGAAGTTTTGTTCGTTAACCGAATTGAAGGTCCTTATGGGAGGTATTTCGTTAACCGAAATTTCGTTAATTGAACCGTTCGTTAACCGAGGGACCACTGTATTGTACTGTATTCATCTTCTGCTTTAGAGTAAGCACAATGCATTTGCACTTAGCTGTAGCTCCTGTCTTACGTATGCTGGATGGATGAGGTGATGATAGTGGTTACACCGACAAAACATTCAAGTAAGCGGAACTAATGGTGGTGCTAGTGTGTTTGGCCAACTTGGAGGATGCACACAGCACTTCTAGTGGCCAAAAATGGAATCATGGGCAAAGTGGCACCAAATTCAAACCAATTTTTGTTAATTTGTTTTACCTGTAATGTGATTAGACATTACTTCCTGGAAATTGTCCCCACCAAAAAATGCTAGTTGCTTGAGAGTTCCAGTTTGTTAAGTGCCGGACCTCTGCGGTTATACTGTACTGATGTAGTTTTTTACTTTTACAAAAATAGGATTATACTGTACTGCTGTTATATAATACTGTATAATGTACTGTACAAGGTACACGTTTTATGTGCTCTATGTAGTTTGTGCTCTTGTTTTTTCTTTCTTTACTTCTGGGTACAGTATAACTCAAAACAAGGTATAATGCTAGAAAACAGGCTTATTTTGACAGTTTTTGCAATGAAAGGATGTCAGTTTCCTGTATGCTTGCCTTTACCTTTCTTGGAATACACAGCACAATTGAACCCAAATTTTTTATCCTCAAACTGTGCAACAAATTGTCTTTCAGTCAGTCGTTTGCTTCATTCTGAGAGTATGAATTCACTGGGTAATATCTTACAGTCACCATTGGTAGTTTAGTAATACAGTGGTCCCTCGGTTAATGAATTACCTTCCATAAGAATCTTCATTTCGGTTAACGAACAAAAATTCGGTTTACGAAATTCGTAGGAAAATGTTTCGACATGCTTTGGCTTGCTCACCAGCTGGAAGATTAGACCGCCAACACAGAAATCGGTTCTAGGGCTTACATTCGTTAAAATTGGAGTAAATATCAAGAAGGTTGTACTAATCAATAATTTTCCAAGTAATTTTAACACTTATTTAACATAATTGCAGTACAGGGAACTAGTTTTTGGTGCGCCCATCAGCCACTTTACTCACCCACCAAGGCCTCAGTTTGTATCTCTGTTCAGTGGAGGAAACATCTTGCTTGTGGGTCTCTTGAACACAGAGTATTTTTACGTTTTTACAGTACAATTATTGGTCATTCTGAAATTTATTTAACATATTGACAATATATTGTGCAGTGCAGTGTTGATTTAAAGACAATAATCTTGAATTACACCTAGTGAACTTAAAATTTTATGGGTGAAATGATGGCATCAAGCGTGGGGTGATTTCTCTTCTACCCCCACTTCCTTCTCTTCTCCCTTCTCCTCCACCCCCACTTCTAATTCCCATCATCATCAACCAGGAGCCTTCTACATACACACCTCAAAGTAAGTGTACTTTACTGTATTTTTTTCTTTACTGTGTATGTAATTTTCGGTGAGCTGAAACCAATTACCCAAAATCCCATTGAAACAATGGTTTCGGTTAACGAATGACCTTCTGGAACGAATTGTGTTCGTTAACCGAGGTACCACTGTATTTATTTTTTTCTTCCTGCAGAGTAATTGGTAATTTTTTCAAATTATACTTATCCAAAATGTATTGGTAGGGCATTCAGATCAGCAGCACCTGCAATTGAGCCTTGATGAAGATGATGCTCTTCTGCAATATGCCATCCAGCAGTCCCTAGTAGAGGCTGGTACAGAACAAGATCAAGTAGACATATGGGAGGCACTCCAGGCTGACCACAGACCAACTCTCAAACAGGAGTCAGTAATGTATTTTTATGCTTTTGCAAATGTGATGTCATCTTTTGTTATGGCAATGCTCAACATCTGTCAGAATTTAATTATAGATTTACATGACTCTTACCATTGCATTTTCCTCTGTCTTTACAAACTGTATGATTAGTTTCTTAATTTAATTTTTTCATTGAGTAATGGCATTATGATGTACAGTCCTCATTGAAGGAAGACAGTGGGTAATTCTTCCACTTAAAAGTTACCTCCACAATTTTTATTGCTTTTGTTTATTGTTATACAGTTGTAGACTATCTGATGATTGATGTTGTATATTTCAGGATGAATTCCAAACCAGGGTCTCGTCCCAACACTCCAGCACATCTCTCTCTTCAGACTGCCGAAGATGCTCAGTTACAAAGGTAAGGGTGCATTGTATTATGCACAAGTTTATTGTAATAAAATTGCTTGCATGTAACAGTAAAAAATAAAAATAAATTAAAAAAATTGAAATATGTATATCTACTTGAAATCACAAGTTAAAAAATAACAATAACAGCTTCACCTGGTAGGAGGAGAGGTAAGGTGATGTAGCTACGGTGACATCTTATTTGGCGACCTGTCAAGTCCTCACACACACGTTCATGTAAAGTAAATGAAATTATTTTGTTTAAATATACGTATTGATTTTATGTCTACTTACATAAGTTATTTAGACATTACTGAATCATTATAGCAGTAGGATATAAAACTCGTTTGGGCTCAGGAATGGAACCTACTATTCCCCATAAGTTATTAATATCAGTATACGATCAATCACTTAGTGATGGCTCTTTGAGGCCTTAACCCCATCGTGTAATGGTCACTGCCTGTACTGTACTAAGTTACAATACTTAGGTACTAAATTACAGTATAGTTAGGTACTACATTACAGTATTTGATAATAAATTACAATAATTAGGGTTTTTTGTAAACCAGTTTAATTTTCTTAGGTATAATATTGCATTTTCTTGTTATTAGGGAACCGAACCCTATTTTTACCATCTTTTCTGTTATTCGTTATCCGAATGGTTTTCAAGGAACCTGATCCATTTGGATACTGAGGAACACTTGCATTAGAATATAAAATTATCTTTATGTATATTACCCATTCTACTGTTCCACATTCAATGGAGTGGATCAGACCCACAAGCCTTGGCTTACCATTTTCAGCACTAATTGTAACATCTAAAGGTCAGTTGATGGATCAGCAGAAACATATACCTGAAATTAATATTTTCCTCAGGGCCATAGAAGAATCCCTTGCTCTCAGCGTTGGGGCAAATATTCAACGACCCCCAGGTGCAGGGATGGCCGAATGTGGATTCCAAGCGGAACTTGAAGGGGACATAGCTGTACCAGGAGATTTGGCAGTCACCCCAGGAGGCAGTATACTGGACTCAGAGATGGCAATGGCACTCTCACTTTCACAGCGGCACCAAGAAGAGGAGGAAGCTCGTCGAAGGCAGGAAGAAGAAACACTGAAACGTATCCTTGAGCTATCTTTAACAGAAAAATAATATTATTTATGCTTTAGAAGAAATACTAAGAAAAAATACCTACTGCCATATTACACATTAAGAATAAATACAGTTTTGCTATTCTTTTAATGCAGATTAGTGTATGAAGAGATGATGATAATTTATTTGTTACTGGTACATGAAACTGGATTGATTAAAACTAAAAAGAAGGAAAAATTCATTTTGCTGTAGCATATCTTAAGCAACAATGAGACAATACTGCATTACATATAAATGTGATTACACACTCTGCAGAACCTAGTTTTTTTTTTCTGAACTGACAAAACTTGTGAGGTTTCAATTTTGGGGGGCCAATAATTGAGGGAGTTAAAAATGTGTGGGGTTTATAGGTTTTGAACATGTTCTCTGGCCAGAGACCACAAAGTGAGGTAAGTTGAGATGAAGTGCAGTAGTTATTGTGGATAGACTTTGCTGGCTCATAGTGCCTCTTCCTAGCATCTCTGTATGTCAAGATTGTTCTTAAAAAATTTTCAGCACGCATTAATGCTTTCTGTAAAGCACATTTTTTTTATAACAAAATTGTAACTGAAAGCGCCTAATACTTTTAGTTCAATCCTATCAACAGTGTATTAATATTTAATTGATATTCTCTATTCTTGCAGTGGCTAGTATGGAATTAGGGTGCTATTCATTTTAAATTGTTCCTTAGATTGTCATAGCATGGTGTTCTTTCTGTTTGGTAAAGTGCAGATGCAGTATAAATGATCTGCTTTTAAGTTAAATAAGTCAACTCTGCAAAATAGCCTTAACTCATGTCACTCATTTTTCTTTGCTCCTTTCCTTTGATGAGGAATTTGTTGTCCTCCCAGTTGGTGTATCATCTTCCTCTATCCTCCAAACTTAAATTAGTGGCTATTCCAAGGGCTTTTACAAACCAGTCCATGGTGTTGGTCACATGGACACAAATTCACAGATTACAGGAAATACAATTGGTATACTGTATATATCTCCTTCTCGGGATATATATATATATTAGAATCGGTTAGGTTATTACAGCAGACTAATAGGTAAAGTCCTGACAGTTGAAGCAGTTCAGTACTTTCTCAGAGGAGATTATATCCCAGAAGCTGTGGGTTACCAGTTCAGTACTGTAACTACCATAATGCTGCCATATGCACTATGCATGTACATATAGTTGTTTTCCCGTGAAAAAGAATCAAATTGTCTGCAAATGTAATAATTTTGTGATGACTGTGTCATGTAAGTATGCCCTTCAGCTTGAGCCTTCTTTGTGCAGTAAATATGACTCAGATTTTGAATTCAGTACCTTTAGGAAAACTTATAATATTTTTCTTAGAGAAATCTTTTACATCAATCAGTACAAGTTATTTATATTATATTCTCAAATTGGTATATTGCAATAGATACAAAAGAGTTTCAGGATGTGAAATCAAATTTAACCTTGAAAAACCTTGAAAATTTTATTTTTCATATGCATAAGTTACTCGATTGTGTATGAGGTGGGTACTGTACAGTACAAATTTTTCACTGTAGATAATGGCTCAGAGTAAAACTTGGTCTAGGGTAGCATATGGAAGGTATTGAGTATTTGAAAAATGGATTTGGTGTATTTTTTATTCTTTGTTCATTTGGCCAGAAATATTTTAGGCAATACAGCCTTGAGCTTATTATTTCAGTTTCATCTGTTGGGTTGTCATCCTTATTATCCTTGCTATAGGCAGCAAGGTATTGTGTTGCATATACAGTATTTTTTTTTTTTTATACATTTTATACCCCCATATAGGCTATATTATATAAGCAGATTTTATATTAATCAGAAATCATGTGATAATAATGATGTACTCATTACAGCAGTCCTCCATATGCCTGAATTCCCAAGATATCTGTGACACAAGCAAATAAGCTTTTTAATTTCAGAAACCCACTTACATAAGGTAAACACAAGCTAAATGTATTTGAGAAACTATTCTTGCTAAGTAGTGTTTCTTCATGTGTAACATCTTTCCTGATACAGTAGAACCCCAGTTATCCAGAGTCCAGGTAACCGGCAGATTCGACTAACCGGCACCAAAATGAAATAATAATAAAAATTCCTCCAAAATTAACTTGTCATAAGTTTGAATACCGCATGCAACGGGGATCTGCTGCCATATTTATTGTAATGATAAACAGTAAAATTGATTCATAGCATATCATAAAATACAATAGCACATATTTTATGTACATAAAATACCTCTTTCCACGCTCAAATCATCCTCTGGGAGATATGACACAGTGTGGATGCGGTGACAGTCAGTCACCCAGCTGACCCACAGACGTGTGGCTGTCGTGCTGCTCTGTGTGTATTCCATGACATCACATCATGGGAGGGATTGAGTGTGGCCACGCAGTTATAGCTTACCGCCTCCACAAACATATTCACTTCCCACACACACTATACACACCCAAGCTATTCATTTTTCATATTTTTTCTTTTTTCTAAGCCACATTAGAGAATTGTAAGGATTTTTCTACAACTTTTATAGTTTCATTACAAGTAACAATAATATACGAGGTGGCTGGGCTGACGATTTTGCTACACAGTTATAGCCCTTAGCCTTCACACATGCTTACTCCCCACACATACACACCCATGATCTTCATTTTTGGGGTTTAACTGTTTTATATTGTATTTTCTTTATTTTTAAGTGACATTGTATATATAGAGTCAAATAAGTGTTAAAGAAGTCAATTTTCTGCAAACCATGCATTTTCATGGGTTTTTAACTTTAAAAACAATTACGGTATATTAAATGCCAGGTAGCGACGTGTCCTCCTAATATTACGTATTAAGTAATTATTAGATGTTTTAATTGCCTGTATGTTGGCCTGGCAATTTATTGCCAGGCATTAACATACCTAGGTATAAAGCTGGACGTCGCATTCTGGACTACATCACAAAAACTGATTTTTAGAAAAAAACTGCATTTTCTCGAGCGAAAAATGGCAATTAAGGAACGCTCATGAAATATGCAGGATTTTGTGGAAAATCAGATTTCTGAAACATGAATTTGCAAGGTCAGCCTGTAGCATTGCACTAGGATTTATTGGGGATGCTTAGATTGAGGTTCAACTAACTAGAAATCTCTATCTGGCACCTCTCAATCTCCATAGGAGCTGGATAACTGTGATTCTACTGAAGTCTCTTTTTTGTGTGTATTTATTTAGCATTTTTATTATTACCTTTTAATTACATTAGAATTCAAACAAATTTGAAATAGCATACATAAACAGGTATGTCATTTCTTCATAATGTGACAAGCATTTGCATATGATATTGCATTAGCACTACAATTTTGTTGCAAAATATTGATCAGGATTAAAAAAAATTAGGATATCTGTACAAAAAAAAATTAATCTTTTAAAGTCTAATACAGGAGTGCTTTTATTTATGGAACATCATTTTATGAAAAATCACTTTTACCCCCCAAAAATTTTCAAGTGCTTCAGTATACAGTACAAAAAAAAATTTGAATTTTACAAAAAATTAACAGTAGTGCTAAAAATGCTTTATAATGAATGTGTCATTAAACATGAAAAATACTCATTGGCATCTGCAGTAAGAACAATTACATTTGTCTGGATCTCCAGTTATGAATCATCCTGTAGCAGTTGTCATATATTATTTTCCTACATTTTGCATTTTGATGCTAATTAAGGTATATACTGTACAAGAAATATTTTCTTAGGCAATCCCCGATCATAAATCATAAATAATTAGCTATATAAAGTATATCTGTCAACTTTTCCCTATACAGTGTTAACCAGATCACCTTCCTCATATTATTCAGGTTGGTTTGGGACAAACTTCTGCTGTTGATTGTACAAGAAAATTTAATGTTGGGATGGAACAAACAGACAGAGCAAAAATGTTTAAGAGATGATTGCCGTAATTAAAGATTAAGTTTTTCAAGTGGAACAGATTTAAGGAGTGTATGTGTTAGGTGGTTATATTATGGTGGAGTGTGATGTTGAAGTTGAAACAAAATTATTGTATATTTATATCATATACTACACGGTAGTTGTAATATTGAAAAGCATTATGTTGAAGTGAAGAGACTCATGGAGTTTGTACATAAGAGGGGTATAGCATGGCAGAATATGATGCTTGAGTAGGAAAGACTGAGTTGCTTCTGTAATATCCTCATTGGTCGGAACAATTGGTTCAGAGCGTTTCAAAGTTTGAGAGATAGTAGGGTATTGAGGCAAATTCTCTTATCCCTGAAAAAATCATACGTCTACGGAACCGGGCACTGATGAATGCTTCCGCATCTAAACTATGCATTAAGCACGGAGCACCTTTGCTATGGAGGTTTAACTGCAGTCAGACAGACACAGAGCTGTATTTATTTATGCAAATACCTGTACTGCTGTACATGTATAATTTATTGTAAATAAACAAAATATACTACTGTATTTGCTATACAGTACTGTACTGTATTCACCAGCAGATGTTATCATCTTGAGCTTGTGATGCAGGCAGGCCAAATAGTGATATGATACAGGATGGCCTGCTTTGTCCTGTACCAACAACTGTGGCAGGTGTTCCTAACTGTCACTCTCCTCTCCCTCCATGAAGGAGAGAGGCACCTCAGGAGTGACACGTGGAATTTCCAACGCCAACAAAGTGCTGGGTCATGGTGATGAACAGGATGATGATAAAGGTGGTAGGTCTGTCATATCTGAAATTGGGGGTTGTGGGCTGGGGCCAGAACCATTGTCACCACTGGTACTAGGCAAGCTGACATAGGAGACAGCACTAGGACACCTGTGGATTGGAGCAGGGACCTTGGAAAAGTAGTCCCCCATTCATACACTGGTTCATCTTGGTCCTCTTCTCCAATTCATCAGTAGTAACTGCTCTTATCCCCTGAAGGTTCTGGTTAAAGGAGATGGAATGGAAGATATCAGTGGTGGCGGTAAAATTCAGGAGGGCATCCAGGAGTGCCCTCACCCCTGTGAGATTTGTGGTGGGAACTTCCTCCACTTCTTCCTCTCTGTCGTCCTCTTTCCCTCCTATCCTTCTTCAGAGGATCTGATGACACCAGCTGCTATTTCCTCCTGGGTGAGAGCATCTTAGCCAACATCCACTTGCAACCTCTCACCCATGTCCTCCTTTAGCACAGCAGTGTCACCACTGTCACGGAAAAGAGTGTTGGCCTCTTTCACTTCGAAGCCCTCAAAGTCTGCATCCTCCTGCTGGTGTTGGGCAGCAAAAAGTTTACTCAAATGTTCTCAACACTTTTTAAATCATCTTTGGGGTGGGGGGGGTGCAAGTGCATTGTCATGGATGAGAAAGTCCTCGACTTGTTGGACTGCAGGGACAAAAACATAGTGGAACCAACCTTCAAATATTTCACAGGTGAATGGGTTTGAATTTGAGGGTGCCAGCTGCAAAATCATAATCATCTGTAGGTTATGCCAATACTGTACAACATTGAGAGAGGTAGGCAACAGGCTGGCGTGACTGCATTATGTAAGCAAAACGCTGGGAATTTAATACCACACAATTAATTTTTGGTCGAGTGTGCAATTTTTTATTCGTGGAAATTTATTACTTTAAAATAATGTTATATTAACCCTGTACCAAATGAACCTAAATAATATGGGAATTATGGTGAAATTGCATAATGTTCTATTAATGAGGTTGGAGGGAGTGGAAACTTAGTCCACCAGCCAACTGCTATACCTCCTACTACACACAACTTCCTCCTACCTTCTATTTCCTTATTTTATAGTTTTATATTATATTTTCTGAATTTTTAAGTCACATTAGAGCATTAAAATTATATTTAAACCACCTGCATGGTTTCATATGTAAATAAACACTGCAACAGCTAGCGCTCGGCCGCAAATTATGAATATTTGACCATATTTAAAAAAATAATAGAGGTAGTAATAAAGGTACCCACAAATTTGAGTACACAAATTTTTATTTCACTGATCAAAATTTCACTGTATAAATTGATTTCCTTTCTATAATTGGAGATATGAGGTGCTTGGGACCCCAGCACTAGGAGGGTCAGAATGGAGTTATTTATACCACTACAGTATATTCATCCACCCTTCCTCTATCCCCTGTGTGAGTCAGGGAACATATCGTGGACCTGTTTGATTAAAAGTCATAATTTTTTTTTTTTATCCTTTTCATCTTTATCATTATTACTGTAGTAAACTTCCTGTAATCTGGACTAATGGGTTAAGGCCTGTCTGGTTTGGCTAAAATTCCTGGTTGGGCAGTGATCTGTATTGTCTATATTGCAAGGTGGATAATTTTAGAGGGTGGGAGATTTCTGACTCAAGCTTCCTAAGAACACTGAACCTACTATAATTTTTTAGCCCAAAATTAACACCCTCTGAGTTTTTATATGCCATATGAACATTTATTATTTTTTAACTGCTTAGGGTTTTAACATCAGTGGGAAAAAGTTAATTTTATCTCAGTCTTTCATATGCTCTTAACAGCTTGGTGCTGGCTCTCGGTACAAATTTACTTGGCAAGTCAACAAGCAGCTGGTGTTGCTGGGAGTTCTCATACATCTGGCAGCAGTTTTTACTATCGTGGCTGTCACACTCGGCTCCATTCAAGCCTCGTACCCCGAAAATATCTCCATGTGATGACCCATATGATAAGGAATTTTGTTTTTTATATGTAATGTACCTGTGTATACTGTATATTTATTTAAAGAAACTTGGATAAAGTATTCAGGATTATTTGGGTAAAAAATGGTGTTTCTAACTTAATTAGAAGTGATTTTATAGAGTCCGGTAAAAACATTTTGTACATTTTTTCATAAGGGAATTGAGTTCCTATATTTTATGTCTCAATATATATTTTTAAGTATCTTTATTGAAACACCCTTGTAGAGAATTTGTTCGGGATCATTATGGTACTAAATTCATCTTTCAAACACAATTAGAACAGATTCTGTGGATAAAAGTTTATAAACTTTTTTGGTCGGCATAAATATTTGTACTCATGGCTGTGGCATAATATAATGGGAGTGATAATAGAATTGTACAAAGTAGAAAAGTGTTTCATGTGATATACATTATTATTGCTCTATAATATGCTTACTATAAAAAATAGAAGTACATAGTACATGTTAATAATAAATTACTGTACAGTACTTATTAATTATTAACTTACTATGAGGCAGTTGAGGCAGGAAGTGATTGTACAACACTCACAATGTATGTTACCAAAGGTGGAGAGCAGGTTATGTTTTCACTACTAATTTCATTAACTGTACAGTATGTACTGTGCACAATTTATATATTTTAGACACTTCACTTTAGTGCTTCTCAGCAACCACCTGCACCACAGTGGCAGTGCCCGCTTACATCAACTTTCCCTCATACAGTAGGCTCTCATATTTGAACACCTATTTAGACTAAAAACCTTGCGAAATTCAAATCATCCAAATTTAAATACGACTTTCTATGGAGAAAATTTATTTGAGTCTGTTACTTTCGATGTTTGGCTAAATTTTGCCTTATTTACCCTACTTTTGGGGTGAATTACTACCTGTATTAAAGCAACATCCTAATAAACCAACAAAAATAACACAGATAAAGTTAAATAAAAACTAAAAGCAACACAGAAAAAGTTTATTAAAGAAAAAAACACAAACCGAAAACACAGCAATGATGGGCTTGGGTGGATGGTGGGTTGATTCCGAGGCTAGAGGTGGGTTAGTTGGATGAGGGCCCATCCTGGGCCACATCCAAAAATCCTTCAAAGTTTAAGTCATTCTCGAGTGATTCAACATCTGCCGTTGCAGCATCCTCGGCCCCATCTGCTACGCGAATGTTCTGGATTGCGTCGGCTACATCCTGGCGACGTCGGAAGAATCCTGTTATCTCAGACTGTTGTTTTTCCCTGATTTGCAGTTGTAAATATCCATGGGAATATCATTGAGACTCTCAAGGTGGGGCAATGCATTTTGTAGTTAAGGGGCATCTTGAGTTAATTTCTGAAGTGATTCTTTCATGTCACTTCACTCTGCGGGAATCTTTGCCAGCTTGGCAGTGGTCAATTTTTCAATCACGTCCAGTTGTCCTTCTTCGTCTGAACTAGAATCAGAATCATTTGCAAGCATCTCAATTATGTTTTCCTCATAATTAAAAGTCACAAGGTTCGTAACAGTGTCCTCAATGACCTCAGTAAATTCACCACCTACACGCCTTACTGATACAACTGTGTCTGCTAACAGTGAAATGTTGTCTAGCTGCTGTGCTCCTGAGGCACCTCCACACTCGACCTTGAGATGAGGGAAGAGTGGTGTCCAAACGTGTGTGACTATTGGAACATTGATCTCATGCCATGAATCAACCATTTTTGTGAACAGCATTGCGAATATTAAATTTTTTCCAAAATTGCTTAACAGTTAGGATATGGGCAGGGGTGGAAGACGGTCCTTGGGTGGAAGACGGTCCTTGGGTGGCAGAAGATGGTCCAGGTGTGACAGACTCGTTCTCATCTTCACTCTCAATATCACTAACTGCAGCAATTTGTAGCAGTTCAACTTGGCTGTCAGTTTCATGGCGCATTTGGTAGTGAACGGTGCGGTAGTACATGAGCTTAACATTGGCTATCAGTTCTTGATCCAGCGGCTGTATCTTTGAAGTTGTGTCCGCTGGAAGGAAGCACATTTGTACGTTGGGGTGGAAGTCTACCAAATACCTAGCATGACCAGGCGCATTGTCCATGAATAACAACACCTTCAAATCTAGATTCTTATGCCTACAATGTGCCCTTGCATCAGGGATAAAATACTTCTCAAACCACTTCTTTGACAGATTTTTGTCCATGTAACCTTTGGCAGTCTTCTCCCAATACACATTAAGCTTATTCATATCTTGATTCCTGTGCGCATGTGAACCAGACGCATTGCAAGTGAATAACACACTGAATCTATCCCTTGCAAGTGTGGTGCCTTTTGCTTGTTTCTCTGTTTTGTGCATGTACGTGGTAGTAGCAAACATACCAACAATTATCATACCCTATTTCCCACCTCAATAAATTCCTCTTCCTTTTCTTTCTGCTCTCTCTATTTTGGGAGTGACTGCTATGATTTCCACCTTGTTGAAAGGAACACCATCATAGAACAGATCTGGTAAGGCAGCTAGAATAAATGTATGGCAGCCTGTGAGGAAGATTCTGTGTTTAATCCTGTCACACACCTGTACTATAGCAAGAAGGACTTAGAAGAGTAAATAAAATAGCAGACCAGTTTACTCATTTGGAATGCTGTAAGAATTGTTGAACCTGTTAATGTTATATAAAAGTTAACAATTGTTTTAAGTAGAGCTATTTACTGCCTCTTATCTTTGTATGTCTCCCTATTTACAGTTTATTGATATCTCTGTCTTACCAACAAAACCAGGCCTGAGAAGAAACTTAAATGTGGCTATTTATCCACAACTTATTTCGTGTAGTACAGTAATTCTTAAAGAGGAGTGGAGTAGTTTTATAAAACTAGAATTATATACAAAACTGTCATATACGGTATTTAGATGCGTATAGAATATAAATGTAAAGAATAGATATTTTGGGAAGTAGAACAATAATACTAAATATAGTATGGCTGAATATGCAAAGTATTCTGAAAGAGGTTATATTGGTAGTATAGTATTTTAAATTGTGACTAAGAACTGTTGAAAGAATAATGCAAATACTGCACAATAGGGAAGTGCATACAGCATAGGCTCATAGAGGGTTGTAGGAAAGAATGGCGCATTATACTACGTGATGTCACAGAAAAATTCTAACCAATTATATTGTTTCTCACTTTTTTCCTATGCCACTCCTCTGCAAGGGTCTCTAGATATGGCAGATATCTGTGTATATATTTGCATGTGCGTATGATTCTTGGGGGCATGATAGCTCACATACATAGTAATCAATTTTAACCTAACATAATACTGTATGTAGATGCCTATACTGTATATCTTAACAGGATTTCATTGAGTTCTATTTTTTGTATATTCTCTTACTGTGTATTTTCCGGAGTTCTTGCCTCTTGGACATTGCAGCCGTTAGGGTGTATGGTCGTTTCCAGTTGCACACATTATACTGTAATGGCAGACCCTTAGGAAAAGAGGGTAGCTAAAGTTTAAAGCTGGTTGACGAGCTCACAGTACGGTAGAATATAAGAAATCTGTATTTCTAGAAACTACAAATATAAACTTCCCAAAGCTGTGTTTCCTGGTACTGTATATTCAAGAATTGCTTGCTCTATTTTCCTTGTTCTGTTATAGCCCATACTACCACATAGTCATTCTCTCAACCTGAATTATTGTCAGTAAGCCTCCATGGTTTTCACAGTTGTTACTGATACATTGCTCTAATATCTTTACCTATTATACATACAAAAAAGCATATTAGTGATAGTTCTAAGTTTAATATGCAAGGAGGAATTAAATTACACTGCTAAAATATAGAAAAGAAGATATATTGTATGTAGAATGTTAAAATCTTTCAAAAATCACTTATGGATGACATGACAACAGTATATACAGTATTTAGTATGAAAAGTTGTTCAAATTCTACACTGAAAATGAATTTGATAAAGCCATTGCCAATCATAAATCAGTGCATGAAGCTTGATAAGCTGACCTTAGTAAACTTAAGTTTTGTCTCGGTTGTTTAAGCATACAGGTACTTTTGGGGAGTAGAAACAAAGAATTATTTTGGTAAGAACTTTATAGTACAATAATTGCAATGACTGTATTTTACATCCAGTATTTTATAAATTATATACAAATATTCATATGTACAGTGCTACAGTATTAAAAACAAATATCATTAAGAACCGTCAAAAGGTATATAAAACATTGTAAGGCATACAATGTGGAAACAACACTGTGGCTCAAAATTCTAAAATCTGTGAAAATCCCAACTCTGCACATTGCTTGGTCTTAAGGATTTTGGATATTCAATTGTATTTAAAAAGAAATTCATTCATATGAAAATGGATATTGGGAAGCAACCAATAAAAACATTTTCAGAATTTCTTACTTCGTGTAGTTATCTTGTCATTTATTTACCAGCTCACAAGCTATTTTGATGTTTGTCACTTTTCCAACTCTCCATCTTGAGAAGACCATGTAGAATTAGAAGAAAAAATAAATTATAAGAACTTTCTGAAGGTAGTTGTGAATTAGGGACAAAAGATTATGAAGTGCAGCTGGTTTGGACGAATGGAAAAGATAAACTTAATGAGTTTTAAAATATAAAATACTTAGGGCTGCACTGTACTGTACTGTACATGAACACGTAAATAGAGATATGGGTTATACCATGGCAATACATTTATACAGTACAGTAATTAGTTTAATGTATATTTGGTAGTTATATGAAATGTCCCATATTCTTGGAGTTTGGGGATGGAATTATTCCACATTGACACAAAAATTACTTGGGATCAAATAGCGACACTTTATTACTACCAAATGTGGCTGTTTGTTATTCTATAGTACTGTGTTTGGTAAAACTTGTGCAAGGAAATTATTAAAATTCTTTGAAGACACCTATAAATTGCATTAACTAGGTGGTAATTTTCCCAGCAGTGATAGAAGTTTGCTGACGATAGACAATAAATATTCTCTGCTCAATAGAAATTCCTTCAGTTACAATAATCTGTGTATTTATGTAACCATGAATGCTTAGTGTCAAAACTGCCTAGTACTCTGCTGCAAATTATCCTGTTGCAGATGCCAGCTTGTAAATGTACCCTAGCCTGTGCACTAGAGTATCTTAGTGCAGCTGTTGTGTGCTGTTGTCTTTTAGGACCCCATCTGATGTCAACTGCTTCTATATTGTGTCACATCTGTGTCTGTTAAGGTCTCTATCTGATGTTAAATGCATCTGCATGCTATTACATCTTTCTTTGTACAAGCTAAAGTTATCAGCTGACGAGACATGCTTTTGCATTCTGTCACATCAGGCATTTGGATACTGACAGTGTCTTTTATTATATTTATGTAGCTCCAAACCCTGCCATATGGTATCATTTGGGGTCCACTCATCCTTTGAACAATTCATTCGCTCATAGTTATTATATGCTACCACCTGACCCTGTTGAATATGGTATCTATTCTATTATATACAGGTATGTATAATTATTATTTTACATCATATTTCATCCCAACCCTTTTATAGTCATATGATGCTCAATCATGTATCATTTCAAATTTTGCCTTGTATTAATCCTTTCCAATTCTTCATCATCTATATCAGTTCAGTGTATTGTATATATTTGCATAGCTTGCTTCATAGATCAGGTTCCTCAATAAAGTCAACATCTGTGATTTAACATTACGTACTGTATATGCTCAGATGCTCTTCATGAACAGAAAATTGATTTGTTGTTTCCATGCTTATTAGACTAAATTCAATGGATTTGAAAAAATCTGAATAATGTAATTCTGAATGGAAATGTATCTACAATATCTGGAAGTTAATCTGCCACTCTTATGATACAGTATCTGTAATGTGCCAGTTTTGGTCTGTTTGTTGATGTTGGCAGGTGACTTAAGGTTTTTACCACGTTCCATAACAATGAAGTTCTAAAGTTTTTCTTGAAAAGTAGTCATTGTAGTCTTGCTTATAGACATATGCCCATAGAATTTTACCATTTTTAATCAAGTGTAATACTGTACAGTATAAGCATGCAAATACTTATGGTGTACCATATGATAAGTGAACTTCTTATTTCTCATATCACACTTTTATACTGGGTGTTTATATTATGCAGTGAAAATGTATGCTAAAGGTTTTGATATGTTATCAAATAATTTTTTTCTTGAGTGCAGTATATTTTTTTGAAGTATGTTGGCTGCGTCAAGAGGTACTCGTGTAGTTTGTCCATCTTGTAGATAAGACCATATATACTTACTGTTCTGTAATACTAACCCAGTAAATATAGAAATACTGTATAATTTCAGTACTCATCCTGCTCGTATCATCACGAGGGACGTTGTACTTGGGAATCATCATCATATATGTAAAACCTATTTTTGTACACAAGGATGGACACCTCTTTTGGAAATCCATATGCCTATGGATAATACATGTTGTTGCATTGGTCTGCAGCATTTATGGTTAAAATGTATGGTAATATATAATCTTTTTTTACATTTAATTTAAAAGCCTGTTAGGAAAGCATAAGGGGTCAAAGTACTTAATAAATTGCAATTCGTAAGGTATATTGTGATTCATGGTAAAGCAAGTGATAACATTGTCTTGAGATACCTCAGTTTTATACACAAGTATAGAAAAAATGAATGACCACGATGAAAGCAATATATGCAATATAGTATAAAGTATTCCTTGAGAGGTAGCTATGAGTATTACTTAAGTCCAGAAGAAAATATTCAAAGGAAGTTATTTTGTGTTTCATGCTCTAGTTCATAAATGATAGCATGGGCATGTAAGTGGACATTATGTTTCTTTGTTCAAGAAATGTTAAAGATGGAGAAGTAAGTTGCAGGTGATAACTTATTTATTTGGTAAAAAAAAAAAAAAATTTACACTGTGTTACTAAATGATATTACATATTGATTCTTATTTAAACCTTCCACTGCTTGTACTTGCTCATGTTCTAGAGCAATGTAAGTGATCAGTTACAGTATATGTACTTCTAAGAGACATACTTTGAGCAAGAGTTGTGTACAGAAAAGAGTGTGACAATATGAAAGTATTGAATCATAAATTATTCGCAGTTGCCTTGAAATAAAGCATCTACTGCCAAATATACTCCACCTTCATACTGTGAATTTTATTTACCTCAATTAATACCATAACTGTAAACATCTTTTATGAAAGATATTTTATCTAGATGGCCCTTCCACCAGGCAGTTCATGCAACATACAGCTTTTTGAAACCACAGGTTTGAACTCCAGGTAATCTGGAGACCGTTAGCTGGGGCCCTTCACCTGCGAGTAGTCAAATGATTAGAAAATTCCAGCATGCTGGGATCAAGAACAGCAGCGTTTGGTTGGCTAAACGCTGATTTTCAATCAGCTTGTGGATCAGGAGAGTGATATGCTCCTGTGATTTTGTAGGGTGCCCCCTAACATCCCCCCTTTGTGATTCAGGGTGCTAGGATGTTCACAGGGATCTAAAGCTTTCTGGCGGCTGTTGTAGGTGCAGGAGGCATAGCAGGCTGAGATATGGATGGTGCGGCCGCTACAGGTGACTACACCTGAAAAGATATTGTCTTCAAGAGGAGGAAGAGATGATATTGCAGTCTCAGGAGTAGCAGGAACCGGAGCAATTGCTGTCACAACACTCTGGTAGATAGTTCCAAGAATTCACAATTCTCACTCCAAAAAAGTTTGCCCTTACAGTTTTCTGGACCTGCGGCTTCTTCAATCTTGAGCTGTGACCCCTTGTGGGGCAAGCGTCTGCCAGCTCCAAGTAAGGACACTCGACTGAGTACTGTAGTGCCCCTTGAGATGCTTATACACCTCAATTAGGTCGCCCCTTGCCCGTCTGTAGTATAAGCTAGGCAAGTTCAGGCACTCCAATCTCTCAGGGTAGTTGAGGTGCCGAATTGCAGGAACCAGTCTGGTGGCCCTCCTTTGAACATTTTCAACCAACTGACAGTCCCTAGCATATCGCCACCCCTTGGATTCTCCCTTTCAAGTTTGTCATTATTTTAATGAAAGGAAGGACTCACTCACTCCCTGGGTGATTCATTCTCTTTTTATAGAGGATTCCTCCTCTCTCAGAGGGACTATCCCTGTTTACACTGATGGCTCTACGTTGAATGCGGAGTGGGTTTTGGAGTAGTCTTTCCCAAATTCTGTCAGACGGTAGTCTCCACACTATAGGATTTATTTCTTATCCTCACTCACTAGTGTGATCCGGAGAGGGCGAGGTTTGTTCCCCTGCTTTTGTCCGAGCTTTCTCACGTCCTGAGGGGGCTGACATTTTCATAGCCTATGTATAAATACTGTATTTTCAAACTCTATCCTATCACATGTTTTCCTACTCTCAGTTTCCTCCGACTGGCTCTCAGGGACTCCAAGCACTATTACTCTGTATGTTGTTCCTGCATTCGAAATGTTCCCCCGTTCCCCCTCTCTCTTATCAGTTGGTCTACTAGTTGCCATCTCTTCAACACATTTCTGCAGAGTCCCTCGCTGCTGAAGGACCTGTTTGGATCCTGCATTACTCACTGTCACTTTCTGTAGCCCTGCTAAAGCCTGAGCATAACTCTTCTTCACTATTCCCTCTATTTTATCAGCTACTTCCCCAGTCTTAGTGAGGATCTCTTTCTCAACTTGCTCTAGTTTGGTAACCAACAAGGATCCAGCTTCATCTAATTTCGTATTCCTTTGTGATCTGCAATAGCCTCGTCTACTTTGGTTATGTTAACTCAGATGTTCCTAGATTATGTTTAAGGACCAATTATATTATAACACTTCATTGTCATGAGATCGGCAGGGGCGGATCCAGGGGGGTACTTTTTCTTTAATGCAGTATTGTACTCAGGCGTTTTTGTGGAGTAAAAAGTAATTACTATTAACCTCAGAATATCTAATATCAAGTGCACAATGCCTCAAAATACCCTTGATATTGGCCAGATTTAAAAAATTCTTGGGGGCGGGAGGCTTACAGCGCCCCCTCCAACCCCCCAGCTGGGTAGGCTTGCTGTGCTCTCCATGTTCCACCACCTACAACTTCATGGACCTGTAGTAGATACTCTCCCCTACAACCGCTGGTTGATCACTTGCCGTCCGCTTACAAGCCAACCAGCGCGGTGAGTTCCAAATGTGATGGGCCTCACTTTCGGACTGCGCGGTGAATGGCCCATTACCGCCTTCACCTCAGCCAATCAGCAGCACCGCTCACTTCACACCTCTCAACCTGATCCGGCAGAATCATATAAATACCTCCCAGCCTCGCTCTTGCATCTCGACTTCGAGAACGGGGACGAACAGGGCTACAATCGAGCATTTTCCCCAGAGGAACTTTCCTTTGCTATTAATAAGGGCAAGGGCTCTACTCCTGGACCTGACGGTATACGATACGAGATGATTAAGCACCTTGACCAGGGAAACCTGGACAAATTGCTAGAAGTGTACAATGAGATCTGGACGTCCAGAACGTTTCCAAACTCATGGCACTTTGCCCATGTCGTACCGATCCCGAAGAGGGACAAATGCCCGAACAACACCAACTCATTCCGTCCGATTTCGCTCACAAACTGTCTGTGTAAGGTCATGGAACGTATGATAAAGCGTAGACTAATGTATTTTTTGGAAAGTAACAACTTATTGAATGATCGACAGTGTGGTTTCCGCCAAGGTAGAAGCACATTAGATCATTTAATAAGTCTTGAAACTGACATCTCAAAAGCTCTTTGCAGTAAAGAAACATTAATTGCAGTATTCTTAGACATAGAAAAAGCTTTCGACATGGCATGGCGGACTGGCCTCATGATGAAGCTCCACGCCTTGGGTCTGAGATGTAATTTGCCAATTTTTATTAGAAATTTTTTGCAAGACAGGACTTTTTCCGTCAAATTAAAAGGTAACGTAAAGTCAGACACATTTGTCTTTGAAAATGGAGTTCCACAAGGTAGCGTTTTGGGCCCAATTTTATTCCTTATAATGATTAATGATTTCCTATCACCAGCCCCCAGCTTAAGTTGTAACGGGCCGTGTTTCCTCTTTTCAATAATTTACCATCCAGCTATTCTTTTCAATGAGTATCCGGTTTTATATACTTATCCTTCTTCAATTCTTTACATATATATCCTTATTCTTCTATAAGTAGCTTGTATGCTTCTCTGCTTATATTTTCCAAGTCAATGTTCTTTCTTTTCATTTCCTGTCATATATTATGATCTCATCCATATATTTTGTTCTAGTTATATTCTAAACCATGGATTAACATGGGAAACCATGTCTTTGATATTACCACACTTATTATACTTACAACGGTAGCCTGCCACCACCCAGGATTTTCTAGAATATAACATCTCTTAGTTAACTGTTAGGTAGCGAGCTTCTAGGCACGTGAGTTAGTTATTTTCTGAGAACCAATGTGGGAAAGGATAGAGTGGTGATACTCGTAGACGTAGATTACCAATTCAATATTTATTAACACAGTGATTGGATAAGATGCATCTTAGATTCACTCAGACAAAACAGAACTGCAATTTGTTTCTTAAGTCATCAAACACTTCAATGAAATTTTTAACCACACCCTGCAAAATACAGTGTACTTAGCAAATGCTGCAGCTTCTGAAAATGTGGGTGGAGCGGGTTTATTACTAAGAGCAGAGACGTTACCGAGAACAAATTCTGGCTTGAATGTCATGTACACTAATACCGACACGTTCCTTGATAAGAGGGAGGAGTTTGAAACACTACTAAGAGTACACCAACCAGATATTGTAGGAGTTGTAGAACTGTTGTACAAGAACAGGAGAATCGACCCAGAGGAATGTGAGTTCAGTATTGCTGGATATGACTCATTTACGAACCTAACTCAAGAATCCTGCAGGAGGGGTGTGGTTATCTACGCTAGGCAAGACCTTAGAGCCAGCCAGGCGAGGGTACAGGGAGAGGATGTCTTTGAAGAGTCCAAGTGGTGTAAAATTAAATTAAAGGGAGGGGACTTACTTATCGTCGGGTGTATCTACAGATCCCCGAACTGTGGCCCACTAAATCAAAGGAACTTAAGAACCTTAATAAACAATGCGGCGATGCTCAACCCCAGCCACCTCCTTATCATGGGGGACTTTAACTATGGCGACATCGACTGGAGAAACGAGTCAACCCCGAATGACTTGAATAATCCTGCTACTCTTTTTGTAGAAACTCTGAGAGATAATTTTCTGTTCCAACATGTGAGAGACCCGACACATTACAGAGGGGAACAAACACCCAAGCCACTTGACCTCATCATAACAAACGAGGAGGGTATGGTGGCCAAACTGGAACACCTTGCCCCAGTTGGCACCAGTCACCATACAGTGTTGTCATTCAGATTTAACTGTTACCTAGTTCAAGATAAGGCCAGGCCAAGGTGCAAATATTACAAGGGAAATTACAATGGGATGAGGGAAGAGATGAGGGGTATCAACTGGCCTGACTTATTAAGGTACAAGAACGCAGACACTACGCTGAATATCATAACTAGTAAAATGACCCATTTGATCGATAAATATATACCCAAGACCAAACCCAGTGCTTCTAGGAATACGAGGGGATCCCTACACATGAACCATGCGGCGGTCGACAAAATTAAGAAGAAAACCCAGAAATTCAAGACGTGGGTTGGGTCAAACGATGAGCAAGACAGGAGGATGTATGCAAGAGCCAGAAACCAAGCAAAGATAGAGTGTAGGAGGGCTGAAAAGGAGTTCCAAAGGCTGGTTGCACGCGAGGTCAAGTCAAACCCAAAGGCGTTTTACCGCTATGCAAAGTCGAAATTGAAAACGCGAGTAGGAGTATCAGACCTGAGGCTTGAAGATGGTAGTTACGCAGATTCTGACCAGGATAAAGCTGAGGCATTGAACAGCTTCTTTTCCTCAGTGTTCACAAGAGAGGATGCAACTAACCTTCCTGCGTTTGAGGACAGACGGTTCGACACAGCACTGACCCACATTGTGTTCACAGAAGAGGGTATTAGAAATAAACTGTCCAGGCTAAAGGTCCATAAGAGTCCTGGACCTGACATGGTGCATCCTAGAGTGCTAAGGGAGCTGTGCAACGAGCTTGCAGAGCCCCTGAAGATTCTGTTTTGTAAATGCCTGGATGAACAAATGGTCCCCAGTGAATGGAAAGTGGCTTATGTGAGTCCTATCTTCAAGAAGGGCGATA